CCAAGCCGACTTCAGAAATAAATGGCACAGTCTGACACAGAGTGCTCGATAACGACGAGTAGGCCACCTATTTTGTGATAGTCAGTGCTAGTAATAAGTACGAGGATCCCGCTATACTCAAGAGCAGACAGGATATCCTTTGTGAGGGAAGATAATCTGATAGCTAATAGTTAATCACTCTACTTTGTTGGCGGCGTGCCCTCCCTTCGTAAGACTTGTGCCACTTATTTTTGAAGTCGGCTCGCCACCTACGGGATAGGGACGAATGTGAGATTGGGGGTTTGTGGGGCCCTTAACGACGCCGAACGGTTATGTCAAGCTCGGTAACAGAGGGTCCTGGGGCGCCTTATCCCTTATCTCCACACACCTATACGCGGTATCTTCAGTAATATGACTCAGTACGTCGGCCGGGTTAAGCTTTGTACACATATCATGTCAGGATAAGGGCGTGCGTCCATCTTGAAGCGCACAGACGTAGATCTACAGCTACTACTCGTATATCACAACAGCCGACCGCCTCGTCCCTTTCAAATACTTTCAGACGTAGAGACTTCTTGGGAGACTTCACCGTGATAACCACAATGGTGCAGCTCGCCACGTTCCAGCTTGCATATGTAAGTACCACTTCTTCTCCTCTCGTTCAATCTATTCAAAAAGGGCCCCGTTGGCTTACCTTTTCGATGTGTTGGGCTGCTCGAATAGTGGATCGAACACAACAAAGACGGCGCTCAATATGTCCTCGGCGGCAGCGCCACTCCAGGCATCTCGCTGGACGATCTTGTCTCTCTGTCCACGGACCCTGCGGCAACTGAGCAGGCGCTGGAATTTCGATCCTTGAAAATGAACAATGGTTCACCCCAGGGCACGCTGGCATTGCGCGAGCGGATTGCGAGTCTGTACGATGCCGACAAGGGCATCTCGCCCGAGAATGTCATCACTGCTACGGCCACCACGGGGGCCAACTTGACCGTCTTCCAGAGCCTCTTGCACGCCGGAGACCACGCGATCTGCCAGTATCCAACATACCCACAACTCCTCGGGCTGCCGGAGAGCTTTCCCTGCGATCTCTCCTACTGGAAGCTTGACCCCGAGAATGGATGGCAGCCCAGCATTGCGGAGCTGCGCAAATTGGTCAAACCGTCAACCAAGATGATCATCTTGAACAACCCGAGCAACCCGACAGGATTCCACATCGACGGGACGCTTCAGGAGAAAATTCTGGATGTTGCCCGCGAATACAACATCATCGTGTTTGCAGATGAGATCTTTCGGCCACTGTTCCACAGTCCAGCCGCTGCGACTACTCCGTCCCTGGTAGAACACACATACAGCAGAGTTGTTGTGACGAGCTCAATGAGCAAAGTGTGGGGCATGTCGGGAGTCAGGATCGGATGGATCGTGTCTCGCGACCGCGAGCTTCTGGCTCTAATCTTCAACACGCGTCAGTACACGGTCATGTCGACCAGCCTCATCGACGAAGTCGTTGCCACAGAGGCTTTGAGCCCTCGTTGTCGCCCAATAATTCTGAAAAGACACCTCGAATATGCACAGAAAAACCTGGCCTTGTATGACGCATTTGTCGAGAAGAACAGCGACATGTGCTCCTGGGTCCGACCAGAAGCTGGAGCAATTGGTTTTGTCAGGTTCTCTTCTCCAGACGGAAAAGCGGTGGATGACGTTGAATTCTGTCAGCAGCTCCAGGAGGAAGAAGGAGTGCTTATAAGTCCCGGAAACCTGTGCTTCAGTGCAGAACAGCAGAATGATTTCCGCGGCTATATGCGCATGCACTTCACGCTCACTCCAGATTCTTTGGACAAGGCCCTCGAAAAAGTTGATACCTTCCTTGCCAGAAGACGGAAGGTGTTTGCCGCGACATCCTCGCATCTCTAATGCAGATAATCCTGGTGCATGGGGCTGCAGTGTTTCTCACTCTGGACGTGTGAACCATCCTTGCCAAGTCACTCAGGTCGACCTTTCTTGCCGCAATCGCCATGGCCTCAAGTGAAGAGAAGACAGGCTTTGACTGCAAGAAGGGCAACCTAGGGTTATTGGGATTGCTGCCCAGCGGGTGTGGTGGTGTGTAGTTTCAACCGCTACCTGCTGCAGCGACAATGTTCGGGATATTGTCTCCCTGATGCGATGCACGTACTTCATGTTGGTCGTCACTGACTACCTGGAGCTCTTATGCATCCGCGTCGATGTTGTAGGAAAGTCAGCGCTCCTTGGACACCTCCTAGCCGAATTGAGGTTCTGTGTTGCTTTTCCTGTAATAATTGTACTCAGCCCACAGAACAAGACAAGAAGTGAATAATGCCATTGACCTCATGATTGGGAGCAACTGTACCGGTGGTCTCTGGTGGAAAATCGAATCAGACGATGTCTCGCGTGGCGGATCAAGAAAACCCACAATGATAACAACGCGCTTTCGGATCCCGGCCTGATTTGACTTTACTCTTAATCGCTAAACTTCCTGTGGCTCCAGCACATGGCAGTTCCGGCCAGGTACAATCGATCCAGGTTGTGGAGTAGGTAGAGCACACACGGGACGAGGTGGAGCTCTCTCTATCCTTTGGTTTTCCAAAAATTGCAGAAATTATCTCGATCAACCTTGTACTGCGTAATAGGTGTCCACCTGAAAAGCGTTGCGGGGTGGTCCTGTTCCTGGCTTAATCGTAGATAGTCGAAGCAATTTGCCGAGTGTCAGGACGAAGGGCCGCAAGGCTAGATTCTTTTTCAGGTCAAACCTGACCCCCATCATCAACTGAAAGCGGCAGTCCGCATATCTGCTGTAATTATGTCAAACCGCGGCCCCCTTTCCCGGAATTGACATTCATCCTTTACTCGTACGTGGAAATAGGCTGACGGAGGGAGGATTGGTGGTGTGTTTGTGATGGATTTGGAAGGAGGATACATGCAATGTTAGGCAATATCACCAGGTGCGAAGGTAGCCATGGGAGCCCTGAGCACGCGTCCAACCCCGACCGAACCGGTGGCGACAATAAATCCCTGAAAGGGGGAAATCAACCCAAATCCTGGTGGGTGCCTGGTGCTCTGGCCTCCCACTCGCAGAAAATCTCCGGCCAGACGAGGCGCACATGGCGAGCCGATCTCGCCTGTTTTTGGACCGCCAGCATAAGCCCCGGACGCCCCCCAGCCCCTTGGCGAGCAGGGCCTTTGAGGGCCCCGGGCACCAATCGAGGGCTGTCAATGGCACCATTCGACCTCAAGCCAAAGGGCGAGGCTTGTGCTAGTTGTTTCAGATATGAAGAGGGCCAATTGTTTATAGAAACTGGATCCGTGGTGCACCGAGCACTTGTGCACAACCAGTATGGGTGTTGACATGTCGTTGTCGATGCATCACGAGTGACGAGTAAATAGGAGAGAATCTGATGGAAAAACACGTTACTCGTACCCTCTCCGACCTCGTCAACATGCAACATATCCACATGGGAATCAGACTCATTCTACTTGCAAGCGGCACTCTGATCTCGATATACTCGTGCTCGCACCATCGTGGAAGATGGAGACACGACGCGCAGAGCATCCGCCTCGTACTCGTGTCTGCAAAATCCACGAAATTCTCCGGGGCTTCGGACGAGATCCCGATTCCATCCACGCGATGTACGTACTTTTTGCGAGGCCACGTTCGATGTGGCTTGAACGATGGCGTCCCGGTGGAAATTAGCCGAAGTCAATACCGGCATCCTGAAAGGCTCAAACACCTTGTTGATGTCTTGGTTGCGCCTTGGGATGACGAGTTCTGATTTCTCCATCGTCATATCTGCCCTCTCTACTGTTTCGGTCATTCCGAAAAGAGGAAATGCAGCTGGGATTCGCATCTCCTTCTTTCCGCGAGACATGCCAAGGGAGCTCCTTTGTCCAAGATGGCTTTTGCAGCCACGTTTGGAAATGCTACGGGTCATATCAAATGCATTGTCCACGGCCTCCACCGCCTTCAAAGGTAACCCTATGCCTATACAACCCTGGGCAGCAAACCCAACCAGGCAATATCGATACTCATGTCCTTGCGTCAAAGAAATGTTGCTCCTTTCCTCCCCATGATGCCAGCTTCGTGCAGCTCTGCCAGTTGCCAAGACATGCCTCAGCAAGCCACATCTGGGGCCTTTTGAAACCCGGCATCTCCAGCCGCATGGTAGACCAGAGCAAACTATAGTAGTAACACACCCTCTCACCGACGCAAGGACAAGGCCTGGATGCTCCTTCGCACCAATAGCAGACCTTCGATAATGGAAATCGATATCAACCGCATGGTGAAAACCGCCATGGTGGACGGTGGCTGTCGTGTCAATTTCGGCATCTCTTTAGCACGAAGTAGGTCCATCTGGAGCCAATAACCGAACACGCATTGCGCCATCTAGCCGATTTGAGACTGCGTTCATCTCAATCCATGCCGGAGTCTAGGCGAATTTCCATGGAAAAGGTCTGCAGCCAGCCTTGCAGGGGCCAGGGAAGCTGAGGACCAGGTCCTTTACGTTGGCAAGCTCCTCAGCTTTTGGAGGGGTCATCGGGGTCCACGATAGCCATCGAGCCACGGCATGGCCTGTTCCACCGTGATGTCTGTCTTAATAAAAGATGACGGACGCGACAACGAAAGGACGTCCATCCACCAGACCTCCTCTGCTTCTCCTGCTCAGCAGCCACTGTCGAGATGTCGTCCATCAGAGACACACCAGCGGGCCAGTTCCTGCGTTCGATCGGTTTCAAGTCATGGCTGTACTATCCGGAGGAAGTCACCGGCTTCGAACTGCCCAACTTGCCATTCGTCTCGGAAGAAATCCTGCCTCCCTCAGACGACAATGCCAGCGAAAAAGACATCGAAAAGAGTCTTCCCAGTGTCTCAATCAGACTGGCCACGCCCCCGGATGAAGTCTCCAGTGCCATGTCCCAGAAGGCTCTGAAAGAGCCCATTGTGGTCTCCTTCACCGACGATGACAGTGGAAACCCACGAAACTGGTCTACAGCAAAGAAGACGTGGACTGTTACCCTCATCAATGTCTATACATTTGTTGTCTACTGCACAGCGTCGATTATCACTCCCACTGCTGGTGTCATTGTCGAGAAATTCAATGTCTCGGTTGTTGTTGCCAGTCTTGGTCTATCGATGTACGTTGTCGGATGTAAGAAATGCCCACTCCAACACTTCATTCTTGAGGATTCATTGTTAATGGCTCTTGCAGACGGGACTGGCCCGATGTTCTTCTCCCCACTCAGTGAAGTCCCGAGCATCGGGCGAAACCCTCCGTACCTGTACTCCTTCATGGCATTCTTCCTTGTCTCCATCGGCCTAGCATTCGTCAACAACTTCCCGGGGTTGATCATTCTCCGCTTCCTTCAGGGCTGGTTTGGCAGTCCTTGCCTGGCCAGCGGCGCCGCGTCCATCGAAGACGTCTACGACATGTACAGTGCCCCATATGGCTATATCTGGTGGGTGGCCAGCATGTACTGCGGTCCAGCATTTGGGCCCCTGTTGGCGGGCTACGCCGTCTCGGACAACTGGCGATGGCCCCTCTATGAAGTGGTGATCATGGGTGCTGTGGTCCTCGTCTTCCTCCCTTTCCTTCCCGAGACATCACCCCAAACCATCCTTCTCAACCGGGCCAAGCGCCTCCGCAAGGCCACTGGCAATAACGCCTACAAAGCGCCCTGCGAAGTGAAACCTCTGGCCTTTGGCAAGATGCTTCATGAAGCACTCAACAAGCCTCTGGAGATTACCGTCAAAGACCCGGCCATCCTGTATGCCTGTGTGTACGGCTCGATCGTCTACGCCACCTACTATTCATTCTTTGAGGCATTCCCACTCGTCTATCTCGGCACATACCGCATGTCCTTGGGCGGTATGGGACTTATCTTCACTTCCCTGACCGTCGGGTGTATATGCGGTCTGATAATCTATTTCCTCTATATCACATACTACTTTATCCCACGCGCCCGAGCACACCACAAGGAGAAAGGGGAACCCGTGGCGCAAGAGCAGTGGCTCCTTCCAGGTCTCTTCGGCGTCTGGGGCCCGCCAATCGGCCTACTGCTGTTCGCGTGGACAGCCCGCACGAGCATCCACTGGATTGTGCCCACGCTGGGCATCGGTATCTTCGCATTCTCGACCTTCTTCATCTTCCAGGCCCTCATATGCTACGTGCCACTATCCTACCCGCGGTACGTGGCCAGTCTATTCGCGGCCAACGACTGCGCTCGCTCTCTGCTGGCTGCCTCCTTTGTGCAGTTCTCGCGCCAGATGTACACCAACCTGGGCATCGACAAGGGCGTCACCCTCGTGGCGGGCCTGTCCGTCGTCGGCATTTTCGGCATGTACGGCCTGTACTTTTACGGCGCTAATCTCAGAGCGCGAAGCAAGTTCACTGGGTGATCTTGATTCTTCCTTCTTATTAGTCTTCTTATTCCTCTTCTTCTCCTACAACTTTTCCCCTTGGTTTGGTTCGGCTTCGGTTGGCGGAACAAAAAGAAAACATGTGAGATTACCAGTATCGGGCTTCTGATCTATGTACGGCATGCATGGCGTTGGCGGTATCCAACATCTTCCTTTTCTTTCTTTTTTCTCGATTCTTCTTGAAGGGGGAGAACAGGACCTGTCTGTTAGAAAATTTGTTTTGTTTTCTTCTCAATTCAGCCTTTTTTTTTTTGGCTCTTGGCTTCTTGAAGTGATGGGGGCCATCTGATATACCCCTCTCATATCTATCTGCCTGTCTGCGTGCCTGTCGGTACCCTCGTCTACTTCTGTTATTTGTGGCTGAAGCCGAGAGAGGGACAAGGGCTAGCCAGGAGGGGAAGGGAGAGGAAGAGGGATACTTATTCTGTAATTGGACTTCGTGGGAAAGAAATTGTGTAATGAGACAATGAGAATACGAGGAACTTCAGCATCACTTGTCATTACATTAGTCCTTTTCTTTTCCTATTAAAACATTTGTGGTTCTATCATTGACCATTGATCGACATCGCCGTCATAATCGTCACGGTCATGGGTCTCGTTAAGAAGTCAAGTCCGTCATCGCGATACAACTCGTGCCTCGCTGTGCATGCATCTTCCTGCAATTTTGAAACACCACTGTCCTTTCTTTGTAAGAGGTAATGGACACAACGCAAACAATCAAAACGACTCGACTTCTCCCACAACTCTGGCCGCGGCCCGAACCTCTTCCCCTCCAACACCGATGTCTTCACGTGCCAGGGCGTAATCGTTGCCCCGGCTGTGTCTGAGGCGTGTCATGTGCGGGCGGTGCACTGCATTTTTAGTCCTGTCGAGTTGATGTTCGGGACCTCTCGAGCCCACGACGCTTTGCTTCTGCTCCGCCTCATCTTCCATTTCATGCTTGTCTGGGAGATACAGAGTACTCTCTCCAGAGACATTGTTTCTCTCTTGCCCATCTAACGTTCTATACAAAGTTGAGAAGACAACGAGCATAGTAGCAGAAATGCCCATACGCTCGCAAGCTCACACCATGAAAGACAATCTCTTGGATATAGAGCCACGAAAAAAGTGCGCGGCATACCAGACAGTCTGCCTTGTGGTCGATTATCAGGTGCCCCACCTCGAACGTCCAGAAGTCTACTGCATTGCGAGGACAGGGCACAGAGGATCGAAGGACAGTAGACCATCTTCACACTCGCTCTAGGGCACTAAAATTGGAGTGTAGCGTGCCTCCCGATCTTCCTTACTTTCACGCTGCCCAATGATATCGCTGCCTGGAGACACTCCCGGTGGCCTTCAGCGCGATCAAAGCCGCTCCTGGTCCAACTTCATAGGCACTCAGGGACACAAAAAATGCAGTGTAGAGGTAAACATGAATGGACGACCTCGACCTTGAGGGTAGGCACTCAAGGACACTAGAAATGCAGTGATTTATTCTGTCAGTACACATTTCCCCCTCTCCCCTCTTCTGATTCGATCATCGAGATTCTCAACACGACGTTCCTAGGGAGTAGGGACTCGAAGACACCAAAAGTGCAGTGCACCCACCATCTGGTCACCGGTTTCGAAAGGCCCCCAATCAATTCATGGAGGCTCATAAAAGTTAGACGCTGTTCCGGACACTCGAGGACACTAAAAGTGCAGTGCAAGTTTGCCACCATATCGGGTGATACTGATGAACAAAGACCGGGCAGACTTTGGATCTCGGTCTCATGCAGACTTACGGGGTAACCGTGGCCCAAGGTTTCAATTTTCCTTCTTGTCAGGATCGACCCCGTTGTGCTGGGGTTGCGTATAGATAAAAGTCATGAGAAGGATCATTCTTATACGCTCGAACTCAACTTATCTGCCCAGAAATGAGTACCTCTACCTGATTAACTTCTCCCTGCCTTCATCGTCGGTTCTCGTGGATCTTCTCATGCCTGGTGCAATCATTTTTCCTCGTGAAAGCCTTCCCGCAACGCGCACACTCATATGGCTTTTGACCACTATGCGCTAGTTCATGGTCTCGCAAAATGCCCCTCCGGACAAAGCTCTTGCCGCACAGTCCGCAGCCAAACTTTGCGTGGTTGGGTGTTGCTGGCTTCATTTCCTTGAAGATCTGAGCTTTCATCTCTGTGTCTGGATGGTAGTTACGCATATGATAGTCGAGTTCCTTCTTCTCTGAAAACCCCAGTTCGGCTAAGTCGCAGGCTGCCTCAAGGCATTCATAGGAACGGTTGTGTTTTCTCACATGCTTGTCTCTCGTTTTTCCATCGGAAAAGCCTTCGTCGAAGTTCGGGCAGGTGACTTTTGGGCATCGGAAAAACCCCGAGCCGTAGTATGACTTCAGTCTCTCTTGATCATCTGCGGGCAAGTTTCTGTCCTTAGAGAGCTCTTCCAGCAACTTTCGGAAGCCGTCCATCGTGGTCTTCAGCCTGTCTAAACTGATTTCGTTGCGCTTGTCAACAACCCTGGACCGATGCAGCACAATGTGAGCCCATAGGGACTGAAATTCATCCTCGGCTTTAAACCCATCTTCGGTTCTGTCAAATTCCTCAAGTCGGCGACAGACTTCGGGCTCCAGCTTGGATTTTTGCTGTAATGATTCGGCCTCGGCGTGGCTGCTTTGAAGGCAGTCCCGACACTTCCGTACCATGTTCTCCACTTCATCACAGAGCTCCTGTACCACAGTTTCGTATGCGGGAGATTTCCTGGGGTCGACATGACTGCCTAGCCGGACAAGTATCTGATTGAAGTGGCTCATCCATTTGGCAACTGCATAGTCCGCAAATGCGTAGGAACCATTGCGTACGTTCTCCTCTAAGACATCTCCGTCAAAGCAAGGCAAAGCGAGGTACCCGAGGCACAAGCTCGTAAGCCTGCATTCCACGGCGAAAAGATCAAAATGCTCTGACTCCGCGATATATCTGACGAAAATTAGTTTAGACTAAGAACGAATATAACGGGGGCATCTAAAATTATGCTAGCAAGTGTCGAGGATGCTAATCCTGTTAAGACTTACCTCTTGGCTGTGCTATGCACAAGATTTACACGGTCCCCATCGGCAGCTACCAATGGTCCGCACAGGTCGTGAGCTTCATCTCGGAGGCGACGTCTCTCGAAGGCTACGTTCCGCTTCTCGAGAGATATTGACCTTGCACCCTGAATTTCGTGCCACTTGAGCGGCCGGGCGGCACAAGTCATCCACCCTAGAAACTGTTGCACATCGTCCCATCCACGGTCGGTAAGACGTAGCTTGATACGTTGGATGATGCGATTGTACCTGTCAACATCCCACTGTTAGCACAAATTTAACTTGGCTGTGCAAGTTGTAGGTGTGTGCAGCCAATAGTGAACAGCATATAGCTACGAGCCACAAGCATTGGAATTGTCGATACTTACACTTCTTTCAACTCCTTCGGGAAACACCCAGCATTAGCTTCATCCTCAAAATCTTCAATGTTGGATTGAAGGAAAAGATGTTCCATCACCAATTTGGCGAACAGAAATTGGCCTTTCGAGATCAGCGGGCAAGTCACATGAGCAAGAGTGTATCCATACCTGCTGCATTGTGGCATGTGCGTCTCGCCAACGAAGATGACGCATCGTCTCCAAGTCGAAACCTCTCCTGAATTTTGCCTATCCACACTTGCACAAATGTCCGTATGTCCTGCTTGTTGTCCTCGGGTTTGATCGGAAACTCTTCCGCCGACGATAACAGTTTCCTAATATCAGGCTCATCTTGGCTGACGACGAGGAGACGTAGTTTCGACGGCTCTCTGTCGTCAATCCTTTTGACCAAGGAGGTAAGAAACAACAATATCAATTTTCGTTCCTCTGACCGGCATTCGTCCAAACCATCGAGAATGATGTATTGTCGCTGGCCCTGTTCGGAAACCGTCTCGAACAGGCGCTTTGCGACTTTCTCAAGTGTCAGGACAGGTTCGCCGCTTTGCCGCCGGTATTCTTCAAAATAAGGTAATACCAGATCCGGATACCAATCGATTTGCTGAGCGAGAAGACCTTTCAAGATTGAGACACAAGTGGTGGTATTAACGTCATCATGTCTGCAATAAAAGTACGCTGTTTTGCCTTGCTGTTGGTCTTGTTGGTCCTGCTGGTCCTGTTGGCGCAGTCGTTCTAGGCAAGCTTCAATGATGATCGACGCCAACACTGTTTTCCCTAAACGAATTCAGTAGAGAACTAAGGGGAGCGGCGACTTCCTCACCTGCGCCAGGTATGCCATGCATCCATAGTACCGAAGACTTGGGTATGTCATCCGTGAGCCAGCTAGACACCTTTTCGTTCTGAGTGATCCAAAGTCCGGTATGGGGATAGTCTTCGCGGGCTTTTCGAGCCCTTTCGTGGGAGTCACGAGTACTTCTTCCGGCCGCTAGCCACTCAAGTATTGCGGCCCGTTGCTCGTCTCTACGACTTTCTTCTCGGCGCTTGAGCGACTCGCGTGCGTCATCTAACTTCGCACCCCATTTCTGAATTTCCTTCAGTACCTCTATACGATGTGCTTCATGCTGACGGGCCTGTAGCAGATTGAATTGTGATTCAATCAGACGTCTGTGCTGGCGGAGGTTCCGGAGAATTCCGTCAAATTTTGCATGGAAATCACTCCATGCTGACCGAAAAAGCTTTCGCCAGCCTCAACGAGAGTTAGTTGGGCAGAAAGGCGGGTTCCGCACTATTGCTCACCTGAACGGTTGAGAAAGTGGATTGCCGGCAGGTGAAACTCAAGAATGTCCTTATACATCAAACCGAGCACCTCTTCCATCTCTTTATGCTTTTGAAAAAGTGACGCATACTGCTCAAGCAGAGGTAATGCTTCACCGATTTGCTCGTAGGCATCCAATATCGTATCGAGAGCATTCGCCCAGTTGCTCGATGCTTGTAGGAGGAATTTCAGCGGGCCCCAGACAAAGGCAATGAAATCACTAGTATTGGTGAAGACTTCAATCACATTACCAAACTGCTCCATCGCCTCCAGAAAACGCCGAATTCGGGTTAAGTCGCGCAGTCCCTTCTCTGCTTCCTGACGCTTCTGGATTTCGTTTACTGCCTTTTCAACGTCCTTGAGAGATGTATGCTTGAATTCCTCATAATGCTTTCCGTTCAGGCGATTTCTGAACTTGGTGAGTTCGCGATCGAATATTTCGGACGCAGCCGAGGAGCCGGTTGTTGTAGCATTCATTGCGCAAGGAGGGTATGGGAGACAGATAAATTGACTAAATCGATTGTATTTTCACGACCTGTGACCTTTTCCCGACCAGAATCCCTGATTCTGTTCAGATCAAGCGCTGTGTATCCGTGGGGTCTTCAGGATTCGGAAAACGAGGGCATATACGAACTGCTGCGTCGAGCAAAGGTATTTGCAGCATTAGGTCGTTCTGGCAAGGGCCACGGATTGTTCCAAGGGTCATGTTGAGCATGAAGCACGATCAGGCTGAGGGTCGGCATTGAGCAAGGCGCAGGGAGGCGCGGACGTGGGCGTGGGTGTGGGCGCAGGAAGGCAGACACTGCAGACTGGCGTGCAGGGGAAGGCGTCCACGGTGAGGCTGAGTTGACCAACCCCATGGCTGCATATCGTGTGGCCTTAGAGCCGTGCTGAGGAGTTTCGATGCTGGCATGACTGGCTTCTCCGTTAACTAGACGTGTTAAAACGAACGCAGCAGCAGTCACAGACGTGGATGCTGGATGCCAGCACTGTGGTTGTGGGTTGTGTTCAAGTTACCGACCTCGCCGAGTACCTTCCTGTACATAGAGCGCAGCCAAGGGCCTGTGCAGAATGACATCATTCAAGCGGACGGCCGACTACCTCGATCACCTCGAATATCCCGACGACTGCCATGACCCCTTTTCGTCTCAATCATTCTCCTCACAGCACTCGCAGAGCTTCGATGGCGGCTCGGACCAATATATAAATGTCGGTGCTCGTGATTGGAACCATGTGTGGAACGAGCTGATCGGGGATCCAACCCACGAGTCCGGCATTGGCCATGGTGGCGATGTGGAAGAAGCAGATCCCCATACCAACACCTTCTTTTCTGCCATCGACAATGTGCAGGGCCACATTGAATCGTGGTTCGCAAACGACCTGGGGATAGGTCCATTCGGAGATGCAGATGCGCTGCAAATAGACCTAGGAGATACCGTCGGTCAGCCGCACAATGATTTCAATCGGTGCTATGGCATGGTCAGTGATCGCCTCCTTTACACACGTCCTCTCTCTGAAGCCCCGAGGAGGCTCATTCTGGGAGCCTTCGACTGACAATTTTTCTCGTGCAGATTTACCGTGCAAAAGCTAAGCTTCAAGGGGTTATGTCAGAGGTGTCACGTTGTCTCAGGGAAGACGTGCCTCAGGCTCGGACGCATTTTATCCTGGACATCATTTGTGCGGACGAGCAGCTTTATGTCTGCATTCCAGGTGGTATGCGTATTGCAACTCTCAACGTCCACTTGACCGAAGCATTGATGGAGCACGTCAAAGTCCAAAAGATCCGGCTTGAAGCCCTAGTCCACCGCAGGACGATATTCGAGTAAGTCTTTCTGTTGACGTGGCTGTACCTATCACATTAGCCGAGTGTAGCAAATACATGAGACAGGACTGACTCATTCAGCGATATTGGGGCTGCCACAAAAGCCAATGAGGCGGTCACGACCATCAACATCAACGTCTATGGGACTGAAGAATCTCAACGCGACATTGGCCACGACCTCTCTGTCAAAAAAGTATGGCTCCAACGACCTGATTGGGTGAGCCCAACTTCGACATATGACAATCCGCACGTCTTGAGATTGGGAACAACTCAGTCAGAGAGCGAGGTAGAGATACCTTGTCAAATTGAGCAGTCCTCTAGAACGTCGGGCTTCCAAGAATCGGTTGAGGAAATGTACTCGATGCTGCAGCGCGATTCGCATCTTCAGGGTTTAGCTGGGGATGCTCGCCTCGGCACAGAACTTCTTCAGCACCAGAAGAAGGCCCTGGACTTCATGATACAACGAGAGACAGGCCCTATCCCGGAGCGATTTCAGTTGTGGGAGGCCACCACGGTAGAGTCGGAGCCCTGCTACCGTCACAAAATCGCAGGCATCAAATCTCGGGTGGTTCCAGCCGAGACTGGCGGCGGTATTTTGGCAGATGAAATGGGCATGGGGAAAACCTACTCGATGTTGGCTTTGATTGTCCGGACACTGGATGAGGCAACAAAGTGGTCCGGTGATCCGGATGCGCACATTGCGGAGGAAATCCTCCCTACCAAAATCCTTTCGAGGGCAACATTGGTCGTTGTGCCGTCTCCGATACTGCTGGCAACTTGGGAAAACGAGTTCATAAAACGCGTCAACTTGCCATTAAAGTTACTGAAATATCACGGCAGTGGGCGAACCAAGGATCCTACAGTCATGGCCGACAATGACATTGTCTTGACCACTTACCATACATTGATCGCAGACAAGCACAGATCGAATCCCGCCACCGAGGTCGCTTGGTATCGTATCATCCTGGATGAGGCACACTTCATACGGAGAAATTCCACTTTTCTACACAAGGGCGTTGCTGAACTTGACGCAAAGTTCCGCTGGTGTCTGACGGGCACGCCTATACAGAACACCCTAGATGATATTGGCTCACTGTTCGCCTTCCTCAAGATATTCCCGTTTGACAGATTGGGAATCTTTCGCAGATACATCACAGTTCCGTTCAACGAAGGGGGAAACAGGCGCCTGGACGGCCAACAGAATCTTGCACACCTATTCGACTCACTCTGTATCCGACGTACGAAAGAGCATCTCAACCTGGCTGTTCCTGTTGAGAGGACACGTCCAATTCAGTTGTCGCCTGAGGAGCGGGCGCAGTACCAAAAGACAAAAGAGGACATGAAACGAACTTTGCAGCAACTTGTGGGAGCATCTGAGACCCAGAGTAGATTTAGCATGTTTCAAGCCCAACTGCAGCTGCGCCTGCTCTGCAACCATGGTACTTTCCAGCATCAGTTCCATTGGGCCAAAAGCAGGAACACCCGGGATGCTCGAGAAGATGCGGTAAACTCTGCTGGCACCGATGGCGAAATCAAGTGTTCGGCGTGCGGACAGACAGTGCACACTGTTCTCTCGACTCGGCCCTCCGGCTTGTCCACTATTTGCACACACGTCCTGTGCGCAGAGTGCAAAGAAGGCACAGGCGACAGCTGTCCCATGTGCGAGGCCACTTTCAAACCTCTTCGACATCAGCGGCACACGGCAGGAGCGATCTCCCAGTCCCGTTTGCACGAAGGCGACCTCCGCTCCGAAGGCCGCTCCTCGAAAATGGTGGCCCTGGTCGAGGATCTCCGGAGCGCCGCAGCCGATGGTGATAAGAGCATCGTCTTCTCGTGCTGGACGACGACGCTAGACTTGATCGGCAAGCACCTGTACTACTCGGGCGTCACATTCGAGCGGATCGACGGCGAGCACTCGGTCGAGCACCGGCAGAGCGTGCTCGCTCGGTTCGAGACCGACCCGCACATTCCCGTGCTGATCATGACTACCGGCGTGGGCGCCTTCGGCCTGAGCATCATCGCCGCAAGCCGCGTCTTCCTGGTCGAGCCGCAGTGGAACCCCAGCGTCGAGGCCCAGGCGATTGGCCGCGCCATACGCATTGGCCAGGAAAAGGCGGTGCAGGTGACTCGCTACGTCGTCGAGAATTCAGTGGAAGAAAGCATCCTGAAGCTGCAGCAGCGCAAGCGGGGCATCGCAAAGATGACCACCAAGGATGTGGAGATGGCTGACACGTACATCAAGCCCGAGCACGAGGCGTTCTATTGATTCCCGGACGCAAAGTGAGGAGGAGAAGAAGAAGAAGAAGAAGACGCAGAAGCCACGATATATATGCAAATGAAGTATACGCAAATGAAGTATATGCAAATGAAATATATGATCGAAATGTATGTGAACGCCTAACTGGAGGCAGTGGACTAATCGATCATGTAGAAGAATCGGTGTTATATATAATACCCCCTCTCTTGTCTCGCGCTTCCAATGCCCGGGGTTGTCTGTCACGCTCAAATGTCCACTATATACGCGCACGAGGCTGATACCAGGCTCTCAAACCCCCGAAATCTATACATGAAGGGAATGCCAGACACTCGCATCCTAAGCCCGCCATGTGCGACTATTGAAGAGCCTGTTCTCTTTTCAACCCCGTGCTCTAGGCTTGTGAGCCCAATCCCTCCATGTGCGCGGAGGCTTTGTACGACGTTCCCTATGACCAGCTCCAAGTTCCATTCATTTGTGCAAAAGAAGGGGGTGGGAGGACCCAAAAGGCAGGGCAGTATTCTCTATATTCTCAACCATGAACCATTCCAAAAAAAAAAAAGAATAAAACCAAGGCAGCTGGGGCTCGAAGGGCGAGCATGTACGGAGTACCGGAACCGACACAAAGATAACATAGAAGCTGGGACATCGAGAGAGTTTAACTCGACGAAAGGCATTCATCCCTCTCCGAGCGTGGAGGGCAAGAAAGACATCCTCAAAGTGGACGGGTGAAAAAGATTTGTCTCGGGAGCAGACGCAGACGCCGGCATCGCCTCTCCGGAAAGGAATGCTCACGCGACCCTTGACCTGATTGTAAGCCCAGCAGAAGCAAAGGCAGTTAGGGCGTTGATTCGACACCCAATCACCTGTATCCATCTCCCTTGCAGCCTGCAGGCAGGTGGTTCTGGGTCTCTCAACATGACTTGTGGTGGTGGCCAAGGTGGCAGGTGGCTCCAGTACCGGCTGTCGCAGGTGGCAGGTCTCAGTTGTCATTACACTGTCACAACGACGGGGTTTTGGAGGTTGAGGCTGCAGGTGGTTTGAGGATGTGGCAACCTTTTACGGCCGACGGTCGGGGAATGACGAAGCACCATGACCCCATGGGTCGACCACAGTCGCCATAAGGAGGGGAAAAGTCCCTCCTTACAGTCGGTCAGCCTTGGTTATTATTGCTGGAGCGGATGCAACGTAATACTATTTCGATTTCCAACGGCGACTACCTCGTACTGCGTAAGGTTCGTGTGTCCACTTCCGTTGTAATCCGTCCAGCCGGTCACTTGCGACAGCCGATATCGAGAACCCCGACTGCCGAAGCCTGGTGCTTAGAAGGAAAATCTTGCTCCTTCTTGGGGCTCTGCTCCTTGGGTTCGCCCATCACACGCAAGGAAGGAGACCGGATGATGTGGTGGAGTTCAGGCGGTGTTCTATTTCACCCTCTTTTCTTTTTGACACACCAGGCCCCATGTGTGCTCACTCAGCCATAAGCATCTTTGGTTCTGTGAACCATTTGGGGAGACAAATTCGAATGCCAACCGGACTCTGAGGATTTCCAAGACAATCACGAACAGCCAATTCTTTTCTGTAGGTTTCTGTCCTTCAGAGGCACCTCGAAGGTGGAGGTCTGTAAGGTTTTGGCCTTGTGGAGATATTTTGTGTCGACTTCTTCAAGCGACTCGCCACGCAAGCTCACTCTACATCTTACTTGTCCAAGAAGACCGAGCTCAAGTACTATCGTAACCATCTTGGAGGATGGGGCTGCAACTGTGGACTTCTGGTACGCTCCGGCAGGACAACAGTAAGGTAAGAGGGTCGTTTTGCTCGGTCGCTTCGCTCTATGGTCGGCTTTATGCCGTTTTGGGTCTCTCTAGGATGCCATCACCTTGCTCGGGAGAGTGTAAATGAAGCTGCTGTTACGCAAGCAATTGCTCCTTGCCGACATTTCCCATCGCCCTGCATAGAAATTGGTGTTTCATTTCTCTGGGATGCAGCTTGTTGCTTTGGGCCCGGGAGTGCGGAGCCATATCCGAACCATACATCATGTCGAGACAAACAATCGTTGTACGTGGAGCCAGTGAATGGACCGGCCGGTTTCTCTGAATTGGGTCCACCAGCAGACCGACTTGCAAGTTTCCTGGCGAGGGCGGTCAATGATCTAGAATTGGTCTCGATTGCCGTCTTTTCATGTATCACGTCGGCTTGCGAAAACACCTTTGGTGGGGATATCGTGTCATTGCAACCGATCGCATTTGTTATCCTTGATGGGCGTGAGCCCGACGGCGTGGACTCCTGCTCGTTTGAGGCCAAGATTTACAATTCTGACTTAACGCCAAGGCACAGCCTCCAAGGAATCGAACGCTTTCGTATAATGCTTCAACCATCCGGCGATCCGATCATGGGACCAGGCGAAAGTCGAACCATGGTGCGTAGGGTGAGGTAAGTTGCAGTTTATGCTACGGTACTCGGTGCGTGGTCCGGGAGTCGGCCAGTCCCCGGGTAGGATGCCAACAGCTGTGCAGCCCGACAATCGAGGTATTTTAGTGGCAAAGTCGCTTTTCGGTGCGGTAGCCGGCCATTGACGTGATTCGCCCAGAGCGCAAGGCTCGGGTATCGACTCATGGCCTGTGTCGTAATTGTATTGTAAATGACAGTATCCTTGTCATATATCCCTTCCGATTGTCGACTAGGGAGCTCGAGGATGAGCGGGCACCCGAAGCCTTGCAGGTTGAAGGGACCGTGGCCGCACAAGGAGGGGCGAGCCTAGCAAAGTGATATTCCGAGCGCTTGGGATGCCGATGTGTGGTTCCCACAAATACTGGCAGATTCGTTGTCTGCTTTCGAAAAGCACAAATTTTTCTTCTTCCGCTGGTAAGCCTTCGAAGACCCATTTCTCAAGTCGTCGATTTCTCCTCACACCATCTGCTTGCTTGCTTCATTTCAGCAATGTCTTCCATGAACGATGATACTACCTTCTCGAGCGGAGCCAAAGAGGAGGACCGTTCAACGCAGGTTGACCTCGCAGACAAGCAACAGAAACAAACAACGGTCGTGAGACGACTGAAACAACACCTGACAAGCCATGTTGAAGTCAACATCCTCGCCGAGACCGAACTCCTGATCCTCACCTTCTGTACGGGAATGCAAGACGCAACGACCTTCCCAGACTATCATTGCTTTGCTTCGAACCAGACGGGGAACACGGTCATGCTCGCGATGGCTATTATCCTCCCCAACTTGACCGGCGAATTGTTCATTCCGGAAAACATTGGGGTTGCTTTGGGTTTCTTTCTGGCCGCAGGCTGGATAACAGGTCAACTCGGTCACATTGTTGGGCCCCGATCTCGTCTTTGGATCGTGTTTTGCAACTTGATACAGAGTATGCTTGTCTTCATGGCAGCTGCGATTCAATACGCCTATGGTATTGAACTGAAAGGCGCAAAAACCATGGTGGTCATCGGCTTGCTGGCCTTCGCGGCAGGCAGTCAAGTCGTCCTATCAAGAGCCTTGGCAATCACTGAAATCAGCACAGCAATGGCGACGGCGGCATGGGTTGATCTGTTGATTGACCCTCGTCTGTTTGCGGCAAAGAACCGCCCTCGGAACCGTCGAGTGAGCTTTCTTGCGGCCCTTGTGGCCGGGGCTTTCTTTGGCGCAGGTATATACAAGGGCATAGGCCCGGCAACCTCGGTCTTGTTTTCAGCAATCGGCAAACTTATAGTGACCCTCATGTTCTTACTCAACAAAGCAGAGAAGGCACCGGAGCCCAGAAGCAATGTGTGAAGGTTATCATACGTCAAGTTGTCTTGGCTTGGTTTTGAGTTGGCGGCGTGGCCAAATTCGCATTTTGACATTATTGTTAGCGGAGGCGCAGGTTGATTTTGCCGGTTTGAAGAGCAAGCCGGTGTCGACGGTGGTGATATTACGGCGGAGAAAATGCTGGCTAAAAGTATTCATCGTCTAGATCTTGCGAAAATCCATATGTTTCTAACGTTTCGGGCCATCCCATCCAAGGATTAAAGGCGAGACGCATGCCGTCCAGCCACTGGCTCTGATCTTCTTGGGCGTAATTTGTTGGTTCATTGCTTCCGCTTTCAAAGGTTCCATCAGCCTGTTTGGCCTGTGCCGATTGGGTGGCTCCAGGGACACTCTGAGAGCGGAGGATTTGAGGGTTGGGTTTGACATTCATAGTATTCCTTAGCTGACGCTGGCGTTGCGGTCTTAAGGAGGCAGCCGAATTGCCGTTGGAATTGATGTCCCGAGGTGGTGCAGGACTGGTCACTTCATTGCTGTCGTCCACAAAATCTGCTCGGCCTATCAGACTATGGATTGCCAGGCGCTGTCTGGTCCTAGCTTCATCTGCAAGTCTTGATAAATGGTCCTCCAGTACTTCTTCGGGCTGAGGGAGTTGTATGCCGACGTTGGTATTCTGAGACGAATGGCGCGCAATGAGCATCTCGAGTTCTTTCTTCATCGGCTCGACTACAGGAGAGGCACCAAAGAATCTGTTCATGATAGACTGACAAAAGCGAGCCTTTTCCAGAGCCGCAGGCATACTCAGACTTTGGGTGACAACATCTGTTTGAGCACTAAAGAGGATGATTCGAGCGCTATGGTACGCGCAAATTGCAGTGTCAAAGTCGATTGTCAGGACCTTACATTGCTCAGAGAATGCTGCAAAGATCTGGACAATTGACAATGCGTGGTTCAAACAAAGTGCGCGCCTGCGGAGGATGTCTTCACGATTGATGCCTTCTAAGGCCGAGGGAGGAGCGGCCTCTCTATACCCTGTCAAAAAGATTCGGTACAGATCAGTATATGCCTGGTGCCAACACTCGTGCACCATGAGAATTCTGGCCGGTCTTTCACAGTAGGAGAATATTTTGGCATTGTATCGATCAGAGTCGGCAAGGCTTCGGTACAGATGCTGCAATTCGTCTTCAAATCGCCGAACCGTATGCATGAGCTCCTCAGGTGGAACCACCGAGGACGCAAGCCGGCGCGTCAGTCTGGATCGGTCAATGTGAAATCATGATTTCAACAGCTTACAACGTACCTCATGATGTCTGTTCTTATGGCCGCAAGCCTTATACATGCAGCATAGGTGCCAATGCGCTCGGGCCTGTCGAAAGAGGTTGCCCTTAATGGGGCTGTTTCCACTGGTGCATCTTGCTCGAATGCCGTTTCAGGACACGGGAGTTGGAGGAAGACATTCTCTGGCGGGCACGTCTCGAATTCTCGCAGGCCCACGGAGAAGTTGCCATCGAGGGCGAAACACGACCACATCAATCGGCGACGAACCTCTTGGGCCAAGAAACGCAATTCAGGGCGTTCGTAGTTCAGTCGCAGCGCAACGGCAGATCGGCCAGCCAGTGCAGCAAGCATAAAAGCCCTCGAGAAGTGGCCCACTTCCACCCTGTATCGCACGACCAAGATGAGAGCCTGCAGTCGAGAAGTGGAAGGACTTTCCAAATTTTGCAAGAGGAAGTCTTCGGCTTTCTGGGCCCACTGTGCACTCAACTCCTGAGCGTACGGCTCAATCTTGAGACGTTGGGTTGTTACTGCACAGATCGCTAATGTCAAACAGTCTTCAATCGTCCCTTCGTGGCATCTCTGCATTACCGATCGTTTGTGCAAGAATGCATACCAGGGCAGCGCGTATATGTGCTGGAAATAGGCTTCGATTAAAGAAATGATTTCGTGGCGATCTGGCAAAGCGCCTTCGTTGGACGGAGGAGTTTGGTCAGTTCCGTTAGCCGGCTGGTCTGATTGAGATGGGAATTGAAGTTGATTCTCAGGGCGCTGCGACACAGCAGGCGATGGCAAGCTCGAAGTCTGCGGCGTCCGATGCGGCCTCTTGAGGACAGGATAGACGCATGGTCGATTCCTTCGAAGACAGTTGGAACACGCAGGAGACTCTCCGCCACATCGGATTTTCTGAGAACGACATTCTGTGCAGGCGCGAATCCCGCGTCTTCGCTCCAGCTGAACGAGTGATTGGTCGCCCGATGGCGAATCGCCCGAAACACCAGCCTCTCTCGGTTGAAACGAACAGTCAAACCTCAAGCGTTCACAGTTGCGACAACAGTTAGGACGTCCGTCGCAACGTACCTGCCGCACAAGTTCAGTCGCTGGCTAGAACCCACACTGCTTCGAGCGAGCCGATCTCCGCTTACCTTCCGAGCACGACATTGCATACAAGTGGTCTTGGACTTCCTCGAAGTCGGCGTCATTTCATCCATCTTGTGTCGCACTCGTCTCAGCAGAAATTGTTGTCGGCGAATCAGACAACATCATGCGAGACTATAGATTTAATCGAAAAAAATGGACCAGAGTGTGATATTTCGGTCAGATGGGCCACAACGCTTTTTGTTGAACAAAGGTCGCGAAGGCGTGATTGGAAGACCCGATTCTCGAGAAGTTTGAACCCACAGCAGCTTCTGTAGATATGGTTTTCCGTAGACACGGCAGAGCATATTTGTGTGAAGCGCACTTTACATCTGATCGCTTCCATGCTTCCTCTCGCTGTACCGAGTAGATACTCTAACATTGATTTCGTACCTCATAAAAGATGTCGTTATTTCTGAGTTCTCTATGTGGTATTTCCTGTCTCAGAACTCAAGCGCAAAACACTATCTGCCACCGACATCCTCTCAATGATCAACCTGTGCATGCATAAGAGCATTTGCGGAATCCTCGATTTCTCATCCCATTACCGCTGCGTTGCTATTGCAATCCTCAATGACTGATTGACAGATTAATAACCAATGTCTCTTCTCTTTACATCCTAGTCGCACTATATCAACCCTGCCATTCGAAGCCCACCTTGTCTCACGACCCTCACGTCAGTGTGTTCTCGCTGCGGCGACTGTCTGAGCCACTTGATGAATTGCCCAGTTTCCCGAAAACAAAGCCGAGGACAGGATTTAGAACAAGACAGGCAGGTCAGGCACGTTGAAAAAATGGTTGCACAAGAGTCGTGGCAAGGCATGTATGCCGATTCAAGAGAAATGGTTGGCCTCGGGAGCTGATATGCAATATTGGTCCGGTTGTCAAACATGTTGAACAAGGCACAACTGCGACAACCGTGCATGCTGGCCTAAACCAATTCGATCCCAGACGGCTGCATATCCGACAGGAGCAGAGCCATAGTCATTGCCTACAGTGGAGAGCACGAAGCTTTCATAGTGGCACGCTCGGTCCGGATCCTCTTACCGTACGGACACCAAATATGCTCGTACAAAGTTTGCTCTTTCTCTAGTCGAAGGCTTTTGCTTCTTTCCTGGACTAAATGGTCGCTGTTTTACGTGCACCCTCAGACGAGGATAACTCGAAAGAACCAACCTCGCCTCTGTACATAACAAGTCCAAAATACTGACTGGTAGAAAAGCTGATTTGAGTGCACACTAGGCACTGGCCGATCCTTCCTTTGAAATCTGCTTCCTCAACACTTCAATTTGTTGCTTCAACCTTCTCCACAGAATATAATCGTCCAAGTCCTTTTCCTTCTTCGATGTCGCAACGGTTCCGTCACCTTCGATCTCCAAAAGATCCCACTGTTCCTGCAGCTCTTCATCCAGCTTATCCTCTCTGATAGATATCCTTTCCGCGTGATCGGTGTCCTTCTCCTGCGCGATACTCAACAGCGCACTCACAAATGCCTCTTGAATGTACGCGAAGGAAAAGTCGTCGGTGATCTTGGCGGCCGCCGTACATATCTCGTCGGGAAATTCAATGTCCTTGTTGTCGCTCAGCTTCTTCTGCCAATACTGGCAGTATTTGACCCGCTGCGAGAAATTCGGGTTGTCGAACAGATACTTCCTGTCGAACCTGGACGGGCGCTTGGCGATGCCCGGATCCAACCTGTCAAGATGGTTGGTGCTGCCGATCATGAAGATGCCGTCATTTTCAGAGAGGCCGTCCACGGCGTTGAGGAAGAAGCTGCGCACTTGGTCGGTGACGAGGCTGTCGAGGTCTTCAAAGACCAAGTAACAGGGCGCTTGCTGTCGGGCCTTGCGGAAGATCGTCTCGATGCTGTATTCGGGCCCCATGAAGCTCACCAGCGACTTCACGTAGAGCGTCGGTACGGGCGGGTCCCGGCTGTACAGGGTGTGCATAGTGGCCTTAATCGAGATTGTTTTCCCGTTCCCAGGAGGGCCATAGAAGATTGTACCTCGTTTCCAGGGAACGCGAAGACGATTGTACTGTTCCCTCGAATCGAAGAACCGTTGCACCGTATCCCTGAGGTCATCCTTGAATTCCTTGTCGAGGATCACATCTTCCCAGCGGGACTTCAGGATGCTGCGGTAAAGGAGTGGATCCTTCTGCCAGTATCCCTGGTTGAAGACCCAAACCTCGTCGTGCAAGACTGATTCCCACCGCCCAACCGTGGCCACCAAGGTTCGCGCCGCCCCCTTGTCGCCCAGGATATACTGGTTCCGAACTTGCGGGTACGACCCGAGACCGTCCCTGCCATCGGCAAAGTACACGAGAAAGGTCAGATTCTCCCATTTGTAAATGTAGCTTTCGAAAAAAACCTCGTCGGCGACGATGCCATTGCCGCCGTCCATGCGCTTGACAGGCGGGATGAATAGGGTCCATCTGAGCGAATCCGGCCAGATTTTGGGGTCGAGCTTGCTGCTCTGTTCGAGAACTTCGATAGTGGCCAACCCGGCTGCGGCATAGGCTTTCAAGTTACAATTGAACTCGGGGACGATGGTGATGGGAACACCCGGGTGGGCGTTGGAGATGGTGTCAAAGATGACCGCATCAGTATCGACGCGGGCCGCCGAGGCGTTGCGGAAAAACGCGCCGGACACTGATTCCACGGCTTCCTGAGCGTTGTGGAAGTCCATTGTTCCTCCAACGGCTCCTGGGGATGTTGATTTTAACGAGGTCTGCAAGCTCCGTAGTTGCGGCAGACACAAATCACAACAATAGTGGTGGGAAGGTTTCGAACATTGACGCGGATAACTAAAAGGTAGTACAGCTCTGCCAGGCACCAGCATTGATCAGCAAGGGAGCTCGAGAGCTTGGGCGTCGATCGCTCCCAAGGCGGGTTTCAGTTGCACAGCCCCGGATCCTGCGAGTTTGGGGGCCAAACCATTAAGCCTAGTTAAAAGCTTGCGGTGCGAAAGGCCATGTCCACGATATCTTGGGAGACATCTTCCTTCCTTAATAACGCCTTGACTTGGTCGTCGATCCACGAAAAGACCTTTTGGCGTGTCTCTGCCTTATTTTGCTGGTATGCGTCCCAGAATACACCATCACGTCTGACATTTTGAAGGGCTCCATCAATCAGCTTTTCCAGCTTTCCATTCGATCTGGTCCCTTGGTTCATGATTCTATGAATGTCGTCGATCATCACGACCAGCACAGAGCACAACATTCTCAGCGTCTGGAGGTCATGGGAAACGTCGTCCGACGATCGCTCGCCCAGAGATTCCACACACTGCCAGCATAAATTCCAGAATGTCCACATCTGCACGACTCGGACTGGATGATGCTCTTGTTCATGATACATGACAGGATGTATTACTCTGACAAATACCGCCGACTGCCACAGGGCCTCAGAATACCTCTGCGAATCGAGCAGTCGAAGGAACAACTTTCGCCGCAAATCAGGCCAAGGATACCGCCACAGTGGCCAGCTTCTCGTCAGTGCCAGGCGATGCATAATGTGTTTGATGCTGTCAATCGGGGTGTGCTCAAGTCCACTTTGAGATTCCAAGCCCATTAAGAACTGCTCGGCCTGGTCACTGGTTTCGGCAATTTCGGCGAGTATTGCCGGCTGCGTTGTATCGGTTGCCACGTCCTGTACAGGGTGGTAAAACATATCTGTAGCAGCGTCTCGGCCTCTAGAGCACAAGCTACAACTGCAGGTGAAGAAATACCTAGCTTTCAATTCTCCCTGCCTATTGTCGAAGGGTAAGGTCGTATCAATGTATGAAACCGTAACTTCCTCGCCTCTGGCGATTGGTCTCAAGGCATGAACAGATATGTTTCCGTAAGGTGGAAATTCCTCTCGACTGCTCGTTGGCGGAATGTCAAATCTCACAAATGCATTTGGATCACAAGAGTGATTCATAAGGGCTGGCTTGGGATGGAGAATCGATCCCAAGGGGTCGTATGTCGGATTTGTGAGAGTGAAGGAGTTGACAAGCAACTGACGAGTTCTCAGTCTTCTATTTTTCTTGGACGAACCCTAGGGGCGTGCTTACCACACAAGCTATTCGCAGTATTGTCTCTTCACTATGGTTGGTACCACAATAGGATTTGATGCCCTTCATCATGATGAAGAGATCTTCCCTGAGAAAGTCCTCCTGATGACTCTTCAGCGCCAGAAGTTGATCCCATTCGGAATGAGGAAGAAGATTTGCTTCGTGCTGCTTCAGGAGTCGAATGATGGATCTGGATGTGCTTGGGAGTATTCGAGGATGCAATCTGCCATAGAGCTTACACTCCAGACGATGATACTCTGACCAAGCCCGAGTCTGGCACTTCTGCACATGACGTTAGCACTTCCGATTCCTAAGCTCACCCCCGAAGAGATCACGGCAGTGAGACGCCCAACCTACCCGGTGACAGAATTTGACCACCTTGCATCCGCCGCACGTCTTCAATGTCTGACCGTTGGGGATTTCAGGACGAAGACTAGCATCCCCTGGCGAGCTGTAGCAATAATAACAGCGGGTTTGCAGTTCTGAGGTCTCCAGTGCCACCATCAGCGGCCGGGAAACGAAGACGACCTCTGACCTGGGTGCGATATCCTGTGCTGCGAAAATACCATTCCCGCGACCTGGTACCTGTTTTGTGTAAACGTTTGTGGCGTTGATTTGTTGCTTCAAGGGGGTTGTCATGGTGAAGAGAGGAATACTTGTGGCGTTATCGAAGGCCTTCGATATGGCTCATACTCGAGCTCGAATATTAGCTTATTTGCCTCAACCTCTTTTAGAGTTGAATATTTCAGGCAATATCCACTCTGATGCAGCGTTCATCCTCCCTGTCCAGGCAGATGGCTGACATTTGAAGCAATTGTGTGCAAACAATGAGAAACGCGACAATGCGCCCTGGAGACCTCGGTGGAAACGGCGTCGCCTTTGATGCCAAGACACAAGTTAATTAAACCTCGCCGTTTCAAACACGAGAATTTAACATTCCGTGCTAAAATCTCATCGGTGCCTTTCTGCACCTCTTCTTCATCCAACACTTCTTCGTCGTGGCCTTAACCAGAATGAAATATTCGCGTGCTCCTATATCCGAGTGCTCAACCAAAACATGGCTAGGCTACGTGTGACCCAGACACAATCAAGCGACGAAGGATGGTTCCATTGGGTGCCAGTGAAGCTTGCATCAGCGACGTGGCTATTGATCAGGTCACTATTCTACCAACACAAACTGGTTGGCAAAATCCATTGATCTGGAACACCTCAATCCCTTGGTTTGTTGCTTCAAAACGTCAGAACGTCTAACTCGGGCCAGTCTCTCCTCCGGGTCTTCGTTAGCTGCTGCGTACATGTGGCTTTTCAAGACCCGGCCATACCGACACCCTCAATCCAACTCAGCGCTGTCCCTTCTTCGCTTCCGCCGCCTCCTTAGCCGCGATCTGAGCTTCCGTGTGATGAGGCTCACGAGACTGATGCTTCTTTGCCTCCGCCGCCTCCTTAGCTGCTATCTGCGCTTCGGTGTGATGTGGCTCCCTGGATTCATGCTTTTTGGCTGCTGCCTCCTTTGCTGCAATCTGAGCCTCGGTGTGATGTGGTGATCGCTTATCGACCCAGGAGCCGAACTCGTCTTCGGTGCTGTCCCAAGGTCCGAATTCATCAGGAGCTTGAGCACTTCGGGCGTGGTTGCCCTTGGCTTTCGCCGCCTCTTTAGCGGCAATCTGAGCCTCAGTGTGATGAGGAGATCGCGATTGATGCTTTTTTGCCTCTGCCTCTTTGGCTGCAATCTGTGCTTCGGTGTGGTGCGGCGATCGTTTATCAACCCAAGAGCCAAACTCATCCTCGGTGCTGTCCCATGGTCCAAATTCATCTGGAGCCTGAGGACTGCGAGCACGATTGCCTTTGGCCTTGGCTGCTTCCTTCGCAGCAATCTGGGCCTCCGTATGATGGCGACGTTCAATGTCGGGAATCACCGCTCTGACGACTTTCGACGCCATAGAAGCCAGTGAGCCCTGTCTGCTGTCAGCTTCACGCGCTGCAGTTGTGTTTTGATATTGACTCACCACATATCTCCTCTCCACATCGTGGCCGCGAGCTTCAACTGTGAAGCCAGCACTGAGTGGTGCTGTGGCCAAAAGTCCAAAGACCAAAGCTTTGGTGAAAGAGAGTGCATGCATTTTTGCTTTGTGGATTTTGTTTCAAAGTAAACTGACCAGCAGTCTCGAAGAATGGACACGGAAGAAGCGAAAGAGTAATGGTCACAGACCTATTTTGAAGCCAGGTGGAATGAGGATTGGATATGGAGAGTTACTGAGGGAGTCCTGCAGATTTATATCAGACGACGAACTCTTCGGATCTAGCAACGCTTATGGTCTTTGCAGTGAGTAGGCCCCAGCAGTCCGAGACACCTCTCTCGGTGTGGCTACAAAAATTGACTACCCACTGGAGTTGTTGGAAGAGGGTCACATCACGGAAGCAGGAAATGCCTCATGGGGTCGAGGTCTGCCATGATTCTGCGACGAGCCGTGCATTCCGCGGCCTGAACCTGTGTGTGTTCTTCATCAATTTGCTAATGAAACCCAGAGTGAGACCCCTAAGCGCCTTCAAACTCAAGAGGTGCTATATGTACCACCAATACCTTTTAGCTTTGTGGGCACGTCGGTTTGCAAAGGGGGCAAGAGAACTGTGCTCCTGAGGGAGAAGGTCCTTGGGAAACCCGCTGGGTGCCCGCCAGCCGCACCTAGAACTCAGGCCAACCTCAATATTGGCGATTATCAGCTTGTCCTCCGCGCTAGCCGCATCTCTATATCACGACCTATGGTTTGGCTCTGGTTTCGCGAGCTTCAGCAAGGAGAAGATCTTCCTGTGAGGCGTCTCGAAAGGCATTGACTGTTGAATATTTCCTCCTTTGGTTAGCATGGGGTATCAAGTGTGGAGAATCCCAAGCATTCTCCACAACTGAGGCAGTCGTTTGACCACTTCCTCCCCCAGGCGCTACGCCATTCTGAAGCAGCACGCTGTGGCACGTCTTTCTCCTTCAGTCGCGACGTTTTGAAACTGGGAATGTGTTGCAGCCAAGGAATGGAATATGCCAAAGTTGATAGCAACTTCACGCGGTGTCCGCTTTGATCCATTTCGTGCATTTCATTCTGGACCGATCTTCGATGCAAGTGTTTTTCGACTCTTGCAGGACTTCAACTCTATTTTCCAGATCTATCTCTCAGAGCGTTTATCTCCTTCTACACAAAGCTGGGTTACGCTGACTGAATTTTTCCACTTGGACCTTGGAATGGATTGCAAATACCAACGGTTGACTCCCATCCTGGAAAAGCCTCGCGCCGAGTCTCTCGATTCCTGCTCGACACTGGGTGACTTGGAGGATTTGCAAATCTCATTGACATCTGGTCGGAGCGTCGACCATGTCCAGAGATTGAGCACTGTGCGCCCGTTTCTGGCCTCGAATTGGCTATGGATGGTCCATGCGGTTCTGCTCGTGACTTCTTGCACGTTATTCACCCTTTCTATCACAATCCGCTCATCGACCTTAAAACATGTGCGAGGGTTTTCTGCTTGGTGTAAGTAGTCCAGTCAAACTGGGTGCTATGCAGATCCAAACAAGGCTTCAAATGAACTGACCGAGCATGACAACAGCCCCTGCTGAGTCGGCCGTCGAATTCAACTCCGTGAGGTATAACATCACTACCAAAGGAAATAGATTCGTCGGCGCTGGGCCTGAGGTGGATAAAGCCTGGCGCGAGATATCGTACGATGGTGAGGGAATCCGAATTACTGAGGCTTATCATATTCGCCGATCTCTGATGAATCTTCGAAAAACAGTCGGAGACCAATGGATACCGAAATCTGACATCAAGCACCTCGAAATGCCGAAGACGTCGCTCAAAGTCAACCACCCAGAAACAGGTGAGGAAGGTTATCGAGTTGGGATGGAGGTTTTCCATCAGCTCCACTGCATCAATCTCCTCCGGCGAGTAACATACAAGGAGTATTACGAGCCGCTGGGAGGGGAGTTTGGAAAGGGGCCAGAGGAGCTTCAAAGACATACCGGTATGTCAATTTCACCTTTCTACCTCGGAGAGGGAGAACTGCGGCGAAGATCCATTTCGTGCTGACTGCTCTGCCATCGCACCAGATCATTGCATCGAGGTCCTCCGATTAAACATACAATGCAACGCCGATATAGGACTCTTCACATTCTACATGATCGAAGGTGATCCGTTGGCCTGGCCAGAGCTCAACTCGAAGCATGTCTGCCGGAATTTCGACCAGGTGCGCCAGTGGGCCTTGGAGCATTCGGTCGGAAATATGGAGGTTCTTTCTTGAAGACGTCTGCAACTCAGAAAAGTCCAACCTAGACTAGAACTTATTACAACATGATCAATCGCCGCTGTGTTTTCCCCGAAATTCAATCCGCTTGTATTGCTTTGCGAGCGTGGCACTGCCTTGTAAGAATAACCCTGGCTTGACCAGGCTGTTAGGCGAGTGTGATGTAGCTGGATTCGGGAGAGCTTGAGCGGTGTCGTCTCTCGTCAGATTGGCGTGAAGATCTGATACAGAGTTAGAATTCTGCTTCTTCATGCAGGTTAGGGAAGCCCGGCGATGTGGTAATGGAAACGCGTGGATAATGCAGCCGTTTGCCACGCCTCGTCGCAACCTACGTAAGTGCAGGAGGCTAGGTACAGCAACGATTAGATCAATCAGTTCTCAGTGATTAGATGTGGAACTTGTATCAGTCCGAACTGAGCTCTTCAGCTTTGAAACAAACCTTGAGCAGCGTTACAAAATGCATAAGTGGGCGATGTGAGAAAGGTCGCATGGTGAAGAAATAATAATGGAGTCGAGTTTCAGCATTGGCTGTACGGGCCCGGATCTAACGGTCATCAGGCTCTGATCAGCCTCGTCCGGCCCCCTGCATTCGAAGCCCCTCTGCCCCAGATATTGCGGAGTCGGCGCCTCCGCTAATGCTTCCTTTAGTGAGATATTCCAACACTTCAACAGTCTCGACTCCAGACAAGACCACTCCACCTGGCCAATATTGTGAATATGGCTCACAGACGTTGTAAAGCGATGGTGTTGCCAGCGGAACACGCGGCATCCAATGTGGCACCCGAGACCAAGAGTGCGACGCCCTTTTCAAGAAGACATGAGCTAGGCTCTTCGTCGACTACATACCTCGTACATCGACGAAAGCTCAAACGTGCAGGACGGTTTCATGGTAAGGCTCCTTGGCTCGAGCTTGACTCAGGCGCGAGAAGAGACATGCTTCTCATCCTCTGTGAGCACATCACTCTCCTTCTCGCCCATTGCTTCCACCTCCGGCCTTTTTGCATCTCATTGAAGACGGCTGCAATCCTGGGTCTGCAGTGATACCCTCTTACACTCTGCTACTGGCTTTTCTCTGTTGTTTTGTCTTATTGTTTACACTTGACATCATGTCTTTCTTGGCGGATGAAAGCACACATCCCATGCTCTCGCAGCACAGACTTCAAGATGAAGAGGAGGATATCCCACTCGAGGACAACGAATCCGATGTGACCAGAGTCTGCCCTACCACGTCGTTTACAAAGATGAGCCGTCTCCGAGCAAGAAGCCCCTCGGACATGTCGACATGGTCTTACAACGCTCCCAATCCACAAACAAGAAGACGCCAATTTGTCGCCGTTGTCTTGAGTTGGTTTCGTTGGGGTATGGTCGTGACGTTGCAGACTGTCATTTTAGTTCTTCTGTGGCGGCAAGACCGGAGAGGGACGGGAGGGGAAAGGGACCCAATATTGAGAGGCAAAACAGTTGAGACCGGAAGCGATATCAATGGCCTCTATCAAACAAGTGAGCACTTCGTCTCTTTACACCGCCCTCTGAAGTCCTAATGTGACTCCACATGGAGTATTTGAAGGCCGGTCTGGATGAGCCACTGATTGTCATTAGCATCCCACACCTACACATTCTTGAAGCCCGACCCTGACAGATTCATCCCCAACATGACGTCGAATGATAACCGGTTGGAGATACGGAGGAATTGGGATTTACTCATGCCGTGTAAGCCATCCTGGAAGACATTGACGATTCCGGAGCTTTTGCTGACTTGGACGACCAACAGTGGGCAGTGGCAGCGTTGCCATCCCAGACTATCGTGACCATCCGCTTCTCGGAGATCCAATTACAGACGACCCCATCCGTTCTGGGCCACTTTTTGAGGCGTCGTGGACGCACGCCCTGCATTGCGTTAGTCTTGACTCACTGTTCCCTTTCTCGAAAGCCTCAAGCTGACCGAACCAGTTATACTATACGGTGGACAGCTACCATCAACTCATCGTCAATGGACGCACGGACAACGACAACCCGCACCACGCAGCCCACTGCTTCGAGTACCTTCGTAACAGCATCTTGTGCAACCTCGACATGACATTGGAAGGGTCGATGTCGACGCCAGATGACAAGGAACGGGGCCAGCCTCACGTATGTCGGAATCGAGAGGAAGCTATTGCCTGGATCGAGGCGCGGAGGGTGGATGATTTGCAGGACATTGTTGGACCGTAGGACCGAACACAGAGGGATCTGGATAAAACTATCCGCACGTTGTAGAGAATTGAATGCTTCTTCTCTTGTTTCTACATATGAACAAATCATAATTTGCACCCTCGAATTTGGAGGAGGCGATGGAGGTGCTAATAATGGTAGAGAACTAAACGAAGAAAATTCCCCCACGGCTAAACTTCGGACGAAATTTCCACTCCGCAGTGTCGCCCTCCAAATTTTATTCCCCAGCGCCGCAGTTATTGACGGCAATCTTCATATTCCTGCGAGTTGGCGGCGGAGGAGGCGAAGGGCTGCGGAACACGAACACCATGGAGACACAAGCCAACAGGCCTCACCGGCCATCCAAAGAGAAGAAACAGCCCAAGAAAGGGGAGAAGAACGTCAAGGCCTTCGCCGTCGCAAGACCCGGGCGACTTGCAAAGCAGGCGGTGCGGTCCAGCGACATCAAGGAAAAGCGCCTCCATGTGCCCCAAGTCGACCGAATCCCAGAAGAAGCACCGCCCATCGTCGTTGCCGTCGTTGGCCCTCCCGGCGTCGGAAAGACGACTCTCATCAAAAGTCTGATTCGACGATACGCAAAGCAAACGCTGTCGCACCCAACAGGGCCTCTTACTGTGGTGACCTCCAAGAGAAGGCGCCTCACCTTCCTCGAATGTCCCTCCGACTCCCTCGCCGCCATGATCGACGTTGCAAAGATCGCCGATATTGTCCTCCTCATGATCGACGGCAACTATGGGTTCGAGATGGAGACGATGGAGTTTCTCAACGCCTTGAGCGTCTCCGGCATGCCCGGGAATGTCTTTGGCATTCTCACACACTTGGACTTGTTCAAAAAGCAGAGCACGCTCCGTGCGGCCAAGAAAAGGTTAAAACACAGGTTCTGGTCGGAGCTGTACCACGGGGCAAAACTGTTCTATCTGTCCGGCGTGATCAATGGAAGATATCCCGACCGCGAAGTTCACAATCTGTCGAGATTTCTCTCGGTCATGAAGAATCCCAGACCCCTGATCTGGAGGAACAGCCATCCCTATTGCCTCGCAGACCGTTTTCTGGACGTGACGCCGCCCACCGAGATTGAGGAGAACGAGAAATGTGATAGGCAGGTGGCACTGTACGGTTATCTTCGAGGCACAAACTTTCCAGCCGAGGGCGCGCGGGTGCACGTCCCGGGCGTGGGAGACTTGACAGTCAAAGAAATCGAAGCGTTGCCTGACCCCTGTCCAACACCCTTCCTAGACCAGGCGATCGCCAAAGCGACAGGAAAATCTCACCGGCGGAAGCTGGGCGAAAAACAAAAAGTTCTTTTTGCACCAATGTCTGATGTCGGTGGCGTGCTGGTTGACAAAGATGCCGTCTACATAGAGGTCAAGACGAATACGTTTGACCGGGACGCGGAAGATGCAGAGGAGAGAGGACTGGGCGAACAACTCATGATGAGCCTACAATCAGAGCGGAAATTACTTGGACAGGCGGACCTCGGTGTCCGACTTTTTCAGGGTAGCCGGCAACTCACGTCGGATGATACTACAGAGAACGATACTGGCCGGAAGACGAAAAGGGGAATTCGTGCCTTTGGTGACAAAGGCGACCTTGTTGAAGACATCGAGGAAGATGAAGACGAAGGATTTGTCAGTGGGGAGGACGACAGCGAAGCAGAGGATGAGGAGATCAATGACTTCCCCGAGCATATGGGAAGACCTGGATTTATCGCAAAAGATGAATCCGCGGAGCACGAGGACGAAGACAACATCGCATTCGCTGATAGCGACTCCGACATGGGCTCGGTATCGGGTGATGATGACGGCAGCAGGGACATATCAGCGGACGAGCTTGAAGGTGTTGAAGACGAGGAAGATGTCGAGGACGAAGACGACGATGGTGGTCTGCGCTGGAAAGAGAATCTCGCTGAAAGTGCTCGGAAGCTGCATTCCAAAGCAGTCGCTTTCCGAGCTGCCGACCTTTCCAAATTGATGTATGATCTCACATTATCCCCCTCACAAGTCATTTCGAAATGGGCAGGACAAAAGGTAGAACAGGACATGGTCGCTGGCGAGGATGAAGATGAAGACGACACCTTCTTCAAGAAAGCAAAGACTGATCAAGAGACCACCCTCGAGGACCGGCAGACGCCCAAGTACGATTATGACGCGTTGGCTGAGAAGTGGGAAGATGAGGAGCATGTTCAGTCGTTGAAGTCCCGCTTCACCAAGGGCTCAATTGCTACTGGAGGCAATGCAGATTCAGAGGCCGAAGGCGACGATGACGAGGACAATGAAGATTATGAGTCCGATGAAGGAGATGGCGACTTCGAAGATTTGGAAGCTGCGGCGGACGAGGATCCCGAAGCTGCAGCTGAGCTCACACTTGAGGAAGAACGGTCACAAAACGCCAAACGCAAAGAAGAGCTGAAGTTACGCTTCGAGGAAGAAGACCGAGAAGGCTTCGCGAATGCTGCAAAGACGGATATCGAAGCGACGGAGCAAGACTTCGGTGAAGACGAATGGTACGACGCGCAGAAAGCGATGCTCCAGAAGCAGATCGACATCAATCGGGCAGAGTTTGATAGTCTCGATCCCGTCTCACGAGCAAGAGCCGAAGGATTCAAGGCCGGGACGTATGCACGGATAGTGTTGGACAAAGTGCCCTACGAATTTGTGCGGTCATTCAATCCGAAGCTCCCTGTCATTATCGGCGGGTTGGCGCCCACCGAGGATCGATTTGGATTTGTGCAGGTTCGCATCAAGCGACACCGGTGGCACAAGAAGATTCTCAAGACGAACGATCCACTCATCTTCTCCCTCGGCTGGCGGCGGTTTCAAACATTGCCTCTCTACTCAATATCGGACTCGCGGACTCGCAATCGGATGCTGAAATATACGCCCGAGCATATGCACTGCTTTGGCACCTTCTACGGGCCACTTGTTGCCCCGAACACTGGATTTTGCTGTGTCCAATCTTTCTCAAATGCCAACCCAGGGTTCAGGATAGCGGCGACCGGGGTGGTGCTGAATGTCGACGAAACCACCGAGATTGTCAAGAAGCTAAAATTGACTGGGCATCCGTACAAGATCTTCCGCAACACGGCCTTCATTCGCGATATGTTCAACTCGTCTCTCGAAATTGCAAAGTTCGAGGGAGCAAGCATCCGCACTGTTTCTGGGATTCGAGGACAGATCAAGCGAGCGCTCAGCAAGCCTGAAGGGCACTTTCGAGCGACATTCGAGGACAAGATTCTCATGTCTGATATTGTTTTCTTGCGAGCGTGGTATCCCGTCAAGCCACATCGGTTTTACAACCCAGTCACCAATCTTCTGGATGCGCCTCCCACTGGCGCTGCAGATGCTGGGGAGGAAGGACAAGGCTTTGACGATGGTTCCAGCGGGTGGCAGGCGATGCGTTTGACCGGCGCTGTGCGAGCGGCGATGGGTATACCGACTCCATTGGTGAAAGATTCAGCGTACCACAAGATTGATCGGCCAGTCCGACATTTCAACCCATTGCGTGTGCCACGGACTCTGGCCGCAGATCTTCCATTTAAATCACAAATCACGCAACAGAAGGCACGCAAAGCACCAACGTATCTCCAGAAACGAGCAGTCGTCCTGGGTGGAGAAGAGAAAAAGGCACGCGATCTCATGCAAAAGTTGCAGACGTTGCGGAATGAGAAAGCAGAGAAGCGGGCGAAGAAGCAGGAAGAGAGACGGGCGGTCTATCGCAAGAAGGTGGCCGAGAATCTGGAGAAGAAGGAAGAGCGAGAGAAGAAGGAGCGGGACGAGTTCTGGCGACGGGAAGGCCGAAAGCGAAAGACGAACGAGGGTAATGGAGGAGGAGGGAAGCGCCCAAGACGATGATGTCTATCTCGTCTGTTAGATGTTATGAGCTATGCGACGTCAAAAGATGATACCCATTCTCCTGTGCCATGTATAGCAAGGCTGCCCATTTCACTAGGCGGGAGAACTGATGTTCCGCTGGAGGATCCCTAGACGTTGGTTGTCTCTTTGAAGCTACCATCTACCTACCTACCAGGTAGGTCCTCATCACTTCATTCAGGAATCAAAGGAAGTGGTTGGGTGGGAGCCCCTTGTCTCGCCTGCCATGAATAATCTCCTCTGTTGTGCAACACCAGATCCAATCCAGTTTCCCTGACGGAAATCACCACCCTCTACTCGGCACCTTGGTCTGACTCCCCCTTAACATTCGATCTCGGTTGGGGTAATCATACAAAAACCCCGTCTCAAGCTTCTCAGTATTTGCGGGTAGTACAAGAACACACCGAAAAAGACAAAAACAAGCTCCACATGTCAAGTGGTGGAGAGCTCGTATTCTCCCTGGACACTTTGTGTATGAAAATACTGATGCCGCAAGATCCTCCACAGACAGTCCATAGCGATGGAAGCCATACCTACTGTGCCGTGTCGTGCTCTGTCAGACTGATAGGATCTTCGTGAGATACTCGTCACTCTTAATTCTTACTGGTTCACGTTGCTATGATCAGGCTGCTGATGGGAAAGAGACAGGGCTCAACATGAGGACGGTCGCCAGCCGATGCTCACAACGAAGAGGTCAAGGATAGCCCTATCATGCCCCGCTGGGTTCAACGTGGTCTCACCCACCTCAAGCCTGGATCTGTCGAGCTCGAGTGGGAATTTTCCGGCCAAGAAGCATCTTGACTCCACGAAGGTGTTGTGGTCATTTCTACCGAGGACAAGGCTCCTACAGTGTCGCCAATGTCTGTCGCCATCCAAGAAACGAGCTCCAGTGCCACGTTGCGGACTGTCGCCTATGCTCAAGCGATCTGGCTACTTGCTGAGAAGTGCGACCTGGCAGCGGCAATAGCGAATCAAAGCGTGGTAGCATTGAACCGTCAGTGCTCGGATGTCTTCTGACAGGGTTTGAGTCTGAAGAGATACATGGCAAGTGGAGAACCTCCGCATTTTGCTGCGACCAGCTGGTGGATATGCTCCCCGGATTCCCCAACCTTTTGCCTTTGTCTGGGGCCATCCCTGGGCTGTCCACCCATGCACTGTGGAGGGAATCCTAGCTTGTGGTTTGAGGCCTGTGACCAATACGCAAGACTTGTCTGGTGTCTCCACCAACAGATATCATCGATCCAGGCCCAGACAAAGAGCTCTCCGTGCCACCGAACACTCACTAAACTTCCATCCATCCCATACCAGTGCGCCCTTCTTGCTTTTTTGCCTCTTGGCAGCTCTTGGTTAGAGCCCAGAGATCATTGATGACTCGACCTCGTATTACTCTGCGCCAGACCCGTAGAACCAACTCGATCGAGAAATGTGGAGGGTGGTGAAAGAGGTATGGAGAAGTTGGGGCAGTTTGCAGATTGCTTCGTTGGAGGATTTATCCCACAACAAGCGCGGGTCGCATCTCCAGCATATAACCTCCCTCGTCTCCCAAGTCCAGAAGTTCCCGGAAGTGATCTGCGTTCTTCCACGTACCTCGGTGTCGTCGATACCTTACTGCTGTTACGGCGCCTGATCGCCTTCGCCTTCGCTTCTTAACTTGCCTCCGGAAAGCAACTGAGCATCATTGAATAAGATGGGACTCGGTGTCTTGGAAGGTTGGTGCTTGATGTTTCCTTCTGTGACGCACTGTCATACTGCGAAGCTTCTTCTCGACACTGACTACTGGACGCTGACGGCTTCTTCAATGCAGATACCAAACTTCCGCATGTGCCTGGTACCGTCCTCCTGAACGACGAGGCTGCACATGCCGAAGCTCAGACAGCGAATCTCAAGCATGGAACGGGCAGAAACTCCCACATCGTGCTTTCTCCTCAACCGAGCGATGATCCAAATGATCCCCTTAATTGGCCTCTTTTGAAGAAGGAGGCCATCATTTGGATTCTCTGTTTCGGTTCCATGCTGAACGCGGCAACGAATGTACGTCCCTCCTGCAGCTGTGGTCGGGAGAAGTATTATGCCCTGCTAAACGTCTAATAGGGTCCTTTCTTGAACGCTTCATACTTCGCCATTGCCCAGGAAATTAAAACGGATCTTACGACCACGGTCCTGGTGTCGGGCTACAACATCCTCGCAGCCGGCTGTGCTGGGCCCTTCGTATGTGCCTTCAGCCGCAGATACGGCAAACGGCCTGTCTTCATTGTGTCTACTCTCTTCTGCATCGTGGGCACCGCAATCGGCGAGTCGAAAATAAGCTACAATTACCTCCTCGCGGCTCGAATTGTGCAGGGTTTCTCGACCAGCGCTTTCGAATCCCTCATTGTCGCGGCCGTGGGAGATCTCTACTGCGTGCATCAACGAGGCTTACGAATCTCGACCATCAACTTCATCCTGAACTCGGCCTCCAGTCTGGCTTCGATCATCTGCGGCCAAGTGTTCAACAACCTAGGACTTCTCTGGCTTTTCCACCTTTTCCAAATATTCCTGGTCATCCAGTTTGTCCTCATGTTCTTGTTCGTCCCGGAGACGACGTATCGTCGCGAATCCATCTACGAAACCGACATCGTCAAGGTTGAGACATTCGAGGAAATTGAAAAGGCTCACGAAGAACATCGTGAGCATGCCATTGCTGTCAAAGAGCTCAACGAACCCGCTGCCGCGGGCTCCTCCTCGCGCATTCCCCCCAAGAAGACGTTTGTCCAAGAACTCAAGTTCTACAACGGCGTCTTCTCTCATGACAGCATCCTCAAGTGGGTCTTGGGCATGTTCCTCACCCTCCTCAACCCAGCTGGATGCTACTCCATCATAGTCTCGGGTCTCCTTTGCGCCTGGTACGTCGGCTCAGCGATCATTCTGGCCGGCATCTTTGCGGGCCCGCCCTGGTTGTTTGATCCCGCCCAGATCGGCTACCTTGGAGCAGGGCCGTTCGTCGGCGGAATGATCGGATCCATTATCGTGGCAGTGAGTGGGGATCGAGTGGTGAAATGGATGACGATTAAGAACAAAGGGACATAGTGAGTTTTCCCCTGCTTTCTCAAAAAGGAAACTCAAAGACTGAATGGGAAAAAACAGTGAACCTGAATTCCGCCTGGTATTCATGCTTCCCTGCGCCATCTTTTCCGGCTTCGGCATGTTCTTCTTCGGCTATACCATGGCCCACGGGTCCAGCGCCGTCCTTTGCGCCTTCTGTCAGGGTTTGATGATGGTTGGTGTCCTCATTGGCGTTTGGTCGACCATGTCCTATGGGTTGGATGCCTTCCGTAGCCAGAGTAACGAGATGTTTGTGATGAACATGTTTTTCAAGGTATGGTAATTCTCCTAACAATCTGTCTGTTAGATGTTTGAACCAATATGCCATGGCTGACACTTTTAAAAATATAGAACTTTATGTTTTATGGCCTCTCCAACTTTGCCAACAACTGGGTCGCCGCCAAAGGTCCTGAGGAAATCGTGAGTCATTCATCCCTTAGCCTCAAGATTGTTCCGGAAAGGCCGCTGTCTTCCGCAGCTCCTGCTAGAACCAGTGAGAGAGAAAGAGGAAAAGAGAGAGATGTGCTAATGTCTTTTGCTGCTTGCAGATGTTCACGTTCGGAGGCACCACCTTGGCCATGTGTCTCCTCGCCATCCCCGTGTATATGTATGGGAAGAAGTTGAGGAGCTGGTGGACCAGGCATGATCTCTTTGTCTACTTCGGCATGCACTCTACCGGACCAGAGAGTCATATGGGTTAACTGAGGACTCGTTTGGAGAGGGCCACATGTAGGTGCAGGTGGTTTGGACCATATCCGGGAGCTGGAACTTCACTCCAAGCGGCGTACAGTGTACCTTTTGACGAGCCAACAATGGCGCAAATGACGTTGATGAGCACAAGAATCAAGATGTGTGTAATACTATTAGTTGTCCATATGAGATGCTTCGTGGGAGCAAGTGTCAGTTACTTCATCCCCTAGCACGAATCAACCACCGGAATTCGGAGTGTGCAGGTTTATCTTGCGTCCTAAGACAGGTGTTATTGTGGCCCAAGGAGGTCTACTTGATTGAAGGGCGGACAATGATAAGCTGATCCGGCAGATGTGTATCTCGCTTTCGTTGCATTTATGTCTGGCCCAGTCATTACACCTGGTAATCTGAGATGAAAGCGATGCGTCCTCCTTAGAGCGGATTGTCATCGTGCGTCTCTCACAACATAGTCCTGCGGCATTTATACAATCGGCAAGTCAAGGTAGCTCCATTTGGTCTTCATTCTACCGAGTAGTACTGCCACTACTGCCCATCCACACGTCCTTGTAGAGGGCATCGGATCAACCGGGGTGGGTAGGCCGGACACCCGGAGCAGGGCATGCCAAGCCAAGTCACGAGGGACCACCAGAAAGGGGAGAGCTTGGAGCAGTGGCTTGCTCCTCACCAAGCTCGGGACTGCGGCTACAGCAACCCAAGCAACCCAGGCGAACCCAGCGTGATCCGTCCATTGGAGTCGTCCGAGTCTAGTCGCCCAGCATTGGTTGGTCGCTTTGCCATCTTGGAGAGCAAAGGGGAGCTTTCGGTGTAAACCTTTTCACAGAATATCCCGCGCAGCTTCATCTATCTCTTTCTTCTCTTCCGTCGATCTCAATCCAAACATTCTCGTCTCTTTGTCCATCTCCCCTCTGTCTCTCTGATTCTCTTCATTCTTGTCTTGGCCAAACATGTCTTTCGCCAGGCAAATGTTCGGACAGGTCCAGCGTCGAGCTTTCTCGGCGTCTGCTAGACAGGTTTGTTTTCCCTCACCGTCACACCACGTCTCTCATCTTCTGCGACCTCAAGCTGATGTCTGAAACCCCACACAGTCCTCAAAAGTTGCAGTTCTCGGTGCTGCCGGTGGTATCGGTCAGCCGCTGTCGCTGTTGATGAAGCTCAACCCCCGTGTCTCTCAATTAGCCCTCTACGATATCCGCCTAGGCCCAGGTCCGTTCTGTCCACAACTTGAATATTTATAAGAAGAAGGATGTTGATTAAGACTGCAATAAACAGGTGTCGCAGCTGATATCAGCCACATCAACACGAGGAGCACCGTCAAGGGCTACGACCCAACTCCCTCGGGCCTCCGAGAATGTCTGGAAGGAAGTGATGTTATCCTCATTCCCGCCGGTGTCCCACGAAAGCCTGGCATGACTCGTGATGGTAAGAAGACGGCCTCCACACATCGAAGATGCAGTATGCTGACGGATTGTAGATCTGTTCAACACCAATGCTAGCATTGTTCGGGACCTTGCAAAGGCCGCGGCTGACGCTGCGCCCAATGCCAATCTTCTGATCATTTCCAACCCTGTACGTGAACACGGAAAATAGCCCTCTTACCGCATGCACAGGATACGCAGCTAACGATCCTGGAAAGGTCAACTCGACCGTCCCCATCTGCGCTGAGGTGTTCAAGAGCAAGGGTGTCTACAACCCCAAGCGTCTCTTTGGTGTCACCACTCTCGACATCGTCCGTGCTTCCAGATTCGTCTCCGAAGTCAAGGGAACCGACCCGGCCAATGAGAACATCACCGTTGTTGGTGGACATTCAGGCGTCACCATCGTCCCCTTGATCTCACAGTCTGGCCACCCGGATATCACTGGTGAAAAGCTTGATGCTTTGGTCAACCGAATTCAATTCGGTGGTGACGAAGTCGTCAAGGCCAAGGATGGTGCCGGTTCCGCTACTCTGTCCATGGCTATGGCTGGTGCTCGATTTGCCGAGAGCTTGCTCAAGGCCGCACAGGGTGAGAAGGGCGTTGTTGAGTGCACATTCGTGGACAGCCCCCTGTACAAGGACCAAGGCATCGATTTCTTCTCCTCCAAAGTTGAGCTTGGTCCCGACGGTGTCCAGAAGATCCACGAGGTTGGCAAGATCAACAAGTACGAGGAGAATCTGCTGGAGGCATGCATTGGAGGTGAGTCCCACGCGTCAAGACCCCGAATCACGTAGCACTGACCGCTTTTCCAGACTTGAAGAAGAACATTCAGAAGGGTGTGGACTTTGTCAAGGCTAATCCATAGACAATTGGATGGAGATTTGGGGGCTTTGGAACTAGCATGTACAAACAACCGACCTCTAAATTTCTCGAGGGTGGGTTCGTGTGGCAGACTGACCCGAGTTGGCCCAATCATCGACTCTTGTAGTGGGATGCACCTTTTGAGCCTTTTGCAGACACTACCTGGGTAATTACCCACTCCATTGTTCTTTTTTCTCGAGGCCGCCCGAATCGTGGGCCAGTATGCGAATCGAATTGCAACTTTACGCTTTCCCCGGTGCGCCAAAGTACGGAGGAGACAATCTTTGCCGATGTGGTGCATGGCCCGAGACTCGGTATCCAATCATGCACCCCCAATACGGCGTGATAGTTGCGATTTGACAGCTCCTGACAGCTCCTGACAGGGCTTGGACAGTTCCTAGGGCAAGTCGGAGCATCCGTGCTAGAATGGCGACCTGGGAGATGGGCAAAAGAGAGGCATCCAAGAGGCTGCTGAAGTCCTGGCACCTGCAGCAGCAAACTGGATGATCCGGACGCTTGGGACAGGTTGAGGACTTGCCAGTTGTTGAGGCACCTACCCAGGTATTAATACCCCTCTCTACCCTGCTGGATCGACGACCTGCTCCTGTCAACCTTACCATCACCTTACCATCACTTGCTCTGCCTGACGGGCCGTCCTCACCTGTGTCTCCATTCTGCTGCCATTGCAAGCCACTGACACTGCACCTGGACACGGCCAAGCCAAGCCTGTCACTTGCTGCCCAGCTGAGATCTGAACTTCGGGAGAGGCATACATCCAGTACCGACCACACCTTGACTCGACCCTCCTAGGCTGCCAGGCACCTTCGGTTATCCCTCTTCCGTGAGAGTGACGATCTCACCCCAATTGATTGTTCTCCTCGACTGAATCTGTCCCGTGTCCTGTGAGTGTTGCATCCTCTGGTCGATCAATCTTGCCGGAACAGCTTACCGGCGATCGAAACACCACTGGCGCCACTGCATCTCAACCACTACTGCCCCCACAATCACCTCCACCCCCGGCATCTGTAGCACCCGGACTAAGCTCCAAGCTAAGTCTTCATAGGACCATTAGGCTCGCAAACAATTTGGCCCACCCACGCTCAGCTCAGGTTGGTCGAAGTATGAATTGCGAATACATATTGTAGGCCGTCCACTCTCGTTCAACTAGGACAACGCCGCCCAACATGTCCCGCGCCATCGACGGCGATGGCGACCACGAGATGGCTGAGCCTGCCGCCGCCGAATCCTCTCATAACCGGAGACGACGGTGCCAAATCCACATTTCCCGTCACGAGCGATTAACTCTAGAGGCCCATATAGACTCTATAGGTGGAAGGACCTACCTCGACGAGCAGCAATGGACAATGCCAGATGGCCATCTTTGCCCGCTACTGCGTCTCCCGCCAATCACTCCTGGTAATCCGTATTTCTTTCATGAGCAAGTCACCGCATCAGGGGGAACCCTGCCTGAACCCAGAAGAGAAGCCCTCCCGCCGTTGGGAACCTTGGTGTTCGATTGGGACACGGAGGAGGCAGAGGACTTTGCTGATCAACGGAGGAGAGACAGAGCATTGGCCTCTGAACGACTGCGCGCTCAGGAGCATCTGCAACAGGGCCATCATGCTAATGTTCCTGCTGGATATCCTGTGCATTATCCAGAAACTCCACCTTCGGTACGGCCCAAGGAGTGTGCTGTATGCTTTGAGGAACACCAACCCGGAGAGCTAGTGGTCTTGCACCACTGCCAATGCGCCTACTGCCTGCCCTGTCTCAACCAGGCATTCCGAATAGGCTGCAAGGACCGTGCCTCATTCCCTCCAAAGTGCCACAAGGTCCCTCTACGCATCTCTGCTTTGGGCAGTGTGCTTGAACCCGACGTGGTCGAACGCTACAAACAGATTGAAGCCGAGTTTGGTGCACATCGGCCCTTCTACTGCGCCTTGCTGAAGTGCTCCGCTTTCATCCCAGAAACGGACCACCTCCCCCAGCAAGAGGTGGCGGTCTGTCCACAATGTCACAACTCGACATGCAGATCCTGCAAACAGCTCCAGAGTGACCACACTGTCTGGGACATTGACGTGAAGAAGCGCACGTGTCCGGCAGAGGAGGAAGATGTCATCAAACTCTATGAGCTGGGGAACGAGAAGGAATGGAGACAGTGTCCCACTTGTGGGAACATGGTGGAGAAGACTGAAGGCTGTGAGCACATGGATTGCGTTTGCGGCGTCGAGTTCTGCTACGTGTGCGGCGCACTTTTCGACGAAAACAGTCGCTGTGGGTGCAACGATGAAGATGATGAGCATGACAATCAGGAAGATGATGAGGACGAATGGAATCTTGATGGGTTCTTGGCCGCTGAGCGGTGGCCCGGTGCCGCGGCCGCCTTTGGACCCCCTTCTTACCCCTTGTGTTTCCACGGCGCGACGTTTCCCGTGGCCCCGGGTGAGCCGGTCTGTCAGAGGTGTTGGACGCATGAGGGGTTGTCGAGGTGCTATCAGTGTGGCGCGCATCTGTGCAGCCCGTGTGTAGACAGGTGGCATGAGGTTGTTCGACGTGCCTATTACGCAGAGTACGGGGGTACCCCAGCTTATGCCGAGTTATTCCGACGAGGACCGGCGCGCCAGCCCGGGGCATGACGGATCTGCATCATCTGAGGCCGCTCTCGCATTACGAAAAGCAGCGGAGTTTGAAAGCAGGGCGACAACGAAAATGAGAGACGAAGTCACGTTGTCCGTGAGGGAACGATGGATAGGGCAAAGCGGTTTCATGCCAACCCTGTGGCTTTCCAGTGACGGAGTTCGACCTCCTCATTCGGTATTCAGCGTCTGGCGTTTGGTGTTCGACCTCTCAGAAAGCGCTTCTGCCCACCGTCTCTTGACGGCACTTCGATGTTCGCCGCTCATGCGCCCAGACGGCGCCGATATTCGACCTCTTAAGTACAAGCGGGGTGCCGATGTACGTCCTTTCAGGAGGAGGATACTCCAGAGGTTGTGTACGCCTCAACCACAGCCATCTTCCCCCCTTTCTTTTTGTGTTTCTGTGGAACACAGTACACGATGATGTTAAAATGCCATGGGCTAAGAAGTTGTGACTGCTGCTTCAAATATTTTGTCACGCGACGCAACGAAACGCAACGAAATGTTATGCTATGCTATGCTATGCTATGCTATGTCTTGGAGGGACACCACGGCGGCCGAGCAAGCGCCAAAAGTGGACGGGAGATTTGCAACGACATTTTCCGAACTGATTGGAAATCAAAGAGCCTGCCTCGGAGACAGACGATGGGGGTTATGTAGGATATTATCTCTCTTATAGGTAGTTTATTTAGTCGAGTTTTTTTGTTGTTGTTTTTTTGAATACATCTCTTTGTAGTCAATACGCTCCTGTTTAGACGATGGTCATGCATGATCCGTTTACTTCCTCGCCTCGTTGTCCGCTTTTGCTTTTCGTTTTCATTTTGATTATATTCTCGATTTTTCGGATCCCAGCGTATCAATACTCATAGTGGTAAAAATTTCTCTGAAGGATACACCAGATAAGCACACATGGCAGAAGGGGCGGCAGACATGTGTTTAGAAGTTTACCTCGTACGTAGATATTACATGTATTCATTTCGTGGCTGATCAGCTTTTTGTGAATATCATGAATATGTCCATCCCGTGCACGGCGGTTTGGTTTGGTTTTGGTTTTGGTCATCCTCGAGGGTCGTCTGCCCTGATTTTCATTCAATTTTTATTCCCTCCATTCTCCCCCCTTGCTGATCCTTTGTTGTATGTAATCGGTTTTATTCAGGATCCGCAATCTTGAGAATACTCTTCCCCAAATTCTCACCCTTGAGCATACCCAAAAACCCCTCGACGGCATTATCCATGCCCTCGGTGATGAAGTCGACGCTCTTAAAACTGCCGTCCTGGATCCACTGGGTGACTTTTTCGTTGCGCTCGGGCTTCCACTGGTCGATGTTCTTGTCATAGACCAAGAAGCCTTGCCAGCGGAGGCGCTTGCGGACCATGGCGCCGTAATTCTTGACTCCATAGGGCGTGGTTTCTTTGGCGTTGTTGTACGTCGAGATGGAGCCGCAGGCCACGATGCGGCCGAATTCCTTCATGTTGGCTAGTGCTACGTCGAGCAGCTCGCCGCCTACGTTGTCGTAGAAAATGTCTAGGCCGTTGGGGGCGAGTCGTTTGACGGCCTCGGCCATGGACTCCTTTTTGTAGTTGAACCCCGAGGTGAATTTGAGGTCGTTGAGGATGAAGTCGAGTTTGCGGTCGTCGCCGACTGAGCCGATTACCTGGTTTTCCCCATCAGTTTTAAAATGTCACCCCCAAAAAGGGGAGTTTTGAAGCGGTGGTTGGTGTTTGGAGTGTAAGGGCAGAGACGGGAAAAGAAACGGGAAATCCAACTTACATGTAGACCTTCTCGCACTGCAATCTGTCCGACCATCTGGCCCACGGCGCCGGCGGCGGCAGAAATCAGGATGACGTCGCCTTTCTTGGGCTGGCCGATCTCGTGCAGCGACCCGTAGGCCGTCATGCCCGTCATGCCCAACAGGCCCAGATACGCGGTCAAGGGCACGCCGTCCTTTGGCTCGATGATCTGGGTGGTGGCGACGGCAGACTCGTCCTTTGCCGAATACGACTCGGTGCCGGAGCTCTGCAACATGACGATGGCCCCCGGTTTGATCTTGGGGTTGTCGCTCTTCAAGACCTGGCCGATCACGCTGACGCTGATCACCGGCTTGCCCGTCGTCATGGCCGCCGAGTACGACGGGATGCTCGGGTCTCGCATTCGTCCGCGCTGGCTGGGGTCGTATGCCACGTACAGGTTTTTGGTGGTGAAGCCGCCCTTGGGTGGAGGCGCTGTTTCGTCAAACCCAATGTCTTCCACCGTCAGGTCTTTGCCTGCGACGGGCCAGCCGTTGGGGACGGCCTTTGGGCATATCTTGTTAGTGGACGTGTATATCAGGCCACTGCGGCCCGCCTTGGAGAAAGGAAAGGAACATTAGTAACACACCTTGTAGATGAAGGCTTTGTTCTGCACCATTTTGAATATCGTCGGATGTGGTGGACGGGGAAGAGGAGTAATGCCTAGAGAGATGAAGATGGTAGCGAGGGGTATTGTGTGCTGTTGTTTCTTATGAAATTGCCTACTGTCCTTGAGAAGATGGTCGTCCTAATATACTTGAGGACCCAGTGCTCGAAGATCCATCCATAAAGAGTATCAGTCCCTAGGTGCTGCTGGGCGTGGGCCTCGTTTTCTGGCTAACGGTATCAACTAGAGCCAACCATTTGCAGGGTCAGGTAAGATGCACCACCAACACCTTGAGGTTAGCCAGTTTTTGCCTCGGTAGGATGTATGGCTTGGGATGGTGGCATTGATTGATTGTTAATAAGTAATCGGACATTTGATAATCCCCATCCTATGTCCTGCGGCCAGTGATCGCTGGAGCTTGATGAGCGCGAGGTGGCGAGACTTTCTGAGAAGGCCTAACTGTTTGGAGAGATAGGACTACGTAGACTGGGTTCGTCGAATACGACTATACGCAGGTGCATGATCGTGGATGATTGTTAATGATGAATTTTGGGAATGTCAAATACACCAACGAGGTATGGCGCTTCCTCAACTAAGGTACCTAGGTACCTACCTAGGTAAACAGCTCCAGTGCCTGCCCAGTAGCCCCCGTGCATCCATGGTTAGCTCCCCCGGCATAGCCGAAGAGGTAGCCGGGGCACCAAGGAAACCAAGGCAATGGGGCACTTGCTTAGCTAAACTACCTTCATTAGGTACCTAGATATGCACTTGAGCATTGGGCACAATTAACATTCTTAACTACCTAGGTACCTAGTAGGTACCTACCTAGGTACGTCCTTTCCGAAGCCCTCGACCGATACTCGGAGAGGTACAAGCACCGCAACTCAATTTACAAAGTACTAATCCTTGGATGTTTGTTCTTTTAATAATAATAATAATTAAATAAATACTCGAGTTTCTTTGTCTCTGTCTCTCTTCTCCTTGTCGCCCATTAAGCTCTCAACCTGCTTGCCTGCCACCTGCCTGCCCGCTCCACAATGTCTCCGGGCGGCTGCCTACCTTGTAAGCTTGAATGGAATTGACTGACCACGTTTCCTTCGGTGCCCAAACGCCCCAATCCAGCTCGACTGACAAAAACTCTCGGACTTGAATCCACTGTTTCACTCTCTGGAATCTTGACTGTCACACTGTTGAAACAGAAAACGAGTAAACTTCTATCAAGACCCCGTTGTTGTCTCTCGTCTCCGTTCAGCTGGTCATTGCAAGACCGGTAGGCCATTGTTGCTCTGCGAGACATGACTGCTTCTTGTCTGATTTGACGCACCCCCTATTCCATCCTCTTTTCTGTGCCACGTCCTGCGCAAGCGTCGCATCCATTTGGCGGTGAACTACTTATTTCTAGCGAAGGCTTTTGATGCACTTACTTCTTCCCTTTGCTCCAGCCTTATCACTAAAGTTACACTTGTTCCTGCTGGGCGTTGTTGTCCTTGTCATCTGCTAGCATCGTCACCTCACAATTGCTTCTTCACTTTGGCCCCTCTTCACCTCGTTTACTGCGAACCTTCGGAGCTGTGCCTTCTTTGCGAGTCCTAGGCTGCTCCCTCCCGCCTGCAACCTGCATCAAACCCTGTAGCCTCTTATCATCATTCATCGTTACCAAAAGTTACCATGGCCAGCACTCCGGTCGCCATGGCTGCCTTGCCTTCACAACGCGACCTGCTACAGCGCCTCAACGACTATCGCCACTTTGACGAAGGCCGCCAGACCGAGATCGAGTTTTTGATTCAGAGCTGCATTAAACTCAACAACACCTGCTCCACCCTAGAATCCGATCTAGACGACGAGAGAAATACACGCCGCACGTGGAAGAAGCGTGCCGAAGACGCCGAAGCTGCCGTGGCCCGCAAGTATACCGTGGTCCTCGTCGACGGTGACGGCTTCATTTTTCGAAAGGCCTTCTTTGATGCCCTGGCCATGTCCGGTGGCTCCAAGGCGGCCAATGAGCTTTACAACCAAGTCATCAGCCACCTAAAGGCTGCCGATGCGCTTTCAGGCATTAATCCCGACTGTGACGTCCTGCTCAATATCTATGCAAATAAGCAAGGCCTGGCCAAAACCCTCGCGGCCGCCGGTTACCTTAGCCACCCTTCTCACATCGATCCCTTCTTTTGCTCCTTTACCCAAAGCCGCAGCCTGTTTCAGTTTATTGATTGCGGTCCGGGAAAGGAGAGGGTTGATGCTAAACTACGAGGTAATCACCAGTGCTTTTATCGAGACAATTGACCGTGGCTAACCGAGCCATCTCTAGATACCTTCCGTTTCTATGCAAATAACGCCCAATGCCAACGCCTCTACTTGGCTTGTTCTCATGATAATGGCTATATCGCCGAGTTCGACAAATATCGCCATGACCCTGTGGCATCCAAGATCGTCCTAGTCCACGGCGCCCAAACGGCTGCAGCTGCTCGGGCCTACAGCGCTTTACCTTTCAAGTCGACCAGATTTGACAATGTTTTCGAATCCTCAATCTTAGAGATCCCCCTCAAGTCTGAGCCCATTTATGTCCCACCCGCCCCCGAGGCTCTCAGCCTGGTTTCGTCCTTCACCGAAAACGGTAGCTCGGATTTGACCCCGGCTAACAGTAGGTCGAGCTTTTCGTCCAACTCTGTCCCGCAGGCCTCGACACCATTAGCCGCCCTTCCACTCAATACCAATACCAGGACTCCATCTCAACCCAAGGCGTCCACCCCACCCACCGAGGTAGCTAAACCGAAGCCCGCGACCCAGGCTCATGCTGCGCTTATTAATGGGATGCAAGATGGCAAGAGCGGCATTCCAGTCAACCGCCTGGGGCAGAGGATTGATCTGAAGATGAGAATCCCGACTACAGCAGAGATGGAGAAGTTTGAAGATCGTATCGCCAGACGGAAGCTCTGTAACGAGCATCATCTCCGAGACAACTGCGAATCCTACAACTGTCGTTACGATCATGAACCCATTGACGCTGCCATGAAGAACACGTTGCGTTATAAGGCAAGGAGCATTGCGTGTACTCAGGGATCCAAGTGTCGTCGGATGGATTGTGTTTATGGTCATCAATGCCCGGTAAGTCATCACGGGAACCAGTCTCCTGTTGTCGCGGTTTGATGCTGACGATCGAGCAGTGGGGTAACAACAACTGTGGAAATCCGAAATGCTCATTTCTCAAAGCTGGTTTACACGACATCAGGGACCTGGAGATTGCCAAGTTTGTTGCAGCTGCTCCGAATTATTAAGAAATCTTGCGCGTGGGTGTGGGAAGCCATAGAGCGGGCGGGATTGATTTGGGGGTGCTTCTCGGGATGTTCCACTTGCTCGCTTCTTTTCTTTTCCTAGGTAGAGGAAGCAAGCGGGTGGGAAACTAAGGTAGACAGCAGAATCACTGTCAATGCTTGTTTGTTAGTGGCTCATTTGATGGGTAGAAGGACAGGATTTGCCATCAACCAGCCAAAGTCCGGACAGAAATTTTATCAGACATTTGACGCGATAGATCATTTCCTGTGCTGTGCCGCCATCGTAATGGTTTCTTCCAATTGTGATGGATTGACAGTCACCCCGGTGGCGGTTTGAAGGACTTTTGGAGTTGAATGCGCTGTATGGAACCCACTTGGGCTGGGGGATCTTTTGCTTTTCCGGGGTCCTTGTGCGTGCCGCCGCGAGGAAAGCCAAAAGTAGGCCTGAAGCGGTTTAAAGGGCCAGCTCCTCCACAGATCGGATGCACGGATGAAGAGTCCCCTCCTCGCTCGTCGCCTGGTCAGCTCATGCCGTGGGCAATGGGCATTGGGCATCCAATGCACGGTCCTGTGCGAGTCCTGGACTCCTGGCCCCAAGCTGGGCTCGCTGGGTGGCTGATGCATCTCGCGCATTTCCTCCACTCATCGTCCACGGCCTCTCCGCCGCCGCTGATCAGGAGACCACACAGAACCATCATCCATGCCAGTCTGCGCTGCTCCTCCCCATGAATTGTGATGCTTTTTGCCCATGCCACCTGCTGCCGGCACACTTGACATGGCCCTTTTTCCTCGTCAGGCTGCTACTGCTGCTTGTCATTGACTAAAAAAACCTTGGATTAGCACCTGCCTCTCGGGTGATGAAATGGCTTGGTTGGTACAGACAAGGGCGGCAGCCTGCAACAAGGCATCAAACAACACCTCTTCCACTGTCAACTCGTGCTCTCGAGCCTCTGGTTCGCACACTTGACATACATCATCCATCATTCACTGCTCAGCCATCCAGATTTCTGCCTGTCCCTTCTTTTGGGCCTTATTTTGAATGCACTTGGTATCTTTCTTGGCTGACTCTAGAAAAGGCAGAAGCACGTCTTCTTCGTGCCTGTGACTCGACTCGCCGCTGCCTCAGCCTCAATTCTGCCTGAGCAACCCACGCCTTTCTCTCTTGTCCCCTCTTCATATTTTCCTTCTCTGCCTTATGTCTTGAGGGCGCTGGCGGTTCATCTTTTCCCGGTGCTCATCTCTTTGTCATTGACCTACCTTGCAGTACTATCCCTCTCACAACTAGACCTCGACCCTCTTCCTCTCCCCACCTTTACTCCCGCCAAGCAAGATGGACCAAAACACTGGTGTCACAGCAGAAACAAAAAAGGCCGAATCTTCAGCCGAACGCACTTCCACCAGCAAGATTCCTGCACCCGAGGCAGCCAAAGACAAGAAGAAATGCAAGAAGCATGTTGGACCGTCCAGCAAGACAAAGCCCAAGCATGGCAGCAAGAAGAAAGAAATCGTTGAGACGGAAGACGAATCCTCAGAGTCAGATTCCTCCTCAGAAGTCTCGACCGATAGTGACGGTTCGAGTGACTCGGGGAGCGACTCTTCCTCCGTTGTTGAAGTCTCCAAGAAGAAAGCTAAAAACAAGAAGGTGAAGGCCCAGGCGAAGACCCAGGCTAAGGCCTTGGTCAAGGAGCTCAACAAGCGAACGAGGAGAATGAGGAAGCAGGCAGCAACCGAGGACGACGACTCATACAGCGAGGACGAGCTTGACGAGGAGGTCATTAAGCCTCGGTCAAGAGTCCGAGTCAAGCCGTCCAAGAGGGTGTCTAGGAAACATGCCAGCCCTGACCGAGACGAATGTGATGTTATCGAAATCCGCGAGGATCCCAAATCTGCAAGGCTACGCCAACTGAGATCCTCATTGCACAAGCTTGACTTTGAAAACAATGACCTTCCTCCTCCGTCTAACGTTTTCTCCCTGGCCAGAGGTGACAGCCATCCGGAGCCCGTAATCCCCATCATCAACCATTATGACAAAGCTCGAAGAAATCGGCGCAGAGAAACTATGTTTGATAGCAACCTTCTTGTCGGAGAGCAAATCCTCGAGCAACCCAAGGCGAAGAAGCAGAAGAAACCTAAACGCGCCTCCAAAGTCGCTTACAAACGAGTGGACCAACTTTGGGACCAGTCCATCCACAACTTCAAGCTCACTGAAACCGTGAAAAACACCGGTGAGGCCATCTGGGACCAATACATCTTTACTGTGCGTCGTCGGTTCGACTGGGAGCACAAGTATCTGGCAACCGTCGTCGACATCAAATCCGAGCCTCTCAAGCAATGCCTCCAACATATCATGGCTGGCGTCAAGGGCATCAGTCTGGTCGAAGACACGCCGCATCTGGATCCCAATATGCTCTTCCTGTATCTGGAAGAGATGAGGGAGTATGTCAAGACCCTCGAGGACGACGCTGTGGGGAGGAAGCGCAAGGAGGCTAAACCTTTCAAGACCAAAGCCAAACACCTCCGAATCATGGTCAAATACCTGGACAAAGATTTTGCCGAGACCAAGAAGAATTTGTATCCGATGCTGGAAAATGGCATGATCACCTTTGACCTCCTCTGGGCCTTGTACAAGCCAAACGCCATTGTGTACTCTTCCACTTACGGAGATCAGGACGAACCTCGGGCGTTCAAGATCGACTTCACCACGAAAGAGTCGCACTTTATGCGGGGCAGTTGGTACATTGTCGAAGGCAGATACCTAGAATACGACGGCAAGAACTTTGGAATGGGCACCACGCACTCGGAAATATCGTCGTTCCAAGGTGTGCGCAAAATCACCTCGCTGGAGTGCTATCCGCTTGAGTATCACAAACATGCCGACAAAATGCGATCCCAGTTGATTGAGCGAGGAAAGCACTTCGTGTCCCTTCAAGGCATGAACTACCGCCACCACAAGGGCATGGCGTACACCAAACGCAAGAAGCAAGTCTTGAAGATCAACATTGACGGACGCGTCATGGTCGACCCTGCAATCCATCGCCGAATCAATCCCAATTACCCTGCCAGTGTCATCAAACCAAAAGACGATCCAGATGGAGTCATTCTAGACAGCTCGGATGACGGTTGCGGCTGCGGGTTTGATAGCGGCACTGACGTTGGCGGCAACAACCAAACCACTCCTTCTGATGAAACTATCCAGGTGCAGGAGACAAAAAAGTACAAGGTGGTGAGAACGCCAAATGGTCAAAATATCATTGTGGAGGTCAACTCGAAGGAAGACACTGACTGGAGCCAAAAGGCTGAACCGATTGAAAACGACAAGCTGTCCGCCCATGAATTCACCGAGGAAGAGTTGCTCATTGCCAGCCCTGTTGTCTTGGGATTCGCCTTTGGCGAGAAACTCTGGCTCGAGTTCACCGTCTCTGGCATTTCCAACGTCGTCTTCAACGACCAAGCCTTTGAGAGTCTCGTTCTTCCTGACGCCCACAAGTCCATTGTCAAGGCCCTTGTCTCGAGTCACACCTTTCAAGCCCACAAAAGCATTGATGACATCATCTCTGGCAAAGGTCGTGGTCTCGTGGCTGTTCTCCATGGTCCTCCAGGCACTGGCAAGACGCTTACCGCTGAAGGGATCGCGGATCTTCTCAAGTGTCCGTTGTACATGGTCAGTGCTGGCGACCTGGGCACGGAGCCGACCAAACTCGAAAAGGAACTCCAGAACATTCTGGACATCGCCCACAGCTGGGGTGCGATCCTGTTGCTGGACGAAGCCGATGTTTTCTTGGAACAACGTTCCATTCACGATATTCATCGCAATGCTCTTGTCAGCATCTTCCTGCGGCTTCTCGAGTACTTCCAAGGCATTCTCTTCCTGACCACCAATAGAGTGGAGACATTTGACGCTGCTTTTGTGTCTCGTATTCACCTGTCGCTGCGCTTCCAGAACCTCACAACCAAGGCCAAACGCACCGTGTGGAAGCTCTTCATCGACCGGGTTAAGAACCAGGAGGGGATGCAAGTTGCGGCCATCACAGAGCAAGATTACAACGACCTGGCGCGCCGCGACGTCAATGGGCGACAGATCAAGAACCTTGTGCGTGCTGCACAAGCTCTGGCTGTACATGAAGAAGTGCCTCTGAGCATGGTGCATATCAAGCGTGTGATTGATGTGGCTGAGAGCTTTGAGATGGATCTCAAAGGTGGTACTGGATACACGGATGCCATGAGAAGTGAGTTTTACCTGTGACCGATTGCCAGGTTTGTTGCTGACTTTGATAGGTTATACTTGATTGGCTCATCATGTCACCTGTTGCGAAGCGACATGACACACAGCCAAAAAGCTGGGGTTGTGGAAGGGGTTGCCAGCGGGCCTCTCTTCCACAAGAATAGAGCCGCCGTCAGCATCAATATGAAACGCTGTTGGTCGTTATCCGGCATCCCAAACGGACCTGGCTCATTTTTTCTGCGCGTCTTTCGGGCGCGTCTTTTCGGTCTCTGGACGGCCTGGGGAATGGACTCGATGGTTTTGGTTTTGGGTGATTGATTGCATCCTTGCTTGTATCTGATGAGGGCGGTCACCGTGCCGATTCGTGAACAGGGTGTTGGACTACGACACTTGGAGGCAGGCTCAAGTGAGACACTAGGTGGAACGATGAATGACTTATGAGGCGTGGCGTTTATGGATGCTGTGCTAGCAAGCGGGTTCAACTTGATCCTGCACCATTGACTGCATGATAACCCGTCTTGGGCTTATCGAGTCTGCATAATCAGATAGGTAATTTGTTCACTTTGTTCGAATGCTCTCTGCGTATTTCAACATGTCAACATTTTTCTGCATATCTCCAATTTCTGCTTATATAGGATGCTTTGCTCTTTCGTGCATATATTGCGAGACTTTGCCGCCCTGCGAAATGTGGACACAAGACACAGAACACAGAACACGGCAGGTAAATCCAGGCATTCTCAGTCAGCTTACAAGGTTTGTCGAGGATTGACAGCGTCCAGATCTGGCCAGAGTCCTCTTCCTTTAGAATCACCCTCCGTTCCTTTTGGAGAGAGAGAAAGCCTCCCGTGATCTCGCCTTCGTCCCCTGCTGTTTTGATCTCTTCGTCGCCCTCCTTTCCTCGTCGAGAAATGTCCCTCTTCCTTGCCCGCCCCCGGCCCCCGTCTCCCTCTCTGGATATCGATCCCCTTTTTCCAGGCCTCTCTACTGAGCAAGATACCCGCCATCCACGACGACGCTCTGGCCGGTGATCCAACTGGCGCCCTCGCCGGCGAGAAAGACCGCGGCGCGGGCAATATCCTCGGCCCTACCCGTGCGGCCCCAGGGGTGCGTCGCCTTCATCAGGGCGTCCATGTTCTCCCTGCCCATCTTGGCGTACATGGTCTCGAGGATGTGCGTGTCCGTGAAACCCGGCTGGATGGCGTTGACGTGGATCCCGTCGCGGGCGTACTCGAGCGCGATGGCCCGCGTCATGTTCAGCACCGCGCCCTTGGACGCGCAGTACGGCGACGCCCCCGCTAGCCCGGCCGACGCGAGGATCGACGCCAGGTTGATGATCCAGCCCCTGTGCACGTCGGCCGTGGCCGTGGTCGTGGGAGAAGTGCGGGAGAACCGTGGGTGCGGGTCCTGCGCGAGCATCTGCGTCACGGCGTACTTGGTGCCCAGCCACACGCCGCGGATGTTGACCGCGTACGTCTTGTCCATGGCGTCGACGGAGGTTTCGTGAATGCGCGGGATGGCCCCGCTGGTCGAGTCGAGGTATTTTCGGGACGTGGTTTCGGCGGAGATTCCTAACTCCCAAGAAAGATCAGATATGGGACTATGAGAAGGAAGGGAGTATTGAAGAGTCCTCTGTGGTAATATTCATGCATGAGGGACATTCTGTTTCTGCTCTCTGTCTCTGTCTGTGTGTGTGTGTGTGTGTGTGTGTGTGTGTGTGTGCATGAAGGGGCCAGCGGAAGAATGCACTGAGGAAGGGAGAGCCCATGGGATTGTGGAACTGGGGAGTTGGGGAAGTTTTGATACTCGAGGACTCAATGAGAAATGGTTCGAGGCTGACGAGGCTGTAATTAAGGGGAGCGGAGACGAATGGTCATGCATGGGTGCGTAGATTGGGTTCGATAGATGTATTTGTACCGGGGTACAATTCGCGATCCATGACCGCCCTCCCTCCTCGAGAACTAAAGAATAGAGAAATGACTTACCAGCATTATTCACCATGACATCCAACCGTCCATACGTCTGCACCGTAAAAGCCACCGCCGCCTTCACGCTTTCTTCATCCGTGACGTCGCACCGCACAAAGCTGGCCCTTTGCTTCCCACTCGCGGGCCACTTGGCATTGACCAACTCGACCGTCGGCGTCGTCAGGTCCGTGTCCTTCAGCATGCCCGCGATGGTGGGCGCCGGCGGCGGTGCGGGTTGTAGGTCTGCCGAGACGACGTACGCGCCTGCCGCGGCGTAGGCTTGCGCGATGGCACGGCCCAGACCCGACGAGGCGCCGGTGATCAGGGCGACTTTGTCTTCGAGAGACGCGATGTTGCCTATGGGGGAGTCGGGGGAGGGGAAGGTGTGGGCCATTATGGTCTTGTTTGCGAGGTGTAGGTGATGGGTGCCAGGGGTCGGTGGTGTCAGTGTTAGATGTCCGTTTTGATGTCAGGCAGTGAGGTGTGGTTTAGGTTATGGTTTGCAAATGCTCGAGTTGATGTGATGATTGTAGGGAGGTTAAGGAGGTTTGATATATACAGGTTGTGGAACGACACGGCCAAAGATTCAGAATATATAGTAAATGCACGTACCTAGCTATGTATTTCCCTATATACTTCGTATATTTAGGATTCACAGTACCGAGCAAAGCGGGGGACATATGTTCCATGTCCATTGAACATACCGAGTCGGCCCGCTCGGACGGAATGCAATTAGGGGGAGGGGAGGAGTGAGGAGCAAGGAGAGAAAGTGTATCCAAAGGCTCGAACCCTTCCTTCCAACTGTTCGTCCTCGCAATCTGGCTTCGGAACACATCTCATGTACCGTGCGCTCTTTGCCCTGTCGAATCGGTGACTTAACGTCGAACGTCGAACGTCGAATGTTGACTGTTGACTGTCGGACTGAAAAGGGGAGCAACGTCAGCTGATACGCATGAGGGGGAAAAAGCATATTGTGCATTTCGCCCTGGCATCGACATCTCAGTGCGAGTCAGTCAGTCAGCCAATCAGAAAGTCAGCGTCGCGTTATGAACCACATACAGTACCTGTGAAGCCTCGAATCCTTTGTGGGGGGCCTTCTGCCGGCCCGAGGCTCAAGTAACTTGCGGTATGCGAAGGTTGGTTGGAGTTGGAGTCTTCAGAAAAAGAAAGCGCGTGGGACTTGATGTTCGGCTGCTTTATTTGTATATAGAGAAGTGCTCTTCACTCTCGCCGCCCCGATACTTCTCGGTGGGAGAGGAGCTTGCGGAGAAGTCAGCATAGTGTAGGGTTGTTGTCTGTCCAGCGACCGGTTCTTTGAGGACTGGTGTCATCACTAATGTTTGGTTTGGCTCTGATATGCCTTCACACAGGTGAGCGTCCAGTACTACCCTTGAAGCTGACACGCGAAGGTCGAAGAGACCGCAGTAACTGCCTGGACGGAGAAAGGGCCACTTTCATAGAGGGATGATCTTTGTGTTTTTCACATACAGCCCTCAGAAAAGGAAGACAAACCTCAATATCGGCAATATCCAGCAAGGGTAATGTCTTCTCTTGTCTTTAATATCGCAGAGAGTCGTCCGGTAAGGGTTTCCTTTCCTCGGGCCTCGAGACACGCAAGCCAACTTGAATCAGTCAGGGAAGCGTTGAGCCAGAACCTCATCGGCGGATGCGGAGTGATCACTTTGCATCGAGGAAGGGAAATGTAAGAAAAGATAATCCATAAGGTTAGGACTCAGAGTGCCACGCGCATATACAGAACATGGGGTTCCCTAATATATAAATCAACTTAATCGCCTTCCAGATGACATGCAAGATCGCTGTACAAGTCATAGTCCTCGTAGCCTCACTGCGCAAGATATGCCGAATGAGATCTCTCAAACACCGCTGACACGCACAAGGGTAGATGTAGATAAATGTCACGTAGAGACCGGCGCGGAGATTTTGCTCTTTTCAGCAAGTCGAAATGCTTGCTCTAATTCATCGTCGCTGTCGTCAGATAACTCGTCCAGCATGCGGTCAATGAGGGCTGCCTTGTCAAACGAAGGTTCTGTGGAGCCGGCCTCGGAAAACACCACTTTCTTCGGAGACGTCACCGACGTCTGGCTGAACTGAGTTCGCAGTGGTGAGGTCTGTGATGAGAACAGCTGCGCGGAGCGGAGGGAAGAATCCTGCGAAGCGTGCGAGGGTGGGTTGTATCCTGAATTGCTGGGGCTGGCCATGAAAAGAAGCGTTTCTACCGCGTCTGCTTCCATCGCGGCATTCTGACTCGGGGTTCGTTGGTTCGTATGCGGCCTCGCCGAATGCAAGTTTCGGGTCTGGACGTGGATTCCGTTGACGCTCTGAAATGCCGCGTTTGGAGTCGGGCGCCGGCGAGAACCTGGAACAATATCTGCGGGTGGAGCCAGAGCGCGACGCGACGGGATCGGAGGACTGCCAACCACGTTCACCAACCCGCGGCTTTCGAGAGCCACAGTGCTGTCGGACGATTCGCTCTCGCTCGACTCGCGCTGGTATTTTCTCGACATGGCAGTCCTGGGCGAAAGCAACTGCTGGTCATGTAGATTTTGAAATCCAGACACGGTTGACCGTGGGGATTGGGAGGCCAAGGACTCAACCTCGTCCAGAGAACGTGTTTGCCAACCGTTCTGGACTTTGACCATGGCATATTTCAGTTTGGTGCGCAACTGCTGTGAAAGCTGGACCACATTAGATCAACACACTTCTGGAGGGAAACGCGAATGACTCACCTCGAGGACATTGCCCTTTGGCTGGGTTGAAACAGTGCTCGACGTATGGGAATGACCGACACCGTTCGATCTGGGAATACCCTCTTCCATCGGATCCACACTGGACCTCTTGACCTCACCACTTGCGGTTCGTTTGAGACCCGAGGAGGCGTTTGATGGAGGACTCTGAGAGGTTGAGTCGTTCTTTTCCCGCCGAGCTCCTTCGTCGCGAGCAGTTTCCGCGTTCAGCCTCTCCTCCTGCTGTGAAAGAGTTTCTGTTGCTTGCGATCCCCCATGACTTGAAATGGCAGATGTCGTGGGCGACACTTCGCCATGGTCCGCTGACGGATTATTCGCGGCGGTCGATGTGTCACTGGTGGACAGTCTGAGGTGTTTCGGGTTGGAGGAAGAGGTATCGCTCGAGTCTCCAGAAGGAACAGCCGAAGGGAGATGTTCTAGAGGTAAAGGTGCAGGTGTTGTCAAGACAGGTGGATCCGAGATGCCTGATGCACCATGCGCCGTGGCATGCTGCATATTCGACTCGGTCATTCGGCGACGTGCAGTAGTCACGCTGGTGGGAGATAGAGGTCTCGAATACGGAGAAGGTACGGGCCGCGACGTTCAGGTACAAAGGAGGAAAAGCAGCAGCAGGAGTCAGAATCAGAAAGGAACGACGAGACAGGCAAGCGTCGTCGCGTGTTGCAGCGGTCGTGGCTCGTGTGTGTTAGCGGTGGAGTTCCCAAACCTCGCAGGCTGTCGCAGTCTGGTCGAGATGGTGGGGCGGAGGACCTGATTGCGTTGCAACGCGTGTTCGGGGCCAGTGCCGACGCGTTGTGATCGGGCTGCAGAGGCGAGATGAAGACGAACTCTGATGAGATGGAAGAGATGGAGGAGACAACGCGCATCAACGGCGGTAGAGACACAGATGCCAGGTTGAAGGGTTCAAGGGCTCATGTCGCCATGTCGGCGTGGGTGTGAGAGTATGGTGACTACACGGAACGAGGTATTAATCGTGACAGACAGAGTTTTGCTCGTGGCATTGCGTCGGCCGTTGGGCGGTTGTTGGCGGTTGTTGGCAGTTGGCAGTTGGCACGCGCTATGCTCCTTTGCTCCGTTTTTCGCTGCAGGGCTCAACTAATTAATTGTCAATTATTAGGCCTCGTCATGCGCTCCCTCTTCCCTCTTCCAATTGCTGGTCTGTTTGCCTCTTTGAGCACATGACTCCACTGTCTCTTGGATTCTACTACTACCAGGTACGAGGTACCTTAGGATAGGCATCTTTCATGTAGAGTCGGCTGAAGGGATTGATATTCCAGCAATGTTTCGAGAAAGCACCCTTATTTTATATACCTCTCCTTTTGTGCTGTTGTCCAGTCTTCCTGTCATCCATGCTATCCCTGCTAATGCAATGCTTTCGCTGCCTTTCCGCTTTTCCAAACAATGATATATACAAAAAAATGCCATCCCAAATGTGTCCATGTTCCCAGCGCTAAACTTCATACCCATCACCAGTGTAGATACTGCCAGCCAGGGTACTAGAGTCCATCATGGACTGCCTCCGGTCCGCCATCTCCACCTCCTCGTCCCCCGCCTGCCCCATCAATCCATTCTGTCCCGGCCATACTTGGGGCGGCGAGCTCAGGAGAGCAGCAGAAGAGCTTTCACCCGACGCTGTACTTTCCCCGCGATGGTGCCCCATCATCTGCCGTGCATCTTCCATTTCCGGTCGTATTCTTTTCATGCCCATCACTTCAAAGCCAACCTCTGTGTCTTTCGTTTTGGCATTATGATGATTGGCGAAGATCATTGAATCTCGGATGGCTTTCGGTGCCAGGGATTCTTTCGACCACTCAAACAGGTTCAGCCACGGGAGCCAGGCCAGGAGAATGCGGTGCGCCAGCGAGCGTTTCTGTTGACGTCTGACCCTTGCTGATGATAGGACAGGGAGAGTTGGAGGTCGGTCCATAGTCGCCAAAGCTGCAAACTGATTCGGGTCCTCTGGGTTGTCCGGTTTGAGGGGAGGTGAATAGGGCCGGAACCCCAGACCATCCACGGCAGTCTCGGCTCCCTCGCCGCCGGAGGGTGCACAGTAGTTGTCGTCATCTTTGTTTCGCAGCCAAGAGATATGCGTCTTTGCAAGCATATAAAGTACTCGCACAAGACTGATCATTCCGATAGCCAAGGGGATCAACTGGCCAGCCCCCACCGCCGCTGAGCTCCCTAGGACGTTGCCCATGTGATTCAAGTTGAGGGTGAACTCGATGTTGAGGATGGCAAACACAATCCAGAACAGATTGAAACAAGAGAGGCAGATGTACCAAGTTGTCAACCTATCGTCATTGGAGTTAGCAAGAAGATGTCAAGTTGGGAATAGGTCAGGCCTGGATGAGTTCCAGAATGCCGACTCACTCTCTCTTATTGAGCGAAACATCCGCGTCCGGGTGCTCGATCAACTCCCAATTATCCGCCTTCTTCTCCCATTTCCTCGTCACATAGACTATGCCCGCGATCGCGGCCACGATCGCCATCACGGCATAGTACAACGCCGCTACTATCGCCATGGCCAGATTCACCCCCCTGGTAACCCAGGATTCAACCCTCATTGACACGAAGAAGTATGTCTGCAAGCCGCCGCAGGCTTCTCGGCGATCGCACGGGGAGAGGACGTCGATGCCTTTGGCCCAAAACCAGACCCCGTAAAGGGTGATCATGCTCATGAGGACGAGGCGGAAATGCGTGCCAAACCCGCCAAAGTGGCGGCGTCCGCCTGGCCCTTCCGTTTTGTAGTACACTGTTAGGAAACGAATGGTTAGCTGTAAAGCTTGCAATGCCCCCAAGAATGGATTTGCCAATATTAAACTCGGTCAGGCTGATTCCCATGCACATGCTCGTGATAGCATAGCACTAAACACAGGCATTTGCTCGGAAGATGCCTCTGACCAGGCAAAAGCAAGCCCAGAACCTGGAACAGAGCCCCTGAAAAGAGGAAATTAGACTTACTTGTGCGATATCCCCAAAGGCTCATGATGCTGAACAGAAACCCGACACACAATTGGTGGATCACCAGCACATCAACCACACGGATCTGATCCTTCCGTACCGAGTAGAAAAACACGGTTGAAAACAATGCGAGGAGGAAGATCGAGTTCGTCTCGAGAGAGCCGATGATCTCTTCGCAGAGGAAGTTGTTCGCGATCCAGGACGTCATCCATTGGGTGTCTGCAAGGATCCGGGAGTGTCAGCAAAGGCAAAATGTGTAAGATGATGGCGATCACATCAAGGGCGGCCAGGCCGGGGGTTGCGAAACGTACAGATACCGATCCTAACGCCTAAGCCATAGAAGTCGGAATTGCCGTCGATAGCACACCCTTGCTCCACGGGGCCCTCGGGAGAGCAGACCGAGTCATCGGGCTTGATTCCTTTCGCAGCGTAGGCAAGTGCATTGAACAGCAAGAGAATGATGAGGAAAGTGCAAAGTGTTCTTGTGGGTAGAGACATGTTCGCATCCGCGACACTCCTCCGGTGGTGCGGGACAATGAATATTCAAGACAAGGCTGAGTATCAGCCAAAGAGTGGATGTAGAGGTGGCGGCACAAAGGGCTGCCAATGCTTTCAGATGCCAATGAGAGAAACAGGAGAATAGAATAAGCTTCGACCAGGTCAAGGGGAGTATGAGAAGGAGGAGGAAGCGTTCTTTTCAACACACTGTTACACTTATCAAACCCCGCGAGCGGTTGATGCGGATGCAGAGCACACACACACATCACGGATTTCCTGCCCAATTCACCTCCCGTTCGGCGTTCAGCTTCTTTTCCTGGAATGCCGCACGCACATGCGCAGGGAGATGGGGGGATAGCACCCATCTTGGAGGGGTAGAGATGTGCCTGTGTCGTACAGAATGCACGATGCATCAACCAACCTGCTTGTCAGTGGACGAAATTTCGTGGGGAGTGCTGATATTTCCGAGTCGAGGCCCAGACCGCTCGAAGCTCAGCCAGCCTGATTTTCCCAGCACGAAAAAGAGCTGGACCTCTGCTTTCCAACGTGCGAGTGCAGCCCCCGCCGACCTCTGCCTACCAAAAGGACTCGGTTGTTCGTCGCATGATCCCTGCACGTGGACAGATACGGCAGGTTTGGGGGCCGGCCTTGCAGATGGCGTGGTCGGGGGCCTGCCCAAGTCATTCTAAGCGAGCAGGAATTGCTGGTTCAGGACGCCGCAGGGCTCAATGTGTTCCCGGTAAAGGTCAGGCCAAGGGTAAGCGAGGAGGGCATTGCCTGTCTGTCATCTCATCAAATGCTCAGCGGCAGGAGTGTAAGATTAGCCGACTGCCCAGAACAGGCAGTCACAAGAGGGTTGTTAAGAGTGGGCGATGACAGCTGGAGGAGGAGATAAAATTCCGTCCATGTGAGGATGGGCAAAATGCCCTTCCACATACCGAAGACTCGGTAGAGAGACTGCAGCCATCAGCCATCAGCCAGCCACCTCGATCGACTCTAAGTACGGTAATTCTAATGCTAATTACCGCCGATGAATGCGTTTCCATCGCATCGACATTGGCGACACTCCCCGCACCCTCATCGCCTTGTCATCACCGCCTTCTTCACACCGTCAGTTGTTCATCTCACTTCATCATTGTGCTGATCTGTGATCTATTTCAGCAATCACCTCGTGTCATTGCATGCTGATCCCACACCTTGTTCTGCACCCAGCCAATGGTGCGGTAGACCTCGTTTCCGGGGACGAACAAATGCTTTCTGCCTGTCCCATTCCTTTTCCATGTGACTCCCTTTTAGCCTGTTGTTTTGACGACGACTGCCTGCTGAGCGCATTCCAAAGCAGCCCTATGCATCGACACGGGACGAGGCTGTGCCCGTATCAGTGGATTGATCTCAGCCCCAACGCCAATACCCGGGGACTCCAAACAAAATTTGCCTGTCTCTCGGCTGCTCCGATTAAGCTGCAGGATTGAACCTCAGCTCGTTGTTGTTCGCCGGATCTGCCTGCAACTCCATGACCGGCGGATCGTCGACGTCGTCGTTGTCATCTTGCACACTCATGTGGACCGGCATCGACATTCCGCGTCCAGACGTACCAATGCTCGATGTGATTTCATCAGGAGGAGGGGCGCTCTCCCTGGTGCCACGGCCGTGTCCAAAGTCTTCATGGTGCAGGACCGGCCCAGCTTCACTGCTGTACAGAGGACTATCATTGTCGTTGGGGTCGTGATGGATCGAACCATCGTCCTCTATATCCCTAAAGCTTGGTGCTGGACTGCCATCATGCCCTTCAACGCGCGTACTGTCGTTGGAACTGCCCTTGTCACCAAACATCCCCTCGTCTTCTGAATTGGCCGGCACTCGCTGCGTCGAGGCCTCTAAACGTGCAAAATCCCACGTCTGCTGCGACCACTGGAAATCCATGCTGACACCCTCATCGACGTCGGCTTCTGCTGGAGCGTCGTCATAACCTGGGGGCTGCTCGAATTCGCCACCACTACTGGCTGCTATTGGCAGCGTCAAGTTCGGTGGACTTTCTGTTCCGGCTAACAGACCTCGAGTCTGCCGACTTCCTTCTCCTTGCGCCGAGCCACCCGGTCCCGCTCCCACGCGGTGACCGTGACCGACTGGAAAAGCGCTCGACGACCCATTGTGGGAGGAGTCGCCGAGACGCCGACCTTCCCCCGTCATCGGAGAAGATTCACGCGAGTCTTGTGGCAGTTCAGAGTCGGCTGCGGCATCGTTGCTGTTGGAACTGGAGTCTTGGAGGAGTTCTTGAAGCTTGGGTCCCCCTAAAGGATGCTCCGACCGTCTACGATAGAACAACAGGTACGCTGCACTGGTCACGACCGATCGCGGGTCCGTTTTTGACGAGACGTGAGAGTCTGACCCCAGTCAGTAGAGCCGGCGGACGGGGAACGAGCAACTCACCATTGTATTCATACCAGCCATTGTTGTAGAAATTCTTCGCATACGCCGTGTAATGACCGCCTCCCAAGCCGCCGTAATGGTTATCAACAGCGATCAAGTCATAAATCAAGCTCTTGCCATCTTGCTGATCCCTCACCATCTCGGAAAGATCGAGCCCCTCCGTGGGGTACTCAACTCTCACTTCAAGCTTGTCGCGGAAGTTTCTGTTAGAACTGAACCGCTTCAAGTGCATAACAAGGATATCGGGCGCTTTCCACAACTCGAACATTTTGTCGGCTCGGCGGTGCTCTTTGCACCGAGGACAGTACCAGGCGTTCTGCTCAGACAGCGTTTCGGATTTGCCAAACTCGTTCAGACAATCTTCCAATGTGATGCCATGCTTCTTACGACTGTTACGCTGCTCACGCTTAGCTGTAATTTCCGGATCGGGCAGGAGACCCACGCTCTTCCATGTTGGAAGACCGCGATAGCCCTCGCCTGAGTCCTCGCTGCCGCCGAATAATGCATCATAGCCCTCTTGACTCCAGTCAAGGATGATGGCTTCGCCTGGTCGGACGAGTTCGCCAGTCTGCGCTTTAGGTAACGGCTGAGGTGGTGGCAAAGGTGATCGACGGTGTGGGCGTCTGGCCGAGAACTTGCCTCTGTTTTTATTTTTGCCATACTTCTGCGCTTTCTTGTTCCGGCTGGGCAGGATCTCTTGGGGTTCCTGGAACTCGGATTCGGAGTCAGGACCAGAGGGGAAGACTGGACTGGCTTCCGACCCAGACTCGTTGCTGTCCATGGGTGTGTCGTCGTTCTCAGCGTCGGCAAGTTCATCGTCACTTTCGGCAGAGCCGCTCTCACCATTGGCAAAAGCAGAAGCGCCAGCCGGCCTCATCGAACGGGATGCTGGTTTGGGGATTCGGTTTCTGATAGATTCGTATTCTCCAGTCTCTGAAATGTTATTCCAGCCAGTGGGAATGCCCTCTCCAGTTGAAGCGACCTGAACATCGAAAAGTTGTTGGAAACGGCGGGGTACGGGCGAGCTAGTATGCATGAACTTCTGTAACCCTGCCTCAGCGGGCTGAGGCCTCAGCTCGGGAGCTTGACTAGCATCTCGCATCGACACATCTACAAGGCCATCTTCGCCCTGCACAGAGTTGGCGGTAGGAAGGCCAGAGCCAGAACTGGACATGTCGTCCGTCATAACCATGGTGTCGGACCCTTCTGGGGTTCCCACCCCATCGTCCGACGGGTTATCTTCCTCCTCTAGTATCCTCTTGGTTGTCATTCCTGCGACATTCCCGAGAATTTTCTTCAGGACACCGTCGTAGCTAGACCTGTCTTCGCGACTGAGCACGACGTACATAGGCTGACCAAAGAACGGTTTCGAGGATACCCGTGCAGCAGGATTTTTGACAAGTCGGTTGTACATCGGTACAAGGATCCGGTCGGCTTCTGGACTGTCTGCATCAACCATCTCGTCCTCTGCATCACTCTTGACCATGTACAAGCTGAACTTCCGCGCTTTGTTTGGATTGTAGTTGGTTGGGACGGATTCCAGTTCGTACATGCAGATGATGTCGTTAGCTTGGATGTTTGCTTCAGAGATGACGACGTTGTTGTCGAAAATCTTATAGATCTTGTTCTTGTAAGACTCGGCAACAAGCAGTCTTTCCACATCGGCATGCGTCCTTAAAGCGACAAATTCTTTCAAGGCTTTGATGGTTGAATGCTTGTCGATGTCTATGTCGACTCGAATGGGTCGTTTGTGGAGCGGAAAGTACAGGATCTCTTTCTGCCAATTGTTCTCAATGGGCAGTTGCAAGGTCAAATTGTTGAAGGGATCGAAGATGATGCTGACTTTCTTACAAACCGGGCAGGTCAAGGTCGATTTGTACATTCCCGCGAACAGATCTGTGACAACAGAGTCATTTCGCGCCTTGTAAATTTCCCAGTTCTTCTGAGCGAAAGCCTGAAGGGCCGCGCTATCCTCGACCATTTCATCTGTCGAATCCGGCTTTTCGATGTATGGTTTCTTGTGAATGCGGTTCAAGTCTTCCTGAAGTCCGTCCAATAGGAACAATAAAAACTCCTGGGAGTCTTGTTGTGAATACCCAGAGAAATTAGACCCGTACTTCCCTATGGTGGCCTTGAATCTGCTCGGGTTCGTCGAAGAGGCGTTCTCGTCGTAGATCTGGTGGAGAAGATTGGCGTATGCCTTGGCAATCTCGCCATGGTGACCAAGGGGATTGTCCACGTTAAGGTCCTGCTTCCACTGGTCATGGAGGAAGTACTGTGTCAACTCTTCGACACTGCGAATGCATTGTAAGGCTGAATTCATGTAACACGTGTTGCCCAAGTTGCTTAGTCCAGTGATGCCGCGTGGTCTCCCGTCACGTTTCTGCCGTCCCCGAGTCATCATGCCAGGAGCTGGGCTGGATCTTCCGCTGGGGGTGAGGTTCTTAGCTGCGCCCTTAATGCCTTTGGTCAGGTTGAGTTTGGAATTTTCACTTGGCCACTCATCCTTCCCAGACTTTTGTTCCTCGAGCACAATCACTTCCTCGTTCCTGCCCAGACCAACGAGACTCAAGGTCGATGTCTTTCCATTGTAATTAGGGTTCGCAGTGTTGTCCTTGATCTCGGTAAGGAGTTCACGATGCTCGCCTACTTGAAGGTGTACGAAGGTGTTGACATCAAGGAGCATTTTGTCTCCTGCGGTGGCCACAATCTCAGCACCAGGGGCCGGAGAAGCACTTCTGGAAATAGATGGAGTGAGTGCACCTGAAGCACTGGCATTTCTCAGTCCGCCGAGAATTCTCCACACTCTGACTTTGGTGTTCATGTCGATATGCAGGAGCTTTTTGCCTTCTTTCAGCCACTCGTTGCACAATGTCTTCTTGCTGGCAATCATTCGTTGGGGAGGGAGATCCTTCTCGCGTTGAGTCTGGGTAGTGTGCTCACTAGGCACCTTGAGGAAGGAAAAGAGCGGCGGGTTCAGTTCCCACGTCACGTTCGGCATCGCGGCGTCGGCACCGCCCCAGTCATGGGCGTATCTAGTAATGACAGGAGAATCTTTTGCGAGCCCGTACCATGAGATGATCAGATCCCAGGCTTCCTGAGGGAACACTCGATAGTCCTCATCCAATGTCAAGCCTGGTCGGAGAGGCACATATTTTTCGCCCGCCTCGTCCGTCAACTTGACATCCTCGTCGATCACCATGGCAATGTCCGAATTGTCAACAGGTCCAATTTCACCCTCAGTCGCTGACTTTTCGACCTTTCCCACATCAGCAGGAAGAGAACCACGAGCCTGGACTTTCTGGAACCATTTTGCAGAGATGAGGTAACCCTTCTGGCCTTCAACCAGCTCTTTCTGCCAGAGCGCCGTCACCTGCGCGATCTGTTCGTCGATAGAAGGTATGGACGTAGCAGTGGGAGGGACATCGGCGTTCAGCGAAGTGGCGGCGGTAGAACGGTTCGAAGGGCTCGGAAAGAGTGAATCTGTGGTCGAACTGCCACTGTTGTCAGACAAAGAAGCCGCACTCTGCTGGACGGCGCGAGGATCACTAGTGTGGGTCAGTCGGTCCGTCGTCGCTAAGATGTCGCGATGTCTCAGGCCCGTGTCTTGCTGCTTTGCCTTCAGAGTGTCTTGAGCACCTGTCGCCGCGGCGACGTCTGGGTTGACTGGCGTGAAGCCAGACCCGCCAGCGCCGCCCGGTATTTGACCCTCGCCCATTTCTACGTCACTGTTGTAGGACTCTCTATCCTGGGCCCCCATATCAGACGCCGGCCTCTTAACAGCAGGGGAAGCGGAGCGCAGGTGCCTGCCTAAATCATCCTTGGAATGTGAGAGGTGCTGGGTTTGGTGATTGGGAAGTTTTTGAGAGGAAGCGGGCATGTCCCGGGCGGGAGTGCTCGGAGGGAGAGGTAATGAGGAGATCCAGGTTCGTGACTTAGGCCAGGACCATGGACTAGAGGATACAACAGGGCGGAATCTGACTGTCGAAATAATGAACGTGTCGATGGTGAGGGTCTGAAAATGACGCCGCAGAAAGTGAGGGCCAGAGTCGCAAGTGGGTACCGGGCCTGCTTCACTGGCGGTTTGCCTGCGCTAAGTGAATGGCGCGGTGAGGCAGTCACTGGGTGAAGAGCTTGACAGCAATAATATGGGCACACCGAGGCCTCAGCCACGACTGACGGAATTCTGGGAAGCGCTATCACCAGGTACAGCAGGGTATGGGGTCGGAAACCATCTGGGTCTTCTAACAACATGGACTGGTTTTCGGTTGGCAAGCCTTTGTGCTGCAAAGGACAATTCACCCTTTTTGAGCAATGAGAGACCAAGAGCCGAGCCGCAGAACCTACCTAGGTACGCTTGTGTGAAGCTTGCTCTCGCCATGTAATCCCGAATCAAGAGCCACCCCGTTCATCCTCATTGAGGACCCTTTCCACCACCACAGTTCCGGAGTCCTGTAACGCGTTGTGGCTGTCATACTAGTGAGCCACAGATGACACATAGGCACCTAGGGACGTAGTATGTTGTCCGCCTGCGTGGCCCATCATCATTAAGCAAGGCTGACATACAGCAACGAGGCTTCCAACCGCCTCACCAGAAGCCTTGTGCCTACCCACCCTAGCCCATTATTCCGCCCTTGATAGCCTCATGGGACAAATCCAGGACTTCTCAGGGCTGGGCTAGAATTATCTTGCGACAATCTTATCCACTTCATCCCTCGCCTCCGACCACGTCTCCAGATTCTTCCTCGCCCATTCGATATGACATCGCGCATACGAGACCTACCAGTGCGTGAAAAGTTAGCATAATGAATAAGTTCCAGTAGCTAGACTCTGTGAGTCTTTCTGGGGAGCACGCACCATGTATCTCTGAAGGTCGTCTTCTTTCTCTTTCTGGAACCTCTTGAGGTCTCGCATCACTCCTTGAGTTGCGTCGTGGACGTCCTTCTCCGATACTTCTAGAGCCTGTTCCAGCTGAGACAGGCTTTCTCGCGTTTTCCCAATTTGGTCACGTCTCGTCCTCTCCGGGTCAACATCCACGAAGCCGTTCACTGCATGTCTGAAGCTGCCAAAGATCTTGTTGGTCACAAAGTTGCCGCTGGGAGACTTCTTGTGTGATGTCGGCGAGGTTGGATTCTGCTGTGGCTGTCCTTGAGCAGCCGAAGGAGGCGATGATGGAGGCTCGCCATGAGTGGGAGGAAAGTCAGAGTCGACCGATTCGGTCTCTTCGTGCTGCCCGTCCCTTCTTTCGGGTGGACCCCTTGCGGAAGCATTCGATGTTGAGCGACGTGGTGGGCTTGCTAGTGTCGTGCTGCCGGCTAGATACGCGTCAATTCGTTTGGCCTCTGACTCGCTGCGCTCGAGCTGGTCCAAGAGGTGCCGTTTCTTCTCCAAGTCCTCCCTGGTCATTTCTTGCTGCACTCGTTTCAGCACTCTGTATTTCAGCACATTCCGGACGACCCCCGCAAACTGTGCACTCTCCCTCATGGGCTCGGCAAAAGTGGCTCCCAAGCTTAGCGACAGCTCCTCGGTTGAGATATATGTGCTGTCCACGGCCTGTCCTACCCGCTCAATGGCTGCTGCTACCGTAGGTGACTGCTCGGAGAGGGAGAATCCATTGTACCGCGCCCCCAACTCTGCAAGATCCGCTGAAAGCTTGGTGAGGTGCTCGATAGTACGGCGGTTCACTTTTTCAATACTGCCCTGTAATAGAATCTCTAGTTCCCGCGTGTTCGCTTCGAAATTGATAAAGTAGGGGTCAAGGTCGGTTTCACTCAGTCTCTCCGAACTCACGGGAAATCGTCCGAAGATTTGAGGACCGGGTGTCGTATGGGACGCAGCTGATGGGAACGTCTGATCTGGGGGAGATATAGGGGTCCCAGTGCTCGAAGTTGGTCCGTTTGGCCTCAGTTTGGCCGAGGAGGACGGGATTGGTAACCAGTTATGAGCAGGAGTTGGGTTAGCAGGGTCGAGAGGTGGTGCTTTCAGATTATTTTTCGGCACCGAAGAGACCGGATGGGCATGCAAGACTTCATTCTGCACAGCACGGTCAGCCTCCTGGTATTTGGGCAAATAGTGTGGGAGGCCATTATTACCCAGCTGGAATTGGGATCCAGGAACCTCCACCAGACGCCGTCCTCAACCACCTCCTTCATTCTCCGACAACGGTTCAAAAACACAGCAAGCATACGTTTCCGCTGGTCGATGATGCCCACGTCTTCCTTTGCCTTTGTGGGTTTGGCGGCGTAATCCGCCATGGTGTGTTTCTCAGGGATTGGAGGAATGATCAAGGTGGGATGGAGGTTGATGAGGGCGGCGCGCAGTGAGCTGAACTCTGAGTATCTCCTCGCGACTTCAATGTCCTGCAACATTTCTTGTTAGCTTTACCCTGTCGGTTGTTTCAAAGTCCCGCGGGAGGTGCCCACTCCAGTGCGAATCTTGTACACAATGTACCCTCCGTCTGCGCTTTTGCCTGCGTCTGTTATGACAATTTCCAGGTCCGGTTGTTCATAAAGGATCTGCTGTACTCGGCTGTCGTAGCCACCTTTGGGAGGGACAGGACCGCTCTCGGCTTGTCTCTCATCGTCGTCCTCCTCCTCTTCATCGTCGTCATCGCGGAACTGTGAGGCCTGGTTGGAGGAAGCAGAGTATGAAGTAGGCGACGTTGGTTGGTCTGAGTCTGGATCTAGACAGTTAGCGACAAGCTCAGTTAGACTCGATGCAAGCGCATACAGGAAGTGCCTGGAGTTGGGTTGGAGGGTTCGGTTGCAGAGTCCTGGTTGTTGAAGGACCCATACGGGTTGTTGTCCTCGTCGTCCTGCCACATCTTATGCTGACGTGCGACGGAGGCGCGAGAGAGGCGGCTGAATACTGGACAAAATGAAGGGCGCAGGCTTATCGTGGACAGTCCATTGTTCTGAGAAGAGTAAGTAGTAAGTGAGAAGGCACACCTTGAATTGTTGGAGGGCCATGGGGACGTTAAGATGCACTCCCACCCACCTAGCCACGTCATTGGCTAGTCTCCCCAGGGCGGCCGGACCAGCTCAGTCCAGCGAAGCCTCACTAACCCGTGACAAGGTTAAGAGTAGATATAGCTTCACACCCTCTGTACACCTCTGCTCTTTGATCATTCTACAAGCGCCCTGCCGGACGTCAAGCCCTCACTATGGCTCAAATGAACTGTCGTCAACCGTGACTGGTCCAACCTGCTGCAAAACCTGTTGCTCTCTGTGTCCGCTGTCACGCTCATTGCACTTGCTGGATGGAAAGTCATTTCCTCCACATCCACTATGATGGCGACGGGCTCGTGGTGCTGTGCTAGGTGAAGGAATAGAGCTCTGAAACCTCAGAACCACTATCCATATCCCTCGCCATGGTTGAATGTGCTGCCTCTCTTCCCTTCCGTTATCCCTGCAACCACTTCCTTGCCCATCTCGGTCTCGAACTTCTGTCGCCACCACCACCCCTCAACCCAACACCGTACCCATAGCCATAGCCATATTGATATGGCACGCTGTGTCCGTTCACGATGCTTCCATGTACCAATGTTGGACCCCCTATATCCACCACCGGCGGCGCTGCTCCCGAGTGTGGCCACGCATGGGCGAACCACCACTTCCCATTCACCCTCTTTCGGACACACCAAAAGGTCATGGCAAGAATGACAATGGCCCCGAGGACCACGCCAACAATCATCCCCGCTTTTGCACCCGTACTCCAGTGATCCCAACCACCGCCATCATGAGGGTCAACCACGTAGATTAACTGACCCGGGTCTCCGGTGTGGGTTGAATTTGGTAGAGGAAAACCGGAGATGGGAATGATCCATGTTGAATAGATGTTTCCCCCGTCATCTTGGAGGTAGATGTCTAGCTCAGTCAAGGTGACTGTTGATGTCTGCGTGGTTATGGTCGGGATTGGCGTGTACTTTGTCGTGGGTGCGGTGACTGTGGTTGTGGAAGGTGAAGCAGGTGAAGGAATTGTGACAGTTTGACCAAAGGTGGCAAACAGAGTTGTGGATATGTGACAAGTTACGGTGGTGGTAATGTCGCTAATGACTGTTGGAGAGATCACGACCGCCGTGGTGGTGATCTCTGTGACGGTTTCGGTGGTGAATGACATGTTGAGATATTTGGCTCCAGACGCATCACAGAAGGCTAGGATGAAGGAGACACTGATTGAAGAAGGCAGTGCGGCAAATCAAGATGGTCAGGAGGATCTAAATGGGCAAGGTGATTAGCCAACAGTGATGAAGAAGTCCAGGCATCCTTCCTCGTCATTAGTTTGCCCTCAATTCTGTGGAAATACAGCACAAGTCAACTTGCCATCTGCAAGGTTGAATATCCCGGTAAGACAACGAAAAGTGCGGCAGAGTAAAAGCTTTGCGTTGCTCGTCTGCGAGGTACTCCTCTGCAAGACCCATACCTACTTAGGTATGTACATGTCATGCTCGGCCTTGACAACATGTGGCCACGCGATACCCTCCTCCGCAACGTCAACCTTTTGACTCTGTCATTCTGGCGACTATCGTTGATCAAACTTCACCGACGGCTTGCGGATGCCCTGCTGCACGACGTCGTTCACCTTCCTCCATCATTGCCATATGTTCCTGCATCATCGGCCAGAAGAGTTTCCATCCTCCCCAGACGCAGATTGGCGTGAGGACCAGGAAGCACAACAGGATCACAAGGCCTGGGTTCATTTTCGCCCGTTCCACTGATTGAGGATTCGAGTATGGGGTCGCCTTAGGGATGAGGGTGCCTAGTTGTAGAGGTCAGCCCAGCTTACAAGCGGAAAGGGAAGGGTGTCACGTACGAAGGGAGTTGGAGGATCCAACAGCGTGCTAGAGGGCGACGGTTACGGACCCAAGAAGTATGCGATATGCATGAGCCAAGGCTGTATCATAAGCATGATCAAGTTGCACGGAGTGTTTGTCCTTGAAAAGACATCGAGCCGGCGGCTGTATGCTGCAAAAACAGAGTTTGTGATTCACGGCATGCACTGCCTTCGCAAAGCGCGTTCGACCGCACCCAACATTACCGGATTGACCTGTGAATCACTGCATATTGCCTCCATTCTTTCTAGATTTGCCCGCAACTGCTGGGTTGTTGTGCCTGTACCGTGTTCAACGAATACTCCCGCCAAGCTGACCGCCTGAACCATCAAGACCAAGATTACATGGTCATAGGTCAGGCCTAGTGGATGGACGAACAACGACTCGACAAGTGGACCGTCTGGCGTGATCTGCCGGTATTGTACCTTGTCTCCGTTGTGAGTCCTTGCTTGATATCCAAGGTCTGTGACACTTTCTGCTTCAAGAAGTTTCAGGACTTGGTCCAAGCCTTCCAGCGTCCAGTTCATCGCTGACTTTGAGAGCTCCAGAGTTGAGAATATACAATCTCCGTTATGCAGAATCTCTGTCCATTCCTTTATTGCACGAATGTCGTCGATGTACAGATTCTGTCTTTCTTCCGCAAACAAATCATTCTTCGACTTCATGATATTCTGCATCCTGGAACACAGCGAGATATCAAAGAAAGAAACGGGTCTAGTACGAGGAAAAGTATCGCTCGCAAGTTGCCCGATGCGCATTATGTTGACAATGGCGGCTTCAGCAACGTTCGAGGTCCGACCGGACTGGCGCGAAAGCTCAGACAACAGGCCTTCCCTCGCGGCGAGGGCGCTGCTGCCCAAATCGTCCATAGCACTCAGCTGATGTAACCGGATCTTGCGAGCCGCATGAATTGCTTCGAGCCGGATCTCTTCATCGTCGTCATTTAACAGATCATACAGGACCAAGAGGAGCTGAATCCTAACACTATGGGGGAGCTCCAGGGTACCAGGAGACTGTAGATGCTCAACATAGGTGGAAACCGCTGTCGCAGCACTCAATCTGGTAGGAAAATCCAAATAGTCGGCCGAAATATCCTGGATTGCATGGAGCCACCCTTCGGTTTGTTGTGCCAATGGAAAGAAATTATCATGTGCAGTTTGAATCCTTCCTAACAGTGTCGCTTGTAGTTTCAGGGCTGCATTCCTTGAATCCCGCGTTGTGTGCAGTTGGGATAGGTCCAGGCGGCAGAGAAGTGTCCGTAGAACATCAGTGGAAACATCTGTAATATGATCGAGGCATTGCGCCAGACATGTAAATATCTGCTCAAGGGTGGCTGGCGGGAGAAATGAGTGCTTGCTTTCGCCATCGATGAGACAGATAAGAAAGTTGAATAGAGTCCGTGGTGGGTTTTGACAATGCTTCTGACTCAAGACGTCCAAGACGAAGTCCAGACCATCGGCATTCTCGACGAGTCGACCGGCCAATTCCCGCAATTCTTTGCTTGCCTCGACGACATGCTGGTCCCTAATCAAAACGTGGTATGTCTTGCAGAGCAGCATTCTTTGAGATAAGTATGAAGAATGCGCGGAGTCAACCCGCTCAGCGGAGGGAAGGAGGCTTCGCAAGCGTTCCATCCCGGACATCCCACATGCCCACCTACTTTCAAGAACGCAGGAAGAGGCATCATTTAATAAATCCAACCAAGCAGCGTAAATGTATGGCGAGTGTGGCGACAAGTTCCCATCGGAGTGCTCCATCTGGTCGATGAGACACTCTATGATGGACTCCAGCTCCGTAGATGTAACGATGACTGTGGCTCGGCCCATCAGGTAGCGGCAGCAAACAAGAATGCCGTGGACTTGATTCTCGGGGCCTGACAAACCAATCTCTTGCAAGAGCTTCATGATCGCCTCCACCGGATTTCCGCAGAGCAGGCGGGTCCCCAGCAGCAGAGCCGCATGGTCTCTAACAGCCCACGTCGAGTGCGACAAGTGTTCCATGACACGCTTCGCGGCCTCATCTGCCTCGAACCCCTTGAAAATTGCATGCCCAAGAAGGTCGAGGCCAGCGAAAACGAGCTCTGTGTCACTGCCCTTACCGTTGGCAGTTTTATTGGTTTGGAATGCCGGCGCATCCAAGAGACGGAATGCAATTGTCGAAGGAGCATAATCTTTGTCCTTGTCGTTGGACCGATCCATTGACCTAACCGCCTCGCCTGTACTCGAAGAATCAAGCCGGTTGATACAGGCACGCAGAAGCATGAGCCCGCAGTTACGAATTGCCCAGACCTTGGACGACAGGCAAGTCGCAGCAAGTTCCATGATTCTCTCATGATGTTGTACCACAACAACTGCGAACTTGGAGTTCGTCATGATCTCTTTCAAACAGTTCAGCGCGTGGACTTGGGGCAGTTTCACATCTTCGGTCTGGAGGACATGAGCTCGATCTGTTGCTCCCTCGGCGATGAGCATAAGGTCGTCGATCGCGGAAGAAAAACTGTCTGAGTCGGCAGGGTTGAGGAGGGCTGCGATCATTGCTGGAAGACCAGCAGAACGCCGCGTAAGCCGACTTGCTTGCTCAGTGATTTGACTCAAGGCAACCTGTGACCATGAGTCTCTTTAGATCGGATACGATATCTGACGTCCCACTTACCTGATACCACTTGTGGATGAGACCACGGACTGCTAGTTCGGGGGATAGCCTGACTTTATCGCAACATTGATTGAAGGTCTGGGCAACTGTCGAGAAGGCTCCTCGATGTCGTAGTGAAATTAGTTGATCCACGCAAAGGTCGCCGACTGCAGAACAAAGCTCCCAGGAGTGCTCCGCAACGAAAACCAATGCTTGAAGAGCAAGGCTGGTTGTGTTAGTTACACTATCCGCCACTGGGAACCAAAACCCACCTTGAATCTCGAAGTGCCCTCCACGAATAAGCAAGAAGATCCTTTGGCCCTTCGTTGGTGATTTCGTCTTCAGCTTCGGAGGCGGTTTCCGGAGAATCAACGCAAAGTTGGTGTCGCACTTGTTCCCAGACGTTCTTACAGACGCTGATAATCGCTGGCCCAATGTATGTGATCTGTTCATCCCGGCGGCTTAGGTTTCGTAGTCGATAACTCGTGGCAAGTAAAAGTGCATGGATTGGAATAGCACAGCCAGGCCTCAGCTCGACGGCTCCTTGTCCAGTTGTTGACCCTTCCAGGAAACATATATCCTCCACCATTTCTGTCTGGTGCACGTCTCGCCGCGGCTTATTCAGCGCCGAACAGAAGCTCCTGAGAGCACAAAGACGACCCATACCGTCGGCGTGATCGGCGCGCAGCGTCCTGACACTCAGGGCCTCTACTCTTTTGAGGAGGCCGCGATCCATAGTGCTAGCAATCAAGCTTCCATTTGTAACGATGAGATTTTGGAGAATAGCTGCTGCGGTGCTCCGGACATCTTCGAAAGGATCAAGCACCAGACATATCAGAGCTTTCACGAGACTTTTGTCCCTTGTGAATATGTCATGATCCAAACCCAGATCAAGCAGATGTTGCAGAGAAAGTAATGCAAGAATGTGACGAGGGTAGGAGATTCCTGTATTCAATTCTTCCTTCAAAAATGCGTAGAAAGACTTCGTAAAAGAACTGTAGAAACCCAACAGCGCTTCGACATCATTCACAGAGTGTAGGAGTTGTGCTGACTTCTGGATCGTCAGAACACTGCTCTGGAGCCTTCGTAGCAGTCTCTTAGTGATGCTCAGTATCTCACCTCGCTCATGGGCGTCTGCATCATCATGTAGGTATTTCATGCTAGAAGCAATACATTCTAGTGTTTCTGGCATGACAATCGCGCTTGTGGCAGGCGACAACACCAGCAGTCCGTATGTAAGAGTGCGCACTTCATAATCGGCGCTCATCAACATTTGTTTACACCAGTAGAGGCCTTTTGTCTCATCACTGAGGGGAGGATCGAGTGGAGGAAATGCTGATGCAACAAGGTCCAATGTTTCTAAGGGATCGAGTAATGTTAGTCACTTGTGGAACATCTAGGATGGCCGAGCAAACATACCAGATTCCGTCAAGATCGATTTGGCCCGACCAGCTTTGAGTATAGCAATGAATAAAGCCATCCTTGACCCGCTCTCCTGACAGGATTTGGAATAGGGTTGCACGAAAGCCATGAACTTCTCTTTCCTGTCCAGAATGACCGGTAAGATGTACTCTGCAAATTCACCCAAGGCTCCGTGATTCCTCTCCAGATATAGCTTTATGGCACGCTCAACCAGAGCTTGCAAATTTGATGATGCTGTGGTTTTGGAAGTATTGCTGCAGAGCATGTAGCAAACCTTGAGAGCTGCGCTTCTTGTGTCTAGGTCAATCATTGTAAAGATCAATGCGAGTAGAAAGTGTGGGATATTTCTTTCCCCGACAGTAGAGACATCATTCAATCTCAGATTATGCTGAGACAGCCGCTGTGTCCATGAAAGGCGGTTTTCATCCACGCAATCCTGGACCATTTGATCAAGCTGCTCGAGGAGCGGCGTTCTCCTGTGGAAGCATGCCAACATAAGGCAAGCCTTCTTGGTCTCCGAGCGAGGCAAAGATAGCAAGACAGTCCTCACCAAGGGAATTGAGGCCTGCCGCAGAATGTCAGCGAGAACTTCTGGATCATTTTGCTGGTCAAGCAGATCACAAAGAGTCTCCATTATCTGATTTGCTGGTTTCATTTTGCTATCGTTGAAGGCCTTGTGGGCACATTGGTACGTTGTAAACCACACATCCCGGGAGAAGACGAATTCTTGAAGCTCGACAGCAGAACTTGCGGCAGCCCCACGTAGATAGACACACAGAGTATTGGACGCCGCAGTTATGTATTTGTCGGCCACTTTAGGGCTGGTTGCTGTGAGAACAAGCTTGTGCCATAGAGCCAGCATTTGGGAGACATCTTGGCTGCGACCAATATTGCCCAGGGATTCTCTGAGAGAGCCTCTCCCTAGCTCCGAAAGAAGTGAAATAGGAAGCGGGACTTCTGTACTTAGGGCGCGAGATATTGGATCCATCTTAGTGATGGCAGGCCTTGACACAGACTCCGAGTGGACGCAGTGTAGCAGATGTGTTGAACGTTGCGAATCTGCTCCATCATGACCGTATAGATTCTCTCTTGGAAAGGACGAAGACGACAGCCCGAACAGTCTTCATCGTCTATGCCTACTCGAAAATTGCAGGGACTTTTTGGGGGAGTAATAGTGAAAATAGTTGTATCCAACGCTATTCCGGATTTAGATTAGCTTAGGCTGTATCTTGAATGGTCCGCATTTCGAACATTTTCTTCCGGGCGACTTCGAGTTTCTGTCTGTCCTTCTGCCGCCTGCGCCAACCTGTGACTGCCATTGCGACCGCCTTTCATCCTTGTCCCTCGGGTGCTTTCTTTCTATCCGTGTCTTCTTCCATCTAGTTCAGCACAATATGTCTGTCTGGGACGCTTTCACGGGCAGGAAGTCCTCGAGGCAGCAACCGGAGGCCTCCACCCAGACCCAATCTGCTTCCTCTTCGCCCTCATCTTTTACGCCGACACATTTCGATCCCACTACTGCAACAGACGTCTCATCCTTTCTTGGAAGCGCCTCTTTACCCGATGCATCGAAACTTCATCCTCTGGCCGGCTTGAATCAACAGACACTCGACTACCTCACACTAGACGAGTCGCAACTCTCAGACCTCCCTGGCTCTAGGTCAATATTACCCTCGCGCGGCTGGTCTGATGACTTGTGCTACGGTACGGGAGTCGTGTACCTCACGGCTTTGACTACAGGAGGCATATGGGGTCTAATAGAAGGACTGAATCGAACACCGGCATCCGCACCTCCGAAGCTAAGGTTAAACAGTGTCTTGAACAGCATCACACGAAGAGGACCTTTTCTGGGTAACTCGGCCGGAGTGGTGGCGATGGTTTACAATGGAGTAAACTCAACGATAGGATATTATCGTGGCAAACATGATGCTACCAACAGCATCGTGGCCGGCGCGTTGAGCGGAGCGATTTTCAAGAGTACCAGAGGTGTGAAACCAATGTTGATCTCGGGTGGTATCGTGGGCTCCATTGCGGGAGCGTGGGCTGTAAGTAACAGCTCATCCAGCGCCACGCGACTCTCAGCTAACCCATGCCTTAGTTGACTCGCAAAATCATTTTCGAACCAGGCGAACCCGCGGAAGCGAAAGAACAAATTATTGCTCCCACACACGCAAGCATATAACCTGATGACCTTTGGAGAATACCCCGCTTGTATAAAATTGCCTCTCTCTACGGTGCATGTCTTCAGAGCAGTGCACAATCTCGACCGACCGATGTCTATTCTACGATCCTCACTCTTCGAATGTGGTAAAGCATAGCGGGAATGGTATGATACAAGGCGTTCCAGGAGGTGGGCTGTGTATGATAGATTTTGGCAAGACGTTGACCCGTGGAACCGAAAATCGCGGGTATGGAAGTCAATGGCGACTAATGGCCCAGGAGAGACAGATCTTTGGTTCGTCGACTGATGTCTTTGTATTTGTTGAGGAGAATTCAGCCACTAAAAATGTTAATATCTCCATAACACCGATTCCGTGCTGTTTGCTTTTTTATTGTACAAGTCATGAGCGGTGGTCATGCATCACAGCATTGTCTTCCGCCAGGCCTTTGCAGCCAGAGCCTCGATCGTCTTTGTGTCCAAGACACCTTTCGTGTCATCGTTGGCAATGGCTTCAACCACAGCGTCCGCAACCAGGTCCACCTTCAGCGGCTTCTCGACGGCTGCACCGAATATGCCAGTTAAGCTGCCGCCGACCATGCTGTTAAACGTACTCCCCACCATCCCGGATGCAGCTATGGGCAGGGTGAACTTCCGGCTGTTATCCCACAGAAACCCCGGTCTTACAAAGATGTTCCTCAGTTTTGTCATCTGGCTTCCTATCGTGTTCTCTGCTTCTCGCTTTGTGGTGATGTATCTTGAGGGAAGGATGGGCGCACCCGCCGCGGCGGATATGTAGACGAATGTGTGTGCACCAGCATTCTGAGCTTCTTGCGCCAGTGCGATGGCCGAGTCTCTGTTCATTAATTCGTAGGTGATCTGCCCGTCTTTTTCCCCCTTGTCCAAAACTTCGCCTGGCTTGCGGTCGAGTGGGTTCTTGGAGCTCCCGGCTTTGGTTGAACTGAATGCCCTAGACAGGCCCGAGACGATTGACTCTTTTCCAGACAGTACTCCCTTGTAGTCTGCTTCGAGTAGTATGCCCATCGTATGGACGACAGCATCGGCGTCCTTAAGGTGGGAGGTGTAGGTCGTGGGCTTGAGGATGTCCCCTTTTGCCCAGTTCACGGACTTGGACCAGGATGGAGGCTCTGGCGAGGAGGTGACTGAGGACCATGTCGGCTCGCCCGAGCGACTAAAGCAATGTAAGCCATATTGCATCCTCCTGTTTGGGACACAAAAATCAATACCTTATGGAGGTAACATCCCAACCTCTGCCAACAGCGGATTTGCAGATGCGCGAGCCCAAAAACCCATTGCCTCCTGCAACGACCAACTTCTTCTTGCCAGCCTGTGCCATTACTGAGCTGAGGAACGGTGTACCAACTTGATACCCTCAATGCTCTCGTCACCACTAGACAACCCCCTCGTTCACATCACCAAAAAGTCCTCTGAGCAACTTTTTGGGAGATTCAAATGCGTCATTGACGAAGACGGCCACAAAGGGAAGGTGCGGCGAGAATCAGGCTCTGGTGCCAACGGGCAGATTTCCAAATTTCTCCAGGAAACCAACGACTTGTTGCCTTTCGGAGAGTTGATACACGCTGATCAATTTACCACTGCCAATATGCCTCCTTCGAAGCGGCGCAAGCTCAGCCCGGAGCCTGAGGAAACACAGGGCGGTGCGGGGGAGACTCTAGGAACACCTCAGACGACACAAGAGTTGGATCGAGATGGGATTCGAGCAGCAACACCCCCCGGCGGGAATCAGTCAGATAACGATAAAGAAGACTCGACTTCCGAGCGCAAAGAGACAGCTACCGACAATGCCTCCACTGCCGCCACCATCCCAAACACCATAAATGCAGACCGACTCGCCCGATTTGCGGCACTGAAATCGCGCGCCACTCAGTCCGCAAAGTCCAATCTCGCCGAGGCCAAAGCGGAAGCCAACCGCGCAGCCATGGACCCAGCGCTGCTCGCCAACCTCAATAGACGCTCCGCAATCGCGCAGCACAACCTCCTCAAAGCAGACACCGAAGAAGACGAGGGCAAGGGGGCTTTCGAGCGTAAGCGAGCTTGGGACTACACCATCGAAGAAAGTGAGAGATGGGACGAGAGGCAGGAACGGAAAAAGGCCGCGAGGGACAACAATGCGTTTTCGGATTGGAGCGACGAGGCTGCCAGGATGTACGATCGCCAGATTCGTGAGTTGGAGAAGAACTCTCTCAAAGACGGCGGTCGCAACCGCGAAGATTACGAACGACAGAAAGCGGAAATCATCGAAAACGCCGCACGCACGGGAGGGTTGGAGATTGTGGAAATGGACAACGGCGAACTCGTCGCCATCGACAAAGACGGCCGGTTCTACGCGGACCACGACAGTCTGGGCTTCGTGGAACAGAAGCCCAAACGGGAGAATGTGGATCGCCTCGTGAACGACCTGAAGAAGGCAGAGGAGGCGCGGTTCAAAAAGAGAAGAGAAAGAGGGCGGGACGTGGACGAAGGGGATGTCACGTATATCAACGACAAGAACAAGCAGTTTAACCAAAAGCTGGCGAGGTTCTACGACCGGTATACGAGGGATATCAGGGAGAGTTTCGAGCGAGGCACCGCCATGTAACACCGTGGACGAAGCAGACTTGTTTTGTGTACGGGGAGGAAAGATGTGCTTCCCGAATAAATTGACTTTGGTCTGTCTCTAATTACCAGGGGCGTGGCCGTGGTTATCCATTTCCATGGCACGGGAAAGAGTCCAAGAGAAGCGACCACCGAGTTGTATTTCTTGAGCTTGATCCATTTTACCGCCCTACTTTTGAATTCCTAAGAGGATGTAAGGACATTCTCTGCTGCCCTGCATCAACCTACGTATTATGGTACGCCACTGCGATACCAGGTAGGTAAGTGACGTCCCCGGTGAAGAGGTTCACATCCGTCCCTATACTCCGCACCTACGAGTAGCAGATACCTACCTAGGTATCTATGTAATATGTAGCAACTCACTCATACTGTATGAGTACAAGTGGATCGTTTCGCGAGTTGAGGGTATTTTACAACGGCCCTGGTGCATTGCATGCATGGGACACACACACCCGAGTACTCGGTACCTAAATGTACATTTCGAAAGCGGAGTTGCACGCCCACCACGCCCTTTTACAACTTTTTCGAAGAACTCGATCGCCTGTTAATTAAGACTTCCCTATTTCGATGGATTCATCCCGACGCCACACATCATCACTTATCACCATCAACATCACCATCGTTAGTTCCCCCGGAAGTCAGGCCAGTTTGAAAAGGCCCAACAAGGCAAGAAAGGGCGGATTGACTCTCGCCCGTCTCGGTTTGAAAAGTTGATCAGTCAACGGAACAGAAGCGAGCGGTTTTTGAGGGGTCTGCTTTGGATGCTAACGACTACAACGCTTTGCACGGATACGAATACGAGCGAGAGGAAGCAAGCGGGTATCATTCAGCAAGAGGCTCGTCCTCTCTATCCTCGTCTTCCTACAAAAGTCGTGTCGTCTGGCTACCTCTCATTGATGCCGTAGCAGATCAAGAGTAGCCAGAACTTCTATCACATCATGCCTCAACCCGGCGCCACCAATATCCTCGTCATCGGCGCCGGCATAACCGGCCTGAGCACGGCAACTCTACTCCAAAGGCACTTCCCGACTGCCAAAATCACCATCGTCGCCGCCGAAACGCCCACTACACCGTCCCCGTCGGTGGACTATGCCTCCAGGTGGGCTGGCGCACACTACCGGCCAATCCATCCACTTTCCACGAAACAACTCAGAAAGGAATTCAGAATGGGGGTTCGGACGAGGGAGGTTATGGCAGGTATCGCCCGAGACTTTCCAGATTCGGGAGTAGAAGTCATGCCTGGGGTCGAGTATCTTGAAGATCCGCCTCGGGAGATTTTGGAGCTCAAGACCGGGGACGAATACGCGGGTCCAAATGATGACTTCCGTGTCCTGCCGCAGGATGAGTTGCCGCACGGGGCGAAATGGGGATGTGAATACCGAAGCTACTGCGTCAATATCTCGAGATACTGTCGCTGGTTGATGGACCGATTCCTGGCAAACGGTGGACGAATTCTTCAACATCGTCTGTCCAACGCAGCCGAAGCATTCAGCTTTGCGGAGCGCAATCGATTCGGCACAATTTCAGTGGTGGTGAATTGTTCTGGGAGAAATTTCGATCGTGATCCCAAAATGAAGATCATACGCGGTCAGACAGTTCTCGTCAGGCAACAATACTCCAAGACAATTACTCGGCAGAACGCTGATGGAAGTTGGACATTTTTAGTCCCACGACCTCGAGGTGGCGGCACCATCGTGGGCGGAACGAAGGAGGTTGATGATTGGCATGACACCCCTCGCCCGGAGACAAGGCTAGAATTGCTTCGAAAGTCTGTTGAGATGTTTCCCTACTTCGTCGACTCGGTAGAGAAATTTGAGGTCGTGCAGGATAATGTCGGTCGAAGGCCGTGGCGGGAGGGTGGCTATCGGATCGAAATCGAGTCCTTTGGACCCGGCAGAACCGTTGTCCACGGGTATGGTGCCGGCGGCAGAGGCTATGAGCTAAGTTGGGGCGCAGCTGAGAGAATCCTTGAGTTGGTCAAGGAGTCTGTTGGTGCGGCTGCCCGATTATGATGATCTTTCACTTCTTCTTCACGGGCTTTCCTTCGGTTTTTTCCAACTCTTGCAGTCTCGCTTCTTCCTTTGTGAGTTTTGTTTTTTCTTCCGCAATGAGTTTCTGGACTTGCTTGACTGCTTCTCCCAGACGATCCAACTCCTTACTTTCCTCTTCTTTGCTGAATTTGTTGCCAGGAGAACTTTTCATGGGTATCTCGGCGGTGGGCGGAGCCTTAATGGTTCCCTTTCCTCCCTTTCCAGCCTTTGATTTAGACGCTTGAGCACCTCCCGTAAGGATGTCGTAAAAAGCCTCCACAGGTTCATTGAAAAGCACCTCTTCGTAGCAGACGCTGCTAATCATGGACCTGTCCTTCTTCTGCTGTTCGATGTCCCCATAGTATGGATGTAACTTCAGTCCGTGCCAGATCTGTTGTGGTTTCTCTGTGCTCTCGGGTACAAAGTAGAACTTGATGGCAATCTCGAATTCACCCCAGCCCGTCTCTTCCACCTCGAACGGAGGACTCTCGATCATGCGCACGCTGTTAGGGTACGTGTCGTGGAGTTTGAATTGGACTTTTCGCAGCCAATATGATATGTCTTCATTGTTGATTCCCCGAACAAAGACTCTCCATTTGTGTGTATGATCGGGTGGGGCGTCCTTTGGGCGGTTTTCTGGGTCGAACGGAATGGCTTCGGTGCCGTAGATGAAGGGCCGATAGATTTGAACCCCGCGCACGCGCTTGGTTCCGGCGGGAGCAGGCATTCTGAGTGTGGCCAAGAGGCTCTCCAAGAGGGTTGGAGAGGTAGACCAAATGTGAGCCTGGCAGATCGGACGCTGAAGTCTACTCTTCTCCCTTCCAGCACTGAGCGGAGAAAGGGAAAGTGAAAGTTGGAATGAGGCTCAGTGCGGAGTGGAAAGCCGCATGTGGTTTCCGCCAGTAGTAGGGCTTGGCAACGGAGCGGCACGCGTCCAGAGATCCCCTAGCGACTTCATCTCTGCACTTCACGCATTAGTCTAACGTCTAGATGACTTTAGCAGCTCGAAGTCACAGAAACATCCATAGCTGGAGTGGACGGAGGAGTAGTTGATGGACGATACGCTCTGGAGACATTCTGCGACATGTACGCGGGGCCATGGAGGATTGTGCTGAGGCATAAACTGCATCCGTCGGCCCTTCGTTCTCAGCTCATACACCGCTCTTGGTCCTGCACTCCTCGACAAGCTGCGAAAAGAGACCGGCTTCCGACATACGCGAAACCGGCTACACCAAAGACTCCGGGTGCAGCACTCGGGCCCGTGACTAAATCGAAGAAGAGTTTGATAAACGATGGCCCCTACTACATCTCGCCCGACCTTGCCAGGACCTTGCACGATCTGGGCTTCTTTTCAATCCCGGATGTCGTGAAGGTGCTAAGGCGTCTGTGCCAGGAGCTGAAAAAACTTCCTCCTGCGAATGCCATAGTATCTGCAACCACACAGCAGAGTATGTAGGTATCCTCATCACGAGTACGTTGCCGTCTGCTAACACCTTTGCGCTAAGGGTTTATTCAGGTATCGGAGGAAGCTCTGGGCTCTGCTGAGGTTGCTCTGATGCGAGATCCACAGATTCTACGCACGGCGTTCCATTCATTGGGCCAGAATGCATTCCTGATGCAAAATCGCAGAGGCGGTGAAGGCTGTGATGCCTTACGAATGGCATTCCTTGCAGGGAAAACCGACGCGGGTGTGGACGCTGCTGCAGCTGAGATCGCTGTGGGTGCGTCAGTAGGTCAGCAAGAGCCTCGTCTTTCCCCGCGAATCTTCGACTTTATCAAAGCGAAAGCATTCCAAAGGAGTGATTGGTCAGCAATAATACTGTACTTGGATGAAATGTCGAGGAAGATCGGCACCGAAGCAAGCGCACGAGAAAATTATGAGGTCGCCAAAGATTTGGTCGACATGGTTGAACCCAGCAAGCATCTCAGTCGTCAGAATTCGTCTCTCTTAAAGCATTACAAATCGCCATGGAGGATTCTTCATGATGCAGCGCAGTCCTATTTATCTTACCTTGGTGAAGGTGCAGTCTACAATCAGGTCCGGTCGGACCTTGAAAATGCTCTCCGAGATGGACTTTTCAAGTACTCCGATCTTTCAGCCGTCCCTCTCGCGTTGCAACAGCCAGGTGTGCTCGAAAAGCATTCAAAGGAATGGATTGAGCTTGCCACGCAATCTGCCAGGGCCGGCGATCCAGACTCTTCCATGCAACTGGCATTCTACTACCTCCGTAAAGACGGATGGCGTCCTGCGGAGCCGAATAAGAAACCTCAAGATTGGACGGGCGTAGAGTGGCTCGCTGTCAGCGCTGCTCTGTCGGCTCCCAATACGGGGACCATGGCAGCAAAATACCTTGGACTAGCCCACCTTTTGCGTGAACACGGGTATGCGGACGAGGGCAATTCCTGGATTGACTTTGCAAAGGAGAGCATGGGCGAGGCGGGACTAGACCCGGAAAACACGTGGCACAACTATTTGAGCGAATTTCAGCAGGCTTGGAGCGACACGGACGAGTCGTTGAAGAAACATGAGAAATCCAGTGAGGAGTTCCTCGGGCAATTGGAGCGAGCCTAAGTGTCAGCAAATGTGGTCAAGATGTGCCGGATCTTGAGGTGCCGGTCGATAACGGGGAGGAGACTTCCTGTTTGACAAGGTCTATGTGTCTTGCTGGCGGCAGATTTCTTCCACCACAGCCTCGCGCAGCCGACAGGGTCCGTTCGCGACAATTCTGCACCAAATGGTTGGGATCAAACGCAGAGTTTGTGCTTGCTTTGTCCAAGCCTACAAATCCATCTCGACCTCCCAGTAGCAGGTGTGAGCGACAGAACCAGCGTCCAATGTGGATCCGCGACTGAAGAAAAGGAAACGTCCTTATTCTGGAAGATGTGACTAGTCTCAGTGTCAGCACCACCGCGCCTTCAATGGTGAGGTTGAGGTTGAGGTTGTTGCAAGCAGCCTTCGGACAGACAACTGGGGGAGAAGAAGACAGTGATGGTGATGTTCAGAGCCAACTCAACTTCCATAAAGGCCTGTATCTGTATCTGTAATCATATTAGACTCAGCTTGGGGGCTCGGCCCGTACATAATCCCAAAAGCTTGCTGTTCCCGTTGTCATTGCGATGGTTGTGTGCGTAGCCATATAAAATCCCCACCAGAAGTCTCTTGCCAAAAAAGAACGAAAAAGGGACCACCGTTAAGCATCATCACTCGTCAGAAGAAAATAGTCGCTCGCCTTGCTTGGGCATCTACCACCTACAGACATCATCATCCACCATCATCGTCGTCCTCGCCATTCCCTCAATCTCACCTCCGTCCGGTACATGAAGTACCTAGGTACCGAGCACGTACTCGTACCAACAACAACAAGCCTCCTCTCACCCCTCCCTCCTTCTCTCCTCCATCTCCCACACTCCGGTTCAAACGCAACAATTACATACCCAATGCCAGTACCATACGGATCTTTTCAAACCTTGCTCCGTCCCGTTCTTTTCCGCCCCTTATTCACCAATGAATCCGTGCTCCTGGACCGGTCATATTTTTCGGGGCCCTCTCTCTCTCTCCTCGGCTCCCCTCTTTCGTGCTACCCGAGGAAGAAAAAAAGGTCATGTAAGCGTAAAAAAAAAGAAGAAGAACAATACCTATATCGTTATGGTTCAAGGCGCGCATGGAGAACACGGATCACGTAGGGTGGACAAGGAGGTGACGTTTGAGAGCATCAAGGAGCATTCTAGAGTTCTAGACCCCCAGCAACCCCAACCCGGGATGGCCCGACAAAACCCCCTCCCCATCGGGATAAAGAGAGAGGGCAATTGGAGAAATGCATTACAGTAATAGAATTCTAGACCACACCTGCAAGCCACAAAGCAAAAAAAAAAGAACGGGAAAACAAAAGCATGCCAGCCTGGTGTGAGCCCGAGAGTGCCGCCCCCAACTACTACTTAGCCCAACGTGTCATTAACCCTAGGGATGCATTTAATACTACCCCGATATCTCTGCCCGCTTTACGAAAGTGCTTGCCAGGTTGCTACTTCGGTTAAAATGGAGGAAAACGACGATTTAGCTAACCAGTACGAGGGCAAACAGAATGAGTCGGGGCTAAAGTAATACCCCTCCGCTCCCCTGGGACATGGGACAAAAGGACAAAGGGAGGGAGGGAGGGAGGAGGGTTGCCTCTAGATCCATTTACTACAGTATGGAGTTCTACTCGTGTGTTTGGCTACGGCAAACCCACCGTGGTGTCGTTACGAGTACGAGGTATACCTAGGGTAATATGAACTCGGTAACTCGTCTGCATACGGATAAGAACTGCGTGAAAAGTCCCATAAAAAAGGGAAGCCAAGGTTTGGGTTCTAGATTCTCTCGCCTCCCCGGCGCGGGTTGGTACCTTTTTACCTTTAGCCCTATCAAGCTTTTTCTCCTGTACGGAACTACTACTACTAGGTACATATTGCGTATTACCTTCGCGTGCCTTTGAGCAGGTAAGGTAGGTACATCGAGTATTATTTAATGGATGCAACCCTCATATCAAGCGTGGCATGACCCAAGACATAAAGTCCATACATACATACATACATCCATCCATTCATCCCATCCGGAAATGCACATTCCACCTCGCCCATCATTCGCCCAGATGAATTTTCGGAATCCATATTCCTGCGTAAGTGCGCAACTGATGGGTATGGCTTGTCAAAATCGCCCCTTGAAGCTTTTTCGCTTTTTGACGTACAGACCGCCCTTTACCGTAGCACCCACCACCACCACCACCACAACACCAGCACTCACATCCAGTCCAAACAAAATGTGTCTTTGGTAGAACAAACCAGAAAAACCCGGCAGTCTGGATAACTTTTTCTGACGGCTTGCCGACGTTGGGACTCTGTCTTCCTTTCCACTTTCCCAACGGTGGTGCCGATTTCCCGGTTCCCCCCTGGTGCACCCCTACATACCGAGCACCTTACTCGTACACGCTCTCCTCGGTACCGAGTACACGTTTGCTGGGATGGCGGCATTTCCACCAGTTCTCATATCTCCAGCTCGTGGCTTCTGGCTTCTCATTCGTCCTTTGATTATGCCAAAACGATGCGGCACTCCAGAAAGTGCGAGCCCTGCATCTTAGCTGCTTCCTGCATGCTTGACACATTAACCTTGCTCCCCATCTCGTTCGTCTCTACGTCTCCTCGTTCCGTGTCGCTCTCAAATGCAGTCTGAACTTCCTCGGAAAATTCCAATTGTACTTTTATCGGTTACTTTCGGGGCCCTGGTTGCCCGTATCTCATTAGCTAGAAACCTAAAGACAGAGATAAAGTAAGTCATGTATTGAAACCACCAGTATTCGTCCCATCATGGACCAGCACGGGCCGAGAACGGCTCCCCCGTGCAACGGCTTCCTCACGCCTTCACAATAAGGTTGATCGCTTCATTGCATCCACGGGTAGCGCGAATTCCCTTGGTCATTCGTTGTCGTAGTCTCCCGAATCCTCGTCGTCAGAATAGTCATCCCAGTTTAGTCTCCTCCGTCTTTGGCCCTCTCTGATCCCTTTCTTCAATTTGAGCGGGAATCCTGCACCTCGGTCAAGGAGTCCTTTCACCAAGTTGGTGCTAGCCTGGACCTGGTCGAAATCCTTTGCGTTGACGGCTCGGAAGACTTGACTAGTGACAACGTGATGAGCAGGCACCGTAGCACCGACTTTGAGCAAGGGAGGCTCCATCTTCATCAGTGTAAACTGCAACCGGTACTCCCCCGCTCTACGAACGGAGAGGTCGGCAAAGATGAAGAACGAGCCGGGGATGTTCTGCGGAGCTCTTGGTAGTCTCCCCCCATGGGCGGCACTGGGCAGAAACCTAGACGTAGGACTAGGCGGTGCCGACACCGGATCTCTTGTTCTGGGATGCGTGGGCATGGTGGGGGGATCCGGGTCATCAGAAGTATGAGTAGGACTCGCCACAGTGGTGCCCAAGAGCAGACGTTGCACTTCTTTTTGCCCGTCATCTGTGTAGTAGGACTGCGTGCTCACATCCGAGTTGACAGCTACTGCGCCCACCAAGCGGCAGTGCACAACCCAGAAGGGGCATTTGAGCTCTGCTACATCGGCCTCGTTGTCAGGATCAAAGTCGTCCATCAACAACTGCACGACCGGGGGTGGATCAACGGCTCTGGGCAAACTGGTCAGCCATGAACAAACTCCAGAGATCCGGGGACTTACCTTCGATCCTTCCCATCCGGCCCAGCGCGTGCAGCTCTGGGCTGCTGTCTTATGTGCAGGTGACACCGCTTGGCAGTCTCGAAAGAAGGCGAGATGGAGTTGTGGGCATCCGGGGCAGCGTACACTACCACCGGTGACTCCGTGGCTGGAGCAGTGGAGGGAGTAGCAGCGTCAGGCAAAGTTTCAGATACTGGACTGGAAGCCCTCCGCTCAGCTTGGGCCATTGGTTCGTTGAGTTCACTGAATGAGACTTGGAAAGGTGAAGGGTCGTATGACAGCCTAGGGCCACAATTAGTCAAGGAGACTCATCAGAGTTTCGCCATTACCTTCTGTCACTGAAAGTAGTCCCTGGACTGTGGATCGGAGCACTATATCGGGAGGGTTGTGACGAAGGTGAAAAAGCAGAGTCGTTGTCAGAACCATGCCCTGTCACAGGACGAGCGTGAGGTGCAACGAATACAGGAGGAAATGGTGAAGGCGGCCAATGACTGGGACTTTGGGATTGAACAGCAGGAGCCGAGATATATGAAGGACGGTGTTGACCGTCAAGACTTCGCGGACCTGGTATTTGAGGTGGATAGGCGTACATAGCCTCTGATGCAAATGTATCCGTAGTCAATGAGAACGAAGGGGGATGCTCTGAGCCACTGAGCACACAGGTCGAAGACGACGAACCGTGTGACGCTGGATTCATGATAGCTGGAGAGGACACTGCGTGGACTTTGACGGTAATGGCGCTGATTTATGTTGCTCCCTTAAATCCCAGAGGGCAGCAGATGGCACTCGGTCAACCTCAATGGAGTTCTGAACCGAAAATCTTGTCGAGCAGCACCCCCTTGGCATCGCGGATGGCATTTAGCGAGGGCTCAGCTGGCGCAATTCGAGACCGGGGGGACCGTGCGCCACCGACATTACATCCTGGCCAGTGATGTCGCTAGAGGATGGGGCATAGCAGGAACACTCGACAGATAGCCGTGGGCACCGTGGGGAAGAGAGGGGGTGGGAAAGAGAGCGAGCGAGCGAGCACCGAGATTCGGAAAGGAGGGAAAAGGATGGAAAAATGGAACGACACGACAGGGCCAGCTAAGGGTCGGACTTTGCGGATTCTGGGACGGCAGCCAGACGGCAGGCAAAGAAGAAGTTTGACGGTTTGTGCAGTAGCGTTTGCGACAAAATGCCAGCACTGGCTGCCAGTGACCTTGCCGGTGGTGGTGCCAGGGTCGTTTTCCTGTCGCAGCTAGCATCCATGGTGAACCCCGCCTCTCCGGGCGGGTGCACAAAGATGTGTGGCCAGTCGCAGATTTATCGGGGGTTGCAAGGGTTATTATACGAGACCCTCCTCGTCTGGTGGATGTTGCATCCTGCCGACCACAGACTCCTCCGGCGTCAACATGTGAAGGGGCCAGCTGAGAAGTGGTCACTTCATGCTGGGCACAATATGGCTGGATGTGTATATCGCTCGGCCCCCTTGGTCTTTTACAGTGGTTGATAGAGTAGCGGTATCGACTTGAGAGAGGTGTAGCTGACCGGATCGCCTCCAGGACCGAAAAAACCAAAGTCCCAAAACGTGAAGGCCCGTCCGCAGTTCCGAAACTTGGATTCAAAGGAGCCCACCCGAGCCCGCACCAAAGAAATCCAAGAATGAAGCTGTAGCTTTCGGCGTAGTGCATGGAGCTGGGTGCGTGGAAGGGTTAGTTTAGGCGAGCACGCCTGCACGATTGTAAGGTCTATTGATCGAGGAAGGGTTGCTGAGTGGAGCTTGACCCTACGAGTAGAAGTAGAACAGAGAAGTAGAAAACACGCCAGCCGCAACCGACCTGTGAAATAGGGCAAGCGTGGAGTTGAGGCATGCATCGTGATACGAAGACTAGGAGTGAGAGGGCGACGAGGAGCGCCAGCTACCACCAACTCAGTAGGACCTAGTAGTCGACGACCCAAGTACCAGTATCCAAAGAAGAGAGCAATAAATTGAGAAGTACTCAGTACGACTGCTCGAGACAGGAAGAGGCAAGCAAGTCACAATGTGGAAGAATGGTCCTCGAACTGGAAGATGGACGAGATGTGATTCTGAAATCCCCAAGTTGGAGGGAGACTGACAATCCCATCACCAACCCTCCAAGGCCGTCATTCCTTCACTCCATCACTCCATCACTCCATCACGCCATCACCTGTTCCCACCAATCTAGGTAGGTGCAATTCTCGTAATTAATTGCATATCTTTTAGCCCTGCTTTCATTAGCCCTCCAAAAATACTGACAACGATCCAGTGTAGGACAGTGTCCCAACTCGAAACCGAAACCCCATCGCCGTTGGACCGAGCTGCATGAAACCACACGACTTCGATGCATTGACAGGCGCGACGTCCGCCCCTGCTTGGTATTTTAGTCTGTCCCAGCAAACAAGTCGCTTTTTGCGTTTTCACTGGGACTCATTATGACTGAACTGCTGGGCACCACGCATTGAAGATCTGTTCCCCAAACCACACCGGACAAGGATCTTCATTCCAGCTCGGCCAGGGTCTTGAGGGTTGAAAGTCATTGAGAGCTGAGTGGCAATCGGCGACATGTCCCGGAAGTACCGCTAATGTGTGGGTGACCTCTCCAGCTCCGTTCCCCAAATGCAGAAGAGACGGCTTACAAGTTTCGGCTCCGCATGCGCAGTGAGGTGGTAGTTGACTGACATAGACACAAGGTGACTATGGCTGTCTAGCTAAGTTCATCACCAGCGTCAATACGAAGTCGATGTCTCTGCAACCTGCAGGAACCCCTGCACGTCTCAAGATAGTCAAATCCCAATCACAACCGACTCCGCGACATGCAAGCAAGGGCTTTGATTTGGTCACAATCCAACAATTGGCCGAGTCCAAGGCCAAAGTTCAAGCCATGACCCATGTCCCTCCGCTTTGAAGCCGCTCCTAACATTCGCGCCATTGGGACTATTGGAGTATACCCATGGTTCTTGTTTTCCTACGCTTTCCCAGTTGCAGAGGACTAGCTCAAAAGGCAAGAAAAAGGAAAAAGCAAAAATGGAGGCTCCGGGAACGAAACGCGGACCAACAACCCGAGCGCTCTAAGCGCTGAATGCAAAGCTAAGTAGGACCACATGCCGGCGCCCTAAACAGTGCATATTGCATACTGCGTACGAGTATTTTTGGCCGACCGGGTTCCGCAACCTCTCAACAGGAGCAAATAACGACGACAAGAGGTGAACCACCTTCCAGCTCTACCAGGGCAATTATCAGGGGATTAATGGCACGAGCGTCGGTCCTACTGCTACAATCGACCGCGAATGAATACAATTGAGCTCGTGCGGGAGCTGTGATCTCGGTTATCGATGCGAGACTCGAGATCCTTGGCCCAATTGGCCCCTCACCAACTAGCCAGAGGTCCCCAGACGCAAAACCTGCCCGCTGTCCAGCAACGCGGCCATCCACATGTCCTGTCTCCCGCTTGTGATCTCGATATAGCAAATATTCAGCACTTTGGGCTTCAACCACCATCAACATTAATTGGACGCCACCTGAAGCATTCACAGGTTTTCGAAGTTATGAGATATGCGCAGAAGCCTGCACCTTGGACAAATCAGATCCTGACCTGTTGAGCCTTTTTCTAGCAGAGCTTTGCCCTAATCCGAAACATACCTGCAGCACTATTACGTACCCTCACGCAAGCCAGGTGGCGACTAACACGACGACTTAAGATGGCAATAGCTCCGATTAGGTTGAAGACCCCACACACAAACGGGAAGAAGTCAATCTGAGCTATAAGGTTGACCATCAGACCATCTGCGCAACTGCGCGACATAGCTTAGGAATCAACTGACCCGAGAACCAAGTCTCGGCTTTCACGGACTCTCTTGTCACTACGACAGCCCATGTTAATGTCCGCGTCTTTTCAGGCCCCTAGCCTAATCCGGCTCGTTGGTCCTGTCAGGTCTTGTGCCGTAACCTAACGCCCCTGCTCAGCTGCCGTCCGTCTGTAGCATAAATTCCACGGTGTGAAATTTCCGAGGGGAAAGGAAACTTTGTCAAGCCCCCGTCACGGCCTGTTTTGTCGACCAGCAGATGGGGAGGTGCCTTAGCGCCCATAACGTTGCTTCAATACGGCAGGAAAGGCTGGACGCAAGAACAAACGAGTTTTTGAACCTGGTTCCGGATAAATTGGGGACTCAAATCGACGATGGTTCCATTGTCTAAGGGGGTGATGAAAAGGTCGACCTGCTGGTGACAAGCCTGCCTCCCCTTGCCACCACCAATACCATACTCCCTCGTTTATGCAATCTCAAGATTTACATCAGGTTCGACAGTCTGGACCGCCCCCGAGGAGGAGAAGACTGTCAGCCAGGGGGCAGCTTCAGGATTTCAAAGTCCACCCAAGAGGCGCAGATTGAAAGAGGCAGACATGCACTTACTCAATCAAGTTCCCATCGGGGTCTCGAAGATAAACACTCCGCAGCTTGCCTTGAGCTCCGGTCCTTTCAACCACCTTAGCACCTTCCAGGACGGTCATGCCTCTCTCCTTGAGCCGTCCCAGGACGCCTTCAACATCTTCCTCCACCAGAAAGCACAGGTCACCACTCCCGGGCTGGACACGCTCCGCTTTTGGCTCAAACTCTTTTCCAGTTTCGTGCAGGTTGATCTTCTGAGTGCCAAACTTCAACGCATGTCGAGTGATGCCGGGTTCAGTCACGAAGGAGGTGTGCTCCATGCCGCAGATATCCTGGTAAAATTGAATGGTGGCGTCAAGGTCCTTGACAGTCAGGACGAGATGATCGAGCGATTTGACTTTGGATACTGAGGTCATGACGTTGCGTTGGTCCCTGTCCGAGCTGATCCCGCAATGGACGACCGTGAGAGCGTGACAATCCACAAAGAACCAAAGAGAAGAGATATTGTCCCTCGTATATTGTCAGAGAGGCACATGTGCTTGACCTGAGAATGCCCTGTAGACTCGTGAGCTGAGGAGGCGGGTTTATGTTGGGTTTCCCAGTCCCCCCGCCTTCCCCAAAATCAGAAGTCTTGACTGTCACCACCACCATATGTTAGGGCGCGGGAATCAGGCCGGTGGGATTTAGTGAGCTCAGCAACTTCCGCGGACAACATCCCGAAGCTCTATCAGGACGAGGAAAACATGCCTAATTGGGAACTGTGATGTGTCAAGACATAGCAAATACATGGTGATTATTCTAAGCAACCGAGCTGGGAGGTATTTGGAGGGGCTGTCTGTAGCATCGAAGCACGTCACAGGATGCGAAAAGTATTAATTAGCATATCAAGTTTTACATAGTAGTGGATGAGAAGCGGCACGAGAGGACGAACTGAGTGGCACGATCTGTTATGCTCAGCCAAGACCACCTTCGTACCGACCACGTAGGTAGGTATCGACACACGTGTAAGGCATCAAACAACAATGTCTGTCTGATGTCGCTGGTCGAGGCGTGAGACGAACGACTTTACAGTAGCTGCACACGGGGGATAAGATAAGATAAGATGGCGTACTGGCGATGACATTTGCAACTTCAAACTTTTGATCCTTTCTCAGCGTCTTTGTTGGACTTCAATTCGATCACAACAATGGTGACAACCAGGTCCCAGGACCGCAAATTAGGTGCCTCTAGCTCGCCCCTTCCAGCCGTGGAAGCGGGCACAGACTTGTCACCCTATGCTAGACTATCGCCCACCGCAAAATCAAAGGCACCTTCTGCGAGTACGCTTGCCTCCAGGAAGAGTCTTGCCTCACCTGCAAACCAGAAGATTGAAGTCGTCATAGACGTAGCACCTAATCACGGTGCAGCCCCAAATCCTCTGGAGCAAGAGACTTCACAGTCTGGAGGCCGGGAAAATGGACAAGGGATCTCGCCGAGCCAGCCCCGGGATCTCGTACCTCACCATGAATCATCCTTTCAGGGCGTGCTCGAGGATTCCTCGTCCAATCATGAAGCCAGAACTATGCAATCAGACGATAGAAGCGCCTTGGAAGGCAGGCCCAAAGACAGTCGAGAAGTACCGGTCACACTTGCCGAGCGCTCGAAGCACCCGATGTCACCGAATCAGACATCAGCATCCGTCCCTAAACGAAAGAGATTCACCAGCGAAGACCTTGACGATATGGTCCCAGGATCTGAATTGCCTGCAGACCAGCTTGCCCGTCCCGTCACTCCGAACGCGGCTGACAGAGAAGGTGTAGAAGAGTCTGACGATGGCGGTGACGACGCTCCTCCCGAAGTGGTCAGCAGCTCTGATGCTGCACAACAAGTCTTGGGGGTGCCCAATCCTTCACTGCAGCATACGAATCGCAAGAGAAGGAAGATCCTGCGGAATGCTGACGATGAGTTTGGCTCTCCTGTGCGAGTACCTGAGCTAGCAGCAACCCTGGAGCCACAGACATCAGACACGGCACAAGAAAAAGGCGAAGAACCCACCACGGCAGGTCAGATTCCTCAACAAAACGGAGGAGAGAGTGAGGCCGGCGAAGCATCAAAGCCCATCAAGAACAACTCAAGTACCGTCAATGCTACTCCTCAGGAGACGATCGAGATCGTCACTACACCAAGATCAAATGAGAGCTCAGACCCGGCAAATACTACGACACAATCAGCCAGAAAGAAAACAGGACCCCGGACCCCTGACAATTTCGATACCACCACTCAGCTGCAGCCTTCTGAGCCATTGGCGGAGGAGGGTATTTCCACCTCCAATGAGACCACCCGTCAGATACTTCCAGGAGAGCAAGAGCAACTTGCGGTGAACCTTTCAACCTCCCTACCTCAAGACACGAGCATGGCTGATGGCGGCCCTTCTGTCACAAATTCGGACGTGCGATACTCGCCACCGCAAAGAGTGTCTGCGACAGAACTACCCCCTGAGTCCTCTGCTACAATCCCGGCTCCGGAAGGTCATGCACAAAGCACAACAAAATTCCAAGCAAACACTGCGGAGCCATCTGTAGGCGTGGAGTCCCCTGGTTCAGTTTATTTGTCCACTCAAACACAGCCGGTCGAGTCTGATTCGGTGAAAATGGCAAATTTCACGGCCCCTACGCCCCGCGCCCGCCCGAGAGGTAGACCACCTCTTCACGAGCAAGAAGTCTTGTCGACACCGAAGCCAACATCTCTGCAGCAATACAGAACTCGGCTGTTGGGCCGGCATCCCCGAACAAACAACTGGGGAGCGCCTGGGTTCCGCCGGAAGGCGAAGTTTGTCGGCGCGTGAATTGCAACCTTTCCTTGTTTTGTTGAGTGACAGGCAGCTCGAAATGTAGGCATGCATGCTGCCAAAACTAGGTCTTTCCTCTGGGCATTGGTATGTAATTGTCTGTTTCCCAGGACCTTGAACGACTGAAAGCCCGAGACCATGACGAGACCACCCTTACTGTAGTTTTGGTGTCTGCAGCTGGACGAACCGCAGAGGCTGAGAACATGTTGACTAGCACCGTGCATCACCTCGTTTTTTGTCGATCAATTTGCAGGCTACACGGAACACTGAACAAAGATCTACCATGAATATGTCAATGCGCTGGGCAGCATTACATTCACATTCCGGATCCGGTCAATGCTCTATGTGTGAGTCGAGACACACAAGGACGTCGATCGCTTTGGTTAGAAAGCAGGCTTCAGCCATCCCGGATCGTCGTCGTTGGCCTCGGTGAGGGTCGGTCTCGGAGAAAGAAGGGACGTATCTGTAAAGGTGCATTGCATGTACATTAGGACGTCTTTTTGTGTAACGCAAAAGGCTAGGCTTCTGCAGGCGAGGCAGGGGAGAAAACACGAGGCACTGCAATGCAAGCTTTGGCGACTTCGGGCCCCGGTCAGGAGACCACCCAGGTATGTAATATGTAACCTGGGCCGTGTACAGGTGTGCATGGATGTACATAGAATGAGAAAACTTAAGAACCGTGCATCTAGCCTTCAGGCAGCAAACTGGGTGGCAAAGGAACGCGGAGTTTTGAAACCGGGCGGCCCATGCACTCGATCGCTCGATCGCTCATCTTTGCCAGTCGAGGTCCTTGACCCAAGTCACGTCAAGTCCCCCATCCATGCATTCACGGTACCTACGTTACGGAATCCCCCTCCGCTGAGACAGAAGAGAACTTTGCACCAGGGCGGATTCAATCGATGGGTACGGTAGGTAGGGAGGCGGTGCCGGCGCAGGTTCCTCAGGAGGGAAGGAAGGAAGGAATGTGTGTGTGTGTGTGTGTGTGTGTGTGTGTGTGTGTGTGTGTGTGTGTGTGGAATCTCAGCCTTGTCGCCCTGTACCACCTTTGCATACCTAGGTACCTAACTCTTTTGTCGCGGAGTAATCGTTCGCGATACATACCTATGATATACTAGGTTATATATATATATATATGGTCTGATCTGATCTGATTTAATATGCTATGCTATGATATATAAACTCTAAAGGGAATGACCACACCTATCTAGGTAGATACCTGGTATCCTACCTACCTACCTAGGTATGTAGAAGAACCCATTGATACTTAAGTTGGACGGAGGGCGAGGGGTTTCCAAGACCGGGTGGGTAGTGTATCATTGTGTACATACATTTCACTTGGGCAATTAATGGATGTGTTGGATTTAAAAAGGACGAATATAATATAGATTTATTGTATGGTATTGCCTTCTCTTCGCATTGCTTCGCGTGGAGCTGCATTACACGCCCTCTTGCACCCTGCTTTTGTCGCGACATAGAACCGTACATGACATGCGTTGACGACATTAGAATAGTGATTGTTCTTAATACAGGATCCCCCAAAGTAAGAGAAATGCAGGCGAGTATCAGTGGACACAGTCCACGATGCTCGTCCAACACCACGATAATAAGAGGACATTCCCACCTCCTTTCTCCCATTTCTGTGTTCTAAAGGAACCCGAGGTGGTCGTTTCAACATGCTCCACCCCGCCCGGTAACGGCCCGCACAGCGAGTGTCTCGATCCTCGTCGCGTACAGATTCATCGAGTGGACCAGAGGATCTCCAAAGACGACTTGTCGCAATTGCTCGTCCTTGACCAGAGACGCAGTCACGTCCGCTTCGGTCGCACCAGGGTGGTCCGGAATGCGGAGCACCACGAGACGGCCTGCATTCGACAAGGTCGCTGGAGGGACATCCCACCACAGCTTCCTGAGTGGGAGAGACGGGTGTTGTTTCGATTTCGCCGGGGGCTTGAGTTTCGATTGCTTCTTCGGGGCGGGTACGAGTGAGAGATCGAGTCTCGACATGGACGCCCCGAGGGCCGTCAGCGTCGACACTGAGCACTGCTGCTTCGGTTCGACGGACGGCAATGATGGGATTGGCCGCGACAGGAGGTCCACGAGGCTTTTCACGTATGCCTTCTCCGCGCGTACAACTGGGTCGCCTTCGTTCAGAAATGAGTGGAAAAGACATTTGCGTAAGCGTCCGTCGGCGGTTTCGGGCTTCTGTAGCGGCAAGAGACTGACGGGCGGAGCTCCAAACGTGACACAGTGGACTCTCTTAAAGCAGCCTGTGAGGATGTTGAGTTCGGATTGAACGGTCTCTGCGAGCATGTGGGCGTATAGCAGACTGGCTACGGCGCCGCCAGCAGAATGGCCCGTGATGAGGAGTGAGCAGCTCGTCCGAGATGGGTTCTCTTCCAACAAATGTCGAAGTCTGGCCGCGATCGGCTTGACCATCGCCCGGGCGACTCGCAGAAAGCCTGAGTGACACAGATTTCCCTGGTCGTCCAGAAATCCGGTCGGCGACACAGGCTCAGTATCCAGGTTGACCCCCCAATCGCGCACACTGAAGAAACTCGTCCCACGAATGGCGAAGACGATGGTTTTCCTGTCGTCACACGGGATCGACTTGATGACCATGGCCTTTGTGCCCAGTCGGCCATCGGCCGAGACAAAATCCTTGCGCTCTGACGAGGATTGTGGAGAGACGTATGCGCTGTTGGAATATTGGGCGGCAAGACACAGGAGCGGCCACGTTGGTATGTAGACTCGAAAGGGTTGTAGAGACACGGGCAGTCGAGAGTTCATGTATAGGTCAAGCTTGGAGAACACATTGGTCTGCTTCTGTTGCGTCTGTTTCCTCTGTCTCGGTGGCATTTTCTCGACCCCTCCGAGCGCCCGCGTCATATCCCGGTCCACTCCATATGTCTCTGCCAATGTTGGTGACATAACCTCTCCCTCTGTGATCATCAGCTCTTTTTCCGAACCCGAAAATGCATCTTCATCAATGAGCGATATGACGTCGCCCAACTTGTGGTCAATCCGCTCTTGCAACTTCACCGGCAGGGACGCTCTCGGAGGACCAGCATCCACATAGGTCGGGGACGGATGTGACCATGTATGTTGAGGTTGCAGAGGCGTTGCGCGATACTCCGTCTGTAAATTCTGAGCCGGCGGTAAAGAGAGAGTCGAGGTCATATGAGGATACGAGGCTGGAGCAAAGTATGTGGCGGGCTGCGGCGTCCATTGGGGTAGGGGCTCCTCGTAGCTGAAGGCAGCGGTATTCAGAGCATAAGGGGGAGGGTTTGGGGGAGATATAGGAGCAGCAGCAGCTGGAGGATCTGTGTATTTGCGGCGCTTGCGGGCGTCTGGGAAGAAGAAAGGCATTCTGAAGTGCTAGCGAGTACTCAAGCTGCTGCACAGGGTGAGACTGGGAATTCATATCAAGGAGAATAGCCTGTCACTCCCACATGGCATCAGTGTCGCAATGTCAGGAACTACTCACATGACTGATTGCCTTGAGAGGGGGTTGAAGCTTTCATATAGCTGTTCTCACTGTCTCATTGCACTTCTCCATTTCGCCTTGTTGCCTTCCTCCCGCACTGTCAGTGTTACCCGCCTAGAAACTCGGAATTGTCGGGTTGCCGCGCCTGCGCCACGATGGCGACCCAATCATCATGGCGCATGGAATCGTTCGCAGAGGCAGTCGGAGGGTCGTCTGTTCAATTCGGTCACCAGGATGCGGTGATAGGCACGGGAACTTGCCTTGGTAGTCATACCCAACAAGGCTGATAGGCACAAGAGGAAAGACACTGGGACATTTTTAGATGATGATCTTCGTTTCAGGGAAACTGAGGGTATCGATAGAAGGCCGTTTGTGGCTGACCCCCTGAAGTTTTTTAGCTAGGCCTTGCCTCGCTTACCGGATTTACTTGTACTGGACCTCTGCCTCTCACCCACCTATGTCATGACCCAAGTACTTAGCTACCTAGCGAGCTAGGTGGTTGGTGTGCACCCGGGGTGCCGGCGAGGAAAGTTACAGAGCTCGATAGGCACCTTGGCACCTAAGGTAGCCTACCTAGGTAACTCTCACAGTGCTCGTAGGCACTAACCTTCTGGGTTTACAGGAGAAGGCGGCGTAACCCAGTTCTGGGTGTGGTCTTCGCAGCGCCCCGGTTGACCCATCCAACACCATTCCTCACAGCATCGGTCGCCGCCAATCACCTTAGCAATCCTTCCCTCTTCCTCTACTTCCGCTACCTTGACCCGACTGCTAACTTTCCGCCATACAAGTGTGCGGTATTAACAACGAGAAATGATAAAGAGTTACCCGCAATAGGCACGGTCCTTAACGTGAGACAAATCTTGCTCGCAGCATCGCGCCGAATGACATCTCGAACGAAGTTGTGCCTGTGCTACTACAGAAGACGATCCATACAAAAGCCCTCGCTTCCACCTCGCGACCAGACTTACGTCATTGAGAGTTGCTGAAGCACAAGGTGATTTCAAGATCTGGGAAATCTTGTGTCACACTAAGCTATACAGATATTTTCTGTTAGGTATCTTAGGTATCATGGAACAGACCTCTCGCAAAAAAAGGTCGGAGCAAGAAATAGGCACAGTGATCATATCGGCAGCACAAAACTGACCAGAGATATCTGATGCCTGCTCACGGTGCCAAACCAATGTCGCAAGAGATCCGATATCTGAAGCCAAAAGGTGCAATGGTTACCACGTTCAAGTCGCATGCAGGAATCACACCAGACACCCCCTTCGGTCATGCTATGTCGTTGATCTGGCAGATCTCAGCTGCTGCTGGAGCATTCCACCGTTCTCGAAATCAGCCATACAGTCAGCCAAAACCAGGGCGAGACCTAGGCTCTTGATCGGGTGTAAAAGGACTTGAACCTTCAGCGACCGATCCTGAGAATGGTAGTCACAAGCGATGGTATCAGACTGTCGAGGGAAGTGCCAAGGTTTGCTTCTCCGTCTTCACCAGAAATTGAACAAGGTGTCGGTGCATGACGTCCGACTGAACGTGGCCATAGGCAATGACAGCTCTGCAAAGAGATCTAGATCTGTAAGTGAGCAGTCTGGAGTTCGGCAAACTGGAGTCAGCAGCTTGCGGTCAGGGAACCATACATCAGCCAAAACATGACGAAGAATCAATATGCTTCAGTGCCGGATTTTGTTTTCCTTGTGGTGCTCAAATCGAATTACCTGCCCATTTTGTCGACTTAGCCCTGCCACTAGGTGCTTGGTTAATACCCAACGGCACTTATGTGAACGGTCACCATCCGCAGCTCGGGCCTCATGAGCTCTGACGATGTTCATACAGTAGGTCACCCTAGCGATCAAGCTTTCCTGGTGGACGACTTTCTCGGCTCAATTCCACGGGAAGAATGCGTCATACTGTTGCACACGTACCATACCCGGGAGCTGTGGAGGCATGGAACATTTCCATCTCGAACCAACGTCCCCAGGCACAACGGAGTCAAAGTGTAACGTCAATTACCATGACCAATCCTAGCTGCAAGTACAGTTGCTCGGAGAGGAATCTCGTTGCGGATTGGTCTCCGGAAGTACAGAAGCAATGCGAGAGTCATGGGGGCTGCAAGAATATAGAGAGCCGTCGGGAATCAGTATGACAACTTGATCAAGGTATCGGTGGCCTCCTTGGTAAGCATGCATGGCCAATCATGGTCTCAGGATACCTTGGGTAATAAGATGCGAGATGACCGGATTGCGGCGCGGCCGACCGATATCCGGGCAGACTGACATCGGCAGCTTGCAAAGGCGTGCAGGTGGTCTAGAGCTGGAGTTGAACGTCGGTTGCTGGCGATAGCAAGGTATGCCTGTAGTGACCAAGGTCGGTATGCAGAACCCTCTCTTGGGCACTTGACGTAGACAAAGGGACATCATCAGTGCATGTCAGCAGGTTTCAAGTCGAAGCAGTCCTCTTCTGTACATGTCTTTGACGGTTCAGATGTCGTGTCGTGAAAACCTTTCCACCGCTGGTGGTCTCGACCGTGGGCTAGAGAGGAGCCAGAGCTTCGGCGGTTGCTCCGTCCCCACGCTCTGTCATACCTACCCAGGTAGGTAGGTACCTATCTTGCCCAGGTGTATTATGGTAGGCGTTTGTAGAGTCGGAGTACCGGGTACAGAGCTAGCAGAGCCGATGTTTGGCTTGTTTGGTTGGGGATTTTCCTGATCGTCGATCTTGTGGTTTTCTCCCGAGACCAATGGGCTTCAGATCCGATGGCAGTTAGTCATGCTCGTTACCCAGAACCTGACACCCACCTGCGAAAAACAGCTGGGCGACCATGCCGTGTGGCTGAAGACGAGGTCCAAAGGGGGATAAAGGGGGATGAAGAGGAGGCCCCCCTGAGGAAATTGACGGAACAGTGCAAAGCTTCGCCAATCGAGCGATGCGAGCGATGAAGGATCATGACAGTCACCCAACAGTGGTCACCCTGTGGTCCAGTGGACGCCATGTCGCCAGTCGCCCACCAGTCGTACCACTCAGCACTCCGTACATTCTTACTTTTTTATCTTTGTCGATCGAGGAAACACACTGCAATCGTAATTTACCACGTTCGCTTCTCCCTGGCCTTGAATTTTTGCCCGGGTCCTGACTTTTGAGGCGTGACCACCGAGGAGTTTTTATCCGCCATCAACGATCGCCTCCTTCAAGAACCTCTAGGCGGGCGTCCCAGCTTTCTCGCCCAATGATGACGAGGGTCACAACTTCTCTATTAGAGGAAAGCGCGCACAATATGGCTTCGCTAGTCCGATGCATCAGATTCACATCGATCTGGGTGCAAGAGAGAGGCTTAAACTGGTAGAATTGGTACAATCCAACGTCCACCATGAAACCTGATAAATCTACACTCCTCCGACTCTCGTTCTTTCTCGAGATGGATCCAATTCTTTCTGCTCTGAGAACCACTGCAACCCCGTCCAAAACCCGACTCGTATGTCCTCCGCAGTCGACATGTCCAAGAATGGGCATCCGACGGTTTACCTGTTTGTTAACAAAGACAGAGCTTCTGTGTCTCTGTCTAGATGTCACGGCAAAGACGCGTCGGCTATCCTAAGCCATGTCCAGTCATGCCGCAACCAGAAGAACAAGCAATTGCACATGTTCCGGGTCGAAGACACCACCGAGCTAGGCTCAGCACCTCCGCCCTCTCGAAAGCAACACATCAGTCACAAGCACCGTTCGCCGAGGTCGACCCCGCCACTGCGAAGTGCGACACCATCAACCCCCAAGGCCCGCGCATTGGCCACGCCCGAGCGTGTAATTGAGTCAGTATGCTCCCCTCCTCGGACCGACTCTCCGTCGAAGTCTCCAGAAATTGAGGAGTTGCTACACTATTTCAACTCTCTGTGCTTTACGCATGAGGCACATCCTCAGGGCCAGTCGCAAAGCCAAGATCTCTTCCGTCTGCTGGTTTCTTCCGAGGATTTTTCAAGCTTCTCGAAACGAGTGGTCGGAGGGATCCACGGATATGCCATGCTTGCGTGCACAGCCGCGAGAATGGGCGCCGACATACCGAGTCGACGCGAGGAGTTCGAGATATTGGCAACCAAGTATATGCAACCGTCCCTCCAGCGGCTACGGGAGCAGCTCGCCGATCCAGCCACGAGAACGTTAACAGATCGACAAATTCTGCAGGAAATGGTCCTCCACTGTGTGACGAATTGGTACCTTCAGGATTTTACGGCTGCTCAAACGCACCTAAAGGCCATCAACTGTTTTATTGGTTGTCTCGATGTTTCCAACGGTCCCGACCGCAAGTTGCTGAACCTCATCAACCGATGCGGTCTCTTTATTGCCAACAGCATACGGGCCGAGCAGACCTCACGTCCCAGCTTGTGCCCGAGAACAGAATCCTTTGCTGCGCGTGGCTTGCGCCGGGTTGTCTAAGAAAGACAGAATTCCTCAGCGGTCGAATTATCTCCAGGAAACGCCTGCAGAAGATACTCGATTCATACATGCTGGCGCAATATCGAACCAGTACGTCTTCTGGCGAAGTGGGGAGTTATGGTTGTCTGAGTTTACTAACGGACTTCCATAGCCGCCAATCAATACTTTCTTGTGCGTCGATCGGCGATGATCAGGCCTTGCAAGAGGGTCGCGATCGGCGGTTGTGGGGGGATTACGTCGCACACAAGGTGGCGAGTTGGCTCTTTCAAGGTGGGATTCGACTATTCAGCGAGATGCTATCAATGAGCTACCGTGCCTTGTCCTCCATTGGTTTCAGAAGACGGCTGGATTGGTTGACTTCGAGCAGGCCGTCATCTATCCCAAGGAGTCTTAGCTGGATTGCTACCTCCTTGGGATAAAGACACTTGCTGGACATTTCACACCAACAAGATGGTTATGAAACTCTGTTTCAACTGCATGTTGACTCTTGAGGCACGACGGCGAACAAGGGCTCGATGAGGCTCACAGGTTCAGCAGCCTTAGAGCTCTGGTGTACGAACAGACTCCTCCTGTATACTATCGAAGAGGCCACCAGGCGAGAACGAATTGAATCTCCGTGCTCAAACCATTTGTCTATTGCATTCTGCTCACCAGCCCAGGTTCCCTTCCGTCTCGTCATTCAATGTTCTCGCTCACTTACATCTCCACAATCAGCATGCTTCTCTACCGATCAACCCGGGGAGAGATCATGGCCCATTGTCTTGACAATACCCCCAATTCCAGGTCGACTTGTAGTCGTGAGGCTCCTTCCTTGTAATCTCGTACCTGTTGCTTCCCTGACAGGCACCGAACGCTTGGCCCTTGGAAAGACAAGAAGCTCCCTGCGCAGATCATTCGGCCCTAGGCAAATGGGAAAGTCATGCCAGATCCTCACCATCAATTAGTCCGCAGGCCGCACTCTTGTCACCTTCAGTCAGGATGTATGATGGTCTTCATCTCCATCTGGATGCTCCTGGAACGGCCTGAAATGCTCGAAGAACTACCATTTGTTCTTGCCCACCTGGCAGGGTCCCTTATCCAACCCGCTCTCTTTGTCATTGTGCCGTCTTTCCTCCTGATACCTTCCAATTGGACTTGCGAACAGCCTCTTTCTGATAGTTTGCTGCCAATATTGAGATGAAGTCGACCAGGGCGAATTGCACAGGTACTCGGCTCGTCGGTATGGTTTAGGGCGTGTTCCAGGGGCAGCAGACGCCAAGGGATACTGCCGCCGGGATGGCCCGATTCAACCCAATAAAGAGACTTTCGGCGCGTCCTCAACAGGCTTGAATACTGTACACCGCATCCTCAAGGACAGCCCAGAGCTTGTAAGAGGGACCTTCTGGTGCTTGATCGGTGATTGTACAAACAGGGCAACAAGTCGACCAAGCGAGACCAGTTCTCAGACCACCAGCGGATGACGTCAGCAGGAGGACGCAGCCAGCAGCCAGCAGCCAGCGCAATCACCCACCGAGCCAACCTGCACCAAGCCAGCACCTGCGCTGGGTTGACCGGCACCGTCGCCAGTTGTCACACCGGTCAACCGATCACCGCACATGGCCCATTGTTGTCCAGGCTGAGCTGAACTTTGAGCCATTCAGAGTCCTCGCGCCTCTTCGGGCGAGGGCTGGGCAACAAAAGAAAAAAGATCGCCCGATGTGCTGTCTAAACAAAACTTTTTCAGCTCCCTCGAATTCATTCTGTCCCTGTGTTCGAATCCACCCATCGAGATCATAGCTTATCTCACAAAAAATCAGTCATGTCTACCCGGGGAGATGACCGCTCCTACAAGGTTGTCTACTCGAGCCGAACCCGAGATGAAGTCGATGAGCGAATTCCCGCCCGAAAGCCGAGGCGCGATTACGACTATGACGACGAGTACCGGGTGGAAAAATCATACTCTCGAGATTATCGCGACGATGGCATTGAGATTGACCGGAGGTCAAGGACTAGTGATACACGTACTCAGCTGCCTCCGCCGGTAGGTGCGACAAAGACGACTTATGAAATCGGCCGCGATAGAAATGCCGAGTCATATGTCAAACGTTCCAACGCTGTGATTATTGATCGACCCCGCGATAATGGTCGATACGAGTATGAGATCCTTCGGCCCGAACGGAGAAACGATGGAGCATATGTCTTCGATCTTGATCGTCGACACTCACGCGACTACCAAATTGATGTGGATTCGAGGGCTTATGAGCGACCTCCACGCTCGAGATACGGTGATCCACCATTGACGGTGTCCAAGAAAGTGGACGATGTGCTTGTGTCTGAAACTACTCGAGGCGGCGGACGTGATCGCACCGTGAGAGATGTGCGGTACAAGGACGTCCAAGTTACGGAAGAAATCGACGGTGACACTCGCTCCAGCCGCCGAGGTCGCTCTTCGGACGCTTATGTCGACGATGTTGCTCCGCCGAGACGACTAAGGAGTGCAATGCGCGGCAGAAATAACTCGCCGCCCTCTCTCATGGAACGACGGCGCGAACACAGCGTAGGATTCTACAGAGATCAAATCAGTCACCACGATGCCAGTGAAGGCAGGCACGAAAGGCCAGGAGCCGAGGCGCACTTGGCCGGTCGGTATCTTGTTGGCAACGGGGAATTCGAGGATGATGTTTATGCGGCGGCCTACACTCGCCGCAACAGAAGCCGAAGCCGCTCCCGAGGACGGTACGGTCCTCAGAGGAGTGATCCAAGACTCCATGAGTACGACGAAGAGGACGATCAGCGACGAACCTACACCGAGGAAACGATGCGACGATATGAATACGAAGATGAACAACGACCCCGATATCCTCCGCAGAGGGCCCACTCGCGAAGACGACACCACCGCCATCATCATCGTGGTGATGACCGTGATGAGGACCGTGATGATGACAGCTACTCGGAGTACGAAGTGGTCAAACGGACCACCAAAGAGTATTACCGATAGGGTTGGCACAGCTGGGCCTGTGCTGTTGACTTGCAATCTAACCTCCAGATGTCACTTGGCATGCCAGGAAAAATGGACTATCTTGCTTGCATACCTACTTCATGTTGAAAGACTAAAGGAGATCTCGTGAGCATACTATCTGGGTATTGTGTTTCCTGAAATCCCCCAACCGGCATCGTCGTCCGCCAATAAGGACGATAAATTCGCTACGCGACCCTCCCGACTAAATCCAGCGCTATCGCCAGCTGCTCCTTATCTACTGAGGACCAAGTTCCTTTGCTCCAATCGATACTGCAACACCAGCCTTCTCGTCGATCGAAGCCTCCTCCGATGGGGCGACTCCCACTTCCACGTCTGTCGACTGCGGCTTCGATGGTGGATAGACTGCCTCATCAATCTTCGCCGCACCCACACCCGAGACGTAAGTGCAGATGAGGTAGTAAACGACGCCAGAAACGGTGAAGCCATAGATGCAGGAGAAGGTGTAGATCTTCCAGGCGCCTCCGATGTTGAGGTTTGTGTCGATGCTCTTGCAGAAACCTGGCAACAGCGGAGCCACCGGTGTGATGAACGACGCGTATGCCCTCCAGTTGATGCCGACCTTGTTGTAACGGTAGATGCCGTGGCCGTTGTACATCTCGTGGATGTTGAGCTTCTTCTTTACGATGAGGTAGTAGTGGCAGCACATGGTGCCGCAAATGGCCCCCATGAACATGCTGTAACCGGACAAGAAGGCTAGCAAGCCGGACGCGTTTTTGATGATCTGCCATGGGTTCGACACTACGCAAAAGACGGAGATGATCAAAGTGGCGCGGAAGATGTTGATGTATTTGGGGCAAAGACCCGAGACTGTGGTCCTGGTTAGCTGTGACTGTTCGACTTTTGACAAGACCAGCGAAGACTTACTATCATTGGAAAATGGATATGTCCCAGCAGCGATCTGGTTACCGATAGTCGCCAACATGAAACTGAATGCGGTGAAGAATTTGGCGGCACGAGAGTCGAACTTGGCGATGACGGCGGGCATATACCACTGGAATTCTCCCCACAAATAGCTATGGGCTGAGGTGACAAAGATGGGGGTCAACGCTCCCAACGTTCCAATGATGGGCAATGCAAAGAACTGGTTGTATCCTTTCAGGTTGTTCTTGGAGAATCGACTGAAATCCGGGAAGTTGACCGCCATGGAGCTGAAGAGGCCGATGACCGCGTTCAAGCCGGTCAGGGCCGAATATGCCGTGTTCATATAGGTTGAAGTGATTTTGGCATGTCCGGTCACAAGTGGCCCACCTCCTTTTGTGACAATGGCGGCCCACAAGAACAGGGCAAGGAAAGTCGGTGGAACAATGATGCCCTTGAGCAGGAAGAGGATTCGGAGCTTCTTGATGGGCATACAGGCCAAGATGGTTTGGAAGATCCAGTAAATGAACTGGAAATCATCAGTTCTCCATTCAGATGCAGGAGTTGAACATGCTCACAAAGCAGAGGAGTCCGGCTGAAGTGATGCCAGCACTCTCGGGCAAGTGGTTTGGGAAGTTGGCGAAGCTGGGCCAGATCGCCGTAAGACAGTTGTTGAGAAAGTCACCCGCCTGGACACACAGAATTGCGGCTGTTCATCAGAAAGTCAGCCCGACATTCATATTTGCGAAAAACAGCCTCGCTAGATGATCAGAAAGGGGACTTACTCCACATGGCAGCCACGAATGAGCGGAGAACGATGACTGGATAACTTCCATACATTCCGAAAATAGAGCGGACCAGCACTGGGAAGGGGATGTTATATCGGGCACCCATCTTTCCAGTAAGGGTCAATGCTCCAGAGCATAACGCGAAGCCACAAAAGACGATTGGAATCTACCAATTTGTCGTCAGCATTAGAAAAACTCCTGGACAGGGGGCAGAGCTCTGGGATAGTGCTCCTCCAGGCTGGTATAGAAACAGGATACTCACCGTCTCGCGAGCAGTAAAACCCAAGCTCATGACAGACGACACGGTGGATGTGAGGGGAGGTGCAAGCATATCACTGGTCCAATATGCCCAATAGTCCTATTGGGAGGGAAGTCAGTCTGGGGGATCATGACTGGGCTCCGCAGCCTGTGAACGGGTCACGTACCAAAGCACCCCAAGTACCTGCGGACATCAATTAGCTAGGACTCACATGGACGAAGTGTTTGAACAGCGACCCAGGAAGAGGGACTTACGATCCTCAGGCTTGATAGGGTCGAGATCTGGGTTAGACCAGCGAGGGTCTTGGTACATTCCATGTTCCATAGGGACTTTCCAGTGCAGCTGAGGCTCAATCTTGGCCTTGATGCGCTTGGGCGAGAGGCGCTTCGGGGAGAAGCGTTCTGCTGAGAAGTTGACCATGTTGTCAGAGGTCACGGACCAAGGTTGACAGGTTTGCGTCGGTTCGGGTGAGGTCAGGTCAGGTCAGAGATGGGACTTGAGTAGAGTTGTTGGAAAGGATTGAGAATCTTTCAGACACAAAGCAGGAGGCGAAACAGAGGGATCTATATAGCCGTTCAGCTCGCGTGCTGGAAGAAATTCTATCTCAAGGCTGGACTGCTGTCTGTTGCAGGATAGACGACCTGGGTGGGGCATGCACAGATTAGACAAGGGAGCCACGAGGGTCAACAGGCGAACAGGGAGATAGGCCCCCGCGGCATTGTGGTCGAAGGCCCGCCGAGGTCATTAGATCTGCAGATCCAGACCCATCCAGGTTCTTGGAGAGATCAAAATCCGGGGTCGTGAGTTGTGATAGAGACAGGATCCAGATGGGAATCCAAGATACAGGTTGCAGGCTTGCAGCCGTGGTGGTGGGTTGGGGTGCAAGCACGGCAAGATAGAGCCGCCGGCCGCTGCACAGGCGCCGCCGGCGAGGCTGCTGATATGGGAGTCACGTGCCGTAAGCCTCTGACAATACCGCCGACGGCCACGGCACCAGACACGGTGGAATGAGGGGCCAACGGCTGCCGGCGGGCGAAATATTACATGCCGCCCGGTATGGAGCTAGCCCTGTTCTGGTGTATCCGGGGTCGTCGGCCTTATCCGTTATCAGGGCCTTGCAGTGTTGCTTAGGTCCAAAGCACAGCATTGGCTGAAGGGGTCAAAATATGCATTGTCTAGATTCACCACGTTGCGGGTTGGCAAGGGCTGCGAGTGTTCTGGATGTTTTCTTGACTAACACTTTACAACGACATCTGATGATCGCCACACTATACAAAGTATCTACGAGTATCCATCCGCCGAGGGTGTGTCCCCCATGGTTCTCGTCCTCGTATAAAGGCCTGACATCTCCGTCTCAAGTTCCGTAAGATCTGGAACTCGAGCACCTTTCTGTTTACTGCTCCAAGGACGGCAGACACTTTATCGAGTGGTTTCGGGTTTGTTTTTCCTCTCTCTCTCTCTCTCTCTCTCTAAGCATTTCTCAAGCAATCATGGGCATGGCAAAGGACGGCAAGCAAGGGCAAGGCGTCCTCACCATCGAGGCAAAGCCCTACCCCTTTTCCTTCCCGCTCAAACACACCGCGCTGCTGGTGATAGACATGCAGCGCGATTTCATCTGTGCGGGCGGCTTTGGCGAGATCCAGGGCGGGAATCTAGAGGCCGTGCAGGCTTCGATTGCGCCCACCAAGTCGCTACTGGATGCGTGCCGCGACGCGGGCATGCACATTTTTCACACCCGAGAGGGTCAGGTCCCGTCGCTGGCGGACTGTCCGTCGTCGAAACTTGTTCGACAGGCCGCTGCCCCGGGCAACACCCAACATATGAAAGTCATTGGCGACAAGGGCGAGCTGGGCCGGCTTTTGGTGCGCGGCGAGTACGGTCACGACATCGTCGACGAGCTGCAGCCACTACCCTCGGAGGTGGTGATTGACAAGCCCGGCAAAGGGTCGTTCTGGAATACCCCGATCCTCCACAAATTGAAGGCCTACGGAATCACCCATCTTCTCGTTTCGGGGGTCACGACGGAATGCTGCTTTTCAACCACGATCCGCGAAGCCAATGACCGAGGCTTCGAGTGCTGTGGCATCGTGCAGAGCACTGCGGGCTACAACTCGGCCTTCAAAACCGCCTCCCTCGACATGATACACTGGTCACAGGGCCTGTTTGGGTTTGTGGCAGATCTCCAACCTGTCCTTGATGTGCTTTCCCCCTGGCAAACTCAGAATAAAGGCGTCAGCACGCCCCCGCAAACACCACCGGCCTGGGATGGAAAGCTCGGGATTGCCGACCTCCAGGCCTCGTATAAGCATGGCTTGTCTCCCCTCGAGCTGGTAAATGCCCTGTTCGACCGCATTCAGAAATACGAACACATTGATCCCGCCGTCTGGATCCGACGAGAGTCAAGAGAGGCAGTTCTGGACCAAGCCCGTCGCCTTCTCGAGCTCTATCCCGACAAGAATGCTCGTCCAGCATTGTTTGGTGTGCCGTAAGCGATTCCCCAAGCCTGCAGTGGTAGTCCTGAGATGTCTACTCAAAAGGTTCTACCTCTTTTTTTTGGACAGCATTTGATGCTAACGGTTCGACAGGTTCACAGTCAAGGATTCTATTGACGTCCAAGGAATAGAAACCACCACGGCGTGTCCGCCACTAGCTTTTGTGGCCACCAAATCTGCCATGTGCTACCAGAAGGTAGTTGGACAGGGTGCCATATACCTGGGCAAAGTCAACTTGGATCAATTGGCAACTGGGCTGAGCGGGTGCAGAAGTCCGTTCGGCATCACGCATTCTGTTTTCAGCGATGAGCATATATCTGGCGGGAGTAGCAGCGGAAGCTGTGTGAGTGTGGGTGCAGATCTGGTAGGTCGAATTTTGCTCTAGGGGGGTTTTGGCTTGTGTCACTGACGTGTGTTTCCAGGCGACCTTCTCGCTGGCAACAGACACTGCGGGGTCTGGGCGAGTGCCAGCTGGCTTCAACGGTGTTGTGGGATACAAGCCTACGCGCGGGTTGGTGTCCTTTGAGGGCGTGACGCCTGCTTGCTTGTCGCTTGATTGCATCGCCTTCACCGCTAGGACGGTCGAAGATGCGCGCACGCTGTGGCAGGCCTGCGAGGGATACGATGAAAATGATCGTTATGCCAGAGATACGTAAGTTCCATTTGTCGAGAGAATCACTTGCCTTGCTCCGTCATTGGTCATGGAGGCTAACAGAAATTCCAGATTCCCTGCCGAACGACACGTCAACTCGATCGGTGCACAAAAGGGGACCTTTCGATTTGGCATTCCTCCTCCCGAGCTGCTCGAGGTCTGTTCGCCTAGCTTCCGGAAACTATTCAATGAAGCCATCTCGCGACTCCAGGCCATGGGAGGGACTCTGGTGCCCATGGACTGGACTCCGTTTCAGAAAGCCGGAGACTTGCTGTATGAAGGCACGTTTGTCTCGGAGAGATTGGCTAGCTTACCCGACGACTTCCTGGAGAAGAACCGGCAGCATCTGCACCCCGTCATCCTCGAGCTATTCGAGAAGGTGGTGGCACGACAGAGCACGGCGGTGCAACTGTTCAGAGAACTTCAGGCCAAGGCGCTCTACACCCGACAAGCCACATCGCAATTCTCGTCTGCAGACCGACTGGGGCTTGACGTGGTGGTGGTTCCCACGGCGCCGTGGCATCCCACCATCAAGGAAATGCTTGCAGATCCCATCCGGCTGAATGCGAAGATGGGCACCTTCACCCATTTTGCCAACGTGTTGGATATGTGCGGCATTGCCGTGCCGTCGACGACATACCAGGAAAGCGAGGCTGGCCCTCGTCTGCCATTCAGCGTCACGTTCCTGGGCAGCCGCTGCTCGGATAGCGAGGTGCTGGGGATTGCCAGCCGATACCAGGAGGCGACGGGGAGATAGGCGGGGAGAGGGGGGCTGCTTGGTTTTAGCGAACTTGATGATTGCCGACCATTTCTATCTTTCTATCTGGATGTTTGCGTTGGGTATTGATAAAAAGAGCTGCGGTGTGCATTAGGGCGAGGAACGGCAGGCAGCAAAGCCCCAATCTTGCAGGTTGAAGCGTCTCACCCACGCCCCAGCGGTGCGCCGGGGGCCCTGTGGTGGTGACCCAATGCTCCGCCTGGATCTCTTGGGTGACTCCCTCCTTCAGCCCCGTCCCGTCAGCCAATCCAGAGGCCGGCTTCCTTATCTCGAGCAGGCCTGGAAAACGACACTAGACGGCCTTGTCTGGTATTTCTTACTCAATCAATTGCAGGGCCATTCGCTATACCGGGCTAGCCATGACCTCTTCTCAACGCCTATTAGTTGCCAGGGCTCCGCTAGGCCGTCACAGCTCTAACTGCGTAGGTCGAGATCTTGCCTTTAGCGGTTTTCTGCGTTTCCCCCCCGGGATGCCAGACCACTCCCAAGTCCTACCAGAGCGCAGAAGCTTATCCTGACGCAAAATGACTGATGGGGGTAGAGCGGTAGAGAGATCTTGGGAAGAGTAAAAAAATATCACAACAGAAAAAAGGAACCAAGGCGCCCCCCCAAAGATTGGCAATAACTGATATGGGCTTCTCTTGCCCTAAAAGCTTTCCCTTTCGTTCCTTATCCTTTAGCCCAATAAAGGCCATGACATGTTCCTAAACGAAAGGCCCTCCTTCCCCCCCGAGATACTCTAATCGTCATGCTCTCAACCATGTCGCCCCCTTCCTTGGGTGACGCTGCCTCCTCTAATAATGGTCCCAGTCCCTCGTTTGCCGGCCCTGGTCCAGGTAGTGTGAGCGGTATGACATCGCCCTCGAGTGCTCGCGTGGGTGAAGGCTCGGGCCCCCTAGGCATTCGACCCGACCGACCCTGTGATGGCTGTCGACGTCGCAAGAGCCGCTGTGTCATGAACCCGGATGCTGCCTCGTGCGTCATGTGCCAGTTCCACAAGCAGGCCTGTACCTTTATCGAAGACGCAGCTCCTCGGCGACGGAAGCAGCCCAACACCAACACCAACACCACCGCCAACAACCCTCTTGCTGGCGGCAATGCCAGTTCCGAGAATGCTTCGGTTGCTTCCCTAGCTCGGCAAAGACGATCGTAAGGGAGCCCCCCTTTTTATCCCACCTGCTTTATCAAACAATCCTTGGAACCCGAAAATCCACCCCTCCGTCCTTTCAAACCCAAGACTTAACTGGCCTTTTCCGGGTCTTGCATATTGTCCACCCCCCGCCTCGTTCCTCCTCCTTCCTATCATCAGGCTAAGGCATAGATAACAGAGGTTCCGATGGCAACGGCCATGCCCCACGACGGCAATCTGCTGAATCCATTCGTACCGGTCCCGTCATTGACGATTATGCCAACTTGCAGGGCGAGTCACTGCTCAAAAAAACCTTAGGGTACGTATTATCGTTGCTGCTGTATTGTCCTGGAGAAGTTTCGCTGTCTCGCAAGAGAGCCTTGTCTCCTCCCCAATCTGTCAACTCTCTTTCCTCGATAAGACGCTGATATGGTCATGGCCAGGCTGCAAAATCATCGATATGCAAAATGTATGTTTCCCAGCTCTGTTGGTCGTCATTTCTCATGGAAACGATCCAATAGCCTCCCCCGGGAAATGTACGATATTAGATAGCCGCTAACAACAACTACTAGATATTGGACCTACCGACGAACACGACTTTGCCCTATTGGACCTTCGACTGTACGACGACATCAAGGGCGAAAGTCCCGCCGACCAAGGCTCCTTTCGCAAAGTCGGCCCCAATGAGTTTTTCCACCAATATGCCGACTCGGATTCTCCCAATCATGCCAGGGAGATCGAGGAGCTCGACAACATCGAGCGCATTGTCGCCCCTCACGGTGAAGCTCTGATCAAACTCTACTTCCGCATTGTCCACCCGACCTTTCCCATCCTGCACAAGAAGGTCTACCTGGAGAAGTATGGCCGGACCCATCGGGAGTTCTCCCCACCCTTACTTGCTGCCGTCTACATCCTGGCGCTGAATTGGTGGTCATACAGCGCCGAGCTCGCCAGGCAGACCAAGCCCAACGTCGCTGAACTGGAAGACGTTGCCTACCGGACGTTGCAAGACGTCTCACATCGAGCCAAGCTGTCCACGGTCCAGGCAGGGCTTCTCCTGCTCCAACGACCGGGCAGTAACCAGGCCTGGCAGCTAACGTCGCAGCTCGTCGCCATTGGCCAAGATCTCGGGCTCCATCTGGACTGTTCGAACTGGCGCATCCCGTCGTGGGAGAAGGGGCTTCGGAAACGGCTGGGCTGGGCTCTCTTCATGCAGGACACGTGGTCGGCCTTGATCTATGGACGGCCTCCTCACATTTCCTCGACCAACTGGGCCGTCCAGCCGGTGATCAGCAGCGACTTCCCCGAGAGTGCCGCCGACGAGGACGGGGAGGACGGCAGCACTGAGGTGGAGAAGGGCCGGACGCTGTTCAGCGCTATGATCACGCTGACCAAGATGCTGGCCGAGGTGCTAGATGGCCTGTACTCGCTACGGGCGGAGATGGAGGTCAAGAGTTCGTACGACAGCACGAAGGCCATCCTCGACCGGGCCAAACCCATCCAGCTCAAGCTGCGATCCTGGTACGCCGAGATGCCTGAGACGCTGCGCATGGACGCCACGAGGGTCGGCAAGCTGAGCTCGGTGGGCTATCTGCACCTGGCCTACTTCGCCACCGAGATCACGCTGCACCGCCGGATCCTGCGCTCGCTCTCTCACAACACGGACCCTTACATGATCCAAATCTGTCGCTCGGCGGCCAAAGCCCGCCTGATCAGCGCCATGGACTTTTTCAACCGCCTCAAGCCCGAGCATCTGCAGTCGTTCTGGTACTTTGCCTCAAAGTTCAACTTTGCCCTCATCGGCACCTTTGCCGGCCTGTGCTTCGTCACCTCGGTGAGCCAGGAGGAGGCCGAATTCTACCAGCGACGGCTCCAAGAGTACCGCTGGACGCTAAGGGTCTCGAACAAGAGCGCAGAGTTCTTGGAGATTGCGAGCGGCATCCTTGAGTCGGCCGTGGGTTCGCTGCTCAAAGCTGCAGACGCCATTGACAGCCGGCGCTGGTCGTTTCCCATGCTCCAGCAGCAGCCCGAGGAGGAGGACACGGCCATGGAATCTTTCTTCCCCAGCACCGACGATGCATTTTACGACACCCAGATGGATTCTTGATCCCAAAAGCATTCGGACGTCAAAATGTTCTATTCTGGCCTCCGAGGGATGTGTTTGGCCCACATTCCCAGAGCCTACTTTGAGTCGGCACTGCTTGTCTGAGCTAGGTCGCTGCTCACCCATGGGGCGGACAGTGCATCCGAAACAGTGACACATCGCCAACGGTGATTATCTACCCATTGGACGACTTATTACAAAATCTGTTACACGACACGTGGGTCGCAACGAAGCCCGAGATCCAACGCTGAAAGCGGTCAAGTCCGTTTCGACGGCTCAGTGGAGGCTTTGGGATTATTGTTCTCGCAGCTCTAGCGCGCGCCTTACCTCATGGCCATCCCACAGATCGTCAAGCTTCATGCAAGACGAAATCTTTGACTCATCGGTGGCCATGTTGATATTTAGACCATCTTCAGCAGGCTCTCGAGGTTTGCAGAAACCTGTACCGAGCCATACAGTCTTATCTACGCAAGTTGGTCACAATGGCCACCACTACCAACCTCGAACTGCGCACAGTGTTGAGCACGCAGCAGCGGAGCCCTGTGGATGCACAAGGCCACGACGACGAAGCCTCGACCTCTTGGGGCCCCGTTGCGGTTGATCGGCACGCGGGTTCAGAGGAGGCACCAACAAATGTAGCCACGGCAATCCCCGAGGGAGGCTATGGCTGGACCGTTGTCTCGGTCTGTGCGCTCCTGACATTCTGGTTCAACGGTATCACTGGCAGCTGGGGGGTGATCCAGACGGCGCTGTTGCAGTCGAAGCTCACGGACACGCCAACGTCGACCATTTCTTTCGTCGGCACTCTGGGATTGGCCTGCGTCGTGGCATTTGGGCTTTTCGGGGTCCGTCTGGTCCGCCTTTTGGGCGCGCGTGTGACGGCCCTCCTTGGTGTCGTCCTTGTTTCGTTGGGCGAGATCTGCTCGTCCTTCACCACGTCCAACGTCGGCGGTCTGTTCGGATGCTCGGGCGTGCTCTACGGCCTGGGTGCCTGCCTGTGCTATTCAATCTCCAACACGCTCCCGACGCAATACTTTGCGGCCAGATTGGGTCTCGCCTCTGGCCTGGTTAAAGCCGGCGGCGGCATCGGGGCTGCCGTCCTCGCTGTTGCAATCGATGCCCTGATCCGTCGCGTGGGCATCCCATGGACGTTCCGGATCCTGGGCCTCTGTTCGCTGGCCACAAGTGGACCGGCCGTGTTTCTGATCCAGGAGCGTACTCCACTGGGGAAAGTGCCCTTTCTCGACCTGTCCCTGTTCCGCAATCTGCCTTTTACAGCCATCTTCTGCGCCGGCGCCATCGGGACGTTTGCGCTGTTTGTCCCGCCCTTTTTTCTCCCCCTGGTAGCGCAGAGCGTCGGTCTGAGCTCGTCGACCGGCGCCGGGCTGGTCGGTGCCTTCAATGCGTGCACCGCAGTCGGCCGCTTCATGTCGGGCTGGCTCAGCGACCTCATTGGACCCGTGAATATGTTCTTGTTGGCCATGACTCTGAACGCCGTCAGCATGCTGGCCATCTGGCCCGTCTCGAACTCTCTGGCGCCGCTAGTCATCTTTGCCATGCTGAACGGCCTCGCAAACGGCGGCTTCTTCACGCTTTACCCCGTCGTGGTGGCTAGCACCGCTGCTCGAGTGGAGAACAGCGAGTCTGGCCGGGTGGCTATCGCGATGGGCATGGCGATTTCCGGGTGGACTGGCGGCTACTTGATGGGAGTGTGAGTGATGTTTCCCATCGATTTTACAATCTGATTTCTTTTCCGCTGGATGCATTGACCCTGACCAATCTTTACATTTTTCTAGGCCTATTGCAGGATATCTTCTTCAGGCCTCGGGAATAGGCAGACAAGGAGGCGGGCGGCACGCAAAGTCCGGCGCCGCAATCGATCCGTACCGCCCGGCCATCTTCTACGCTGGCGGCGTCGCCCTCGCAGCCGCTGGGTGCGTCTTGATAGCGAGGTTGAAACTGGCGCGGGGCATGGGGAAGCGGGTGTAAGAAGTGAGATGTTCGACTTGACCGATCGATCGACAATCGACCGCTCACTTGCCGCTCCGTATCGGACTGGCCATGAGCGCATCTTAAGGCATTACAAGCTGGGTAGCTAGCTATCCACTATGCAGGTCCGCTCTCGACAGGGCACGGGCTGGCTGGCTAGTGGCTGGCTGGCTATATGTGTTCTGTGCAGGTGCACGTCCATGTAGCGTCGCTGGCTTACGCATGTTGAATGGGAAAAGCCTGTGCACCCGTGCAGCCACCCATACATCCAACCATCCAAGGGGATCGATAGAGCGTGGATCCCTAGGGAGAGATAGCAAACCGCCATGTGTTGTGAAAGGGCAAAGTGACAATCCACTACATCCCTTGCAACCACAGTCCTTCCATTAACGGATCAACTCCCTTCCAAGCACCAAGTCTCGTCTTCTGTCTTCTGTCTTCTGTCTTCTGTCTTCTGT